AATGAGTGGGTATTTCCACATTCGGCAGTCAGAAACTAGAACTCGACGAACAAGAACTCTTCTTGAAAGAAAGAGAATGCATTAATTTAAGGATGCAACTGCAGTAAAAAATATTTTTAAAAAACTACATGATTTCAAAATGATTTTGCAAAACAATGAGGATATGACGGTACGAATATTTAAGGCAATACAACATACGTGTTATTATAATATATTTGGATGCATGTGGTTGTGTTTTTGTTTAGTATGTCAAACCAGAACTAGTATTATTTGAAATTTAAAAGGAATAGAAAAACAGGTAATTTGAATGTTAATTATCAAGCCACGAGGCTATTTTAGCATTTGGTCTAATGGGGTCATTGACGCCGAGGCTTTTGAAACAATATTATTGCCACAGAACATCAGCGTGCGCACACGGGACAGCAAGAAAAGCCGTGGCTTCCCTGAGAATTTTGAGTGAATCCCAACAGCCTTACGTACTAAACGATCTTATTTGCTCAAAAATGTTAAATATAATGTTGCTTGTATGCACAGATTTATAGAAAATCAACTTTCAACCTACAACGTATTTTGTAATTTGCAATCTACAACGTAGGCTTCTTCACGTCAGGGGCGGATCCAGTCGATCATTCTGGAGGGGGCTATAATTAACTTTTATTAAATAATAAACATTTGTTATTACATTGTATATTATTTTGATGTGTGTATAAGATACTATACAATATTAGTTTTTAAATTATTTGATAATTCTAACATAAATGATTAACTTAATCAATTTTGTTAAATAAAGGAAGATAACAAACCTAAACGTTCTGGTGGAGGGGAATGGCCCCCTATTCTCCCCCCCTGGATCCGCCACGCAATAATATAACTTCACAATTACTAATAAAACCTTTAAATTATTATTAATACAGCAATGATTAGTTAGAACAATGAGATTAGGGACACCTGGCCCAAGTCCTTGTGCCAAGAAGCCGGCAGACTTGACCATATTTGTATTTGCAACATTTAAGATATTTGTAAACATGATGCGGATATGTAAAATAAACACGGATTTAATAATAATAATAATAATAATAATAATAATAATAATAATATTAACAATAATAATAATAATAATAATAATAATAAAACAATTAAGTAAAATTAACCCTTTTAATGCATACTTTCGCAGCCTATAATGTTCTCTGTTAAATTGAATTCCTCAGCACTAATAATAACTTTTGACACTTTTTGTCACTAAACAGTGTAAATAAAGTTACTTTAGATCTAAAAACTATCAACCACGCACTCATTAGTAAACAAATTTCTCACAAAAGTAATCTTTTAGAACCTTTTTTAACATCTTAATTTTTTAAAACCTTTTTTAAGATCTAATTTTTTATAACAAAAATCTCAGACGTCAATATTGTTGTTTTTCTATGGTAACTTTGTGGAATTTTCAAAATTCAGAGTTTACCAGAAATATGACTAGAACAATTTTTTTACCGTTCTTTGATACGTACGAGGGAAAAAAACAAATAAAAATTGGACCTTAGAAATTGTTTAAATGCTGTCTAAATGTATCGAAATTTTTCGCAAAAACTACTTGTATTTTCGAAAAATTTACATGATGTGATTTCAAGACCTGTCTTTGGGGAACAGATTAAGGAAATCATTAAGGAAAATTATAACTATTTTCATATGTAGTTCAGGAAGATGCCAAAAAATATCTGAACTTTTGCAATTTTCGAGAGGAACTTCAACGAAAATTAGACTTGTGCAATTCTTTTAAGCGTCCCTTACGTTATTTCAGGGCAAAGTTTAATCAGAAATTTGAAGCCATTTTTGAGAAAATTTTGAAATGTGGAGGTTTCGTGTAAAGTACCCGTAAAAATCAAAATATCCATTTCAATCTCGCAGAACCTCCAGGTTTTTTTTATCGATCTGTGAATATCAGTTTGAAGAAAATTGAACCCTAGCAATGACCCCAGGCAAACATCCCTCAGGCAGGCAAGTAGACGCACAGACAGGTGGACAGGCATTTTGCTGTCAATGGTTTTTTCGGTATCAAGGACCCTTAAAACACGGATTCTGACAACACACAATTTTCGATCAGGAATATCAAGGACGCGTGCAAGGGCTAACTACCTCATTAGAGCTCGAAGACGCCGGATCCAGAGCAACTGGTGCGAGTTTTAAAAGTAGGAGTTGTACAAATTGCTCTAGAATAAGAAAGTGGACTGTAAAGGGGGTTGAAGCTTGTCTAGGCATGCATTATTTAAGTTATTCGTGGTATTGGGGCCTCCAGAGTCCTTCGTGTATTACATTGAAAGCCTGATCATTCCATAATCTTTTGGCCTGACAGGTAACGAAGTGTGAGATAGTGTATTCAGGAATGAAGCGTAGATGCATACATCCAGAACACTGTAACATTCACCGGAAACGTAATGATTTCTAAGGGTAGACATTTCAGTTGTATTTGAAGTGTGGTGGTCATCCGGGTCCCTTGTCTATGACGACCATACCCTACCTTTCGATGATTCTTGATCTGACGCGCAATTGTGTATACAGTCTTTATGTGTGACTCAGTTACTAGATCCCTGCACCCTGAACAATACTAGCACAAACACAGAGACAGGGCCAAGGGATAACATGGACAAAAACATTAAGGTACAGAACCGAGGTAACGTATTCAATGTTCGGGGAGTGTGATAGTGACTTTTTTCTCCTGGGAATGTTCCAAAGGAGCAATAGATTCTGCAAGAGGTCCTGTTAAGTCTTTTTAGGCACCGACAGGTAGAAGCGATAAGAGGGTGGAGCAAAACCGAAAAGCTCGCCCAAACTCTATGGAATAGGAAATTAACTAGTACGAGAAAGTCAGTGCCATTCTGTAGCACCAATGAATTATTTTTATTATTTATTGTCAAATATAATAAAAACTGTATTTGACACATGGGCGTCTCTAGCACGAAAAATTTGGGGTATCAAAGGAAATGGTGCAAATGCTAGTAAGTCTTTCACGTAATTTTAGTGTAAGCCACGACATTGTCTTTATTGATTTATAAACCATGCGTAGTGAAATTAACAACTTCCTTGCATACAACAGGATAAAAATTCCTGATGGCATAATTACCTCTGGCTCAATACTACAGAACAACGTAGTAATGTGACACTATTTTTGACAGACATGTGAGCTATTTTGACACTCCTTTTTGCAAACGGTAAGTTCGGTAAGTACGGTAAAACGGTTCGGTAAGTAACGCGTAGAAATGATTCGAGCGCTACTACAACTGCTCTCAGCAGTGAAGCATATCTTTTGTAAAACAAGAGTTATAGCACATACTTTCTCAATTTTTTAATTGCATTTTTTGAAATTTCAGAAGTTTGAACAAAAATTAAACTTGTGCCATTTTTAAGCGTCCTTCACTCTAACAAAAATTAAAAGAAAAATTCGGAGCCGTCTGTGAGATTATTTTTGTAAATTGCAGTAACTTCAAACAGAAATTACAAGTAACAATTAAGTTTAAAAAATGTACATGACCTAACTTAAACATCTAATTTTTGGAACAGATTTAAGACAAAATCTCTATCATTAATATTGTACTTTTACAATATTCATTTTTTGCAATTTTCAAAAATACAGAGTTCGATTTTGAAAAGCAGATCGGTAGCGAAAATGTGACCAGCACCCTTTTTTCACCCTCTGCTCCACACGAGGAAAAAATGTGGAGCCGTTTTTGAGAAACTAATTGTTTTAAAATGCTTAAATTTTACGCATACTATTACGTACGCGAAAGCTACTCACAGAAAGCTACTCACGAAACATTGTACTTGACCATATTTCAAAATGTCTTTGGACAAGATTCAAAAAAACAATCTTCAATATTGTAATTGTAGTAAGTTGCCAAAAAAATTGAATTTTTGCAATTTTCGAAAAACCACTGATTTGAATGAAAAGTCGGCTTGCGCCGTTATTTTAAGCGTTCGACATTCGAGGACAAAATTTCATTAAAAAAAATTGTAGCCCTTATCGAGAAAAGCGAAAATATTGTGGCTTCTTGTAAAGTACTTATCCCCCCCCTAAAAAAATCAAAATATTCTTTTCTAACTCGCAAGGTCTCGAGTACCTTCATATCGACCAGGGAATGTCAGTTGTGAAGAAAATCGTCTGAGCAGTTTAGGCACCGGCGGTGAAAGTTTGTTGAAAGAACATACAGGTTTTGCCATCAATCGATTTTTCGGTATCAAGGGCCCACCCAAAAATCGTGAATTCTGACTACGCGTGTTAGAGGAAGTAATTTACTACAAATAGGAACAGGATTTATCCATTTTTTCATTAACAGGAGCCGACAATACTAGTTTATCTGTCGAAAAGTACTTACGAAGTAGGCGAAAAAGTTATAAAAAAAATACAACACACACATCAACTTAATATAGGTACTGTTTGAAGGGTGAGTGTATTCAGTATTTTGGGGCCCCTTAGAGAGCAAGGCCCTTGGCAGTTGCCGAGCTCGCCCACCGAATGGTCACCGCTCGTAATTTTTCATCTTTACGAAATCAGTTATTCCGTGTTCGCATTGCATACTTGAATGGAAACTGCGGAAAGTAAAAGGTAAAGCCTATTGAAGTCAGTTATCTACTGGTAATGTTTGCCACTTGGCAATAATGAGTTCACCGAGAGATCAGTGAAATCCAAAAGACGTGCAACGCACATGTATTTAGGATCCATCGTAGGATTCATCATCATCAAATCGTAGGATTTTGATGATGGGGCGTCATAGATTTAGTATTGAATCTTTTTTCTTCCAATTTACTATTTAAATTGTATTTATTTTTTACATAATTTGACGATGAAAAGAAAGTTATGGAGAGTTAGAAGTAAAAACCAAAGAACAACTCTCCAAAAAGTTCAGTCTTCAAAATTCACTGAGATTAAATAAGGCAAGTAATATTAATAAGTGGCAATCAAGTAGTGAGTTTACGTGAGTTTTTTTCTTTCGCGAGACAATGAATGGAAGAGTAGAATCTCATTTCATTAAAAAAAACTGACAAGACGTGTGGCATGACCTGACACTCCAGCATTTGACGGTATTGACACAGCTCTTCTATTACATTACTTCGAAAGTAATTAAGGAAAACTTCCGTATTGGCACTCTAAATTCTGAAAACATTTACAAAAGTACTTTCTTGTATATCTTCAATTCTTGATTGTCCTGTGAACAGCGCTTTCTCACTCTGACATTTTCATAATCACAGTCATTACCAAAATCATTAATATCCAAGAAGTGTCAAAGCAATTACAACGAAGATGGAGTATTACGTTCCTTTCTATAATAATATATGACATTTTTTGAAGGTGAAGACCAAATGATGTTTGACAAATTCGACAAATAGGTGTGTCGTGTTTTCTCTTAGGTGAAACACGACGCTACATCGGGAGAAGACAACTCACACGACAGAGCACACACCCCATACACCTTTTCTCGCTCGTTTGGAACGCAGCCTGTAAATGACTGACTTATTTTCTACTTGAGAAATGGCGAATGCCACGGACGAATTAAGTGAGTTTGTCTTTGCAGTCCTTTCAACAAATTAATTCATTTACGTACTAATTTTATGTCCTACAACACCCAATTTTTCGCTTTATTAACTTCATTGTCATGAGCACTCGGTAGGCACAGTGCTGTACGAGTTGAAAATCAAAACGTAAAACGAACGCCGCTTTGATTATTTATTGTTCATTTAAATGTGATTTAAATATTGTTATGCTACAATAAATATTTTCGAGAAAACTGTAATTAATTTGCAAATTACCATGAATTTTTTCTTTCGATTGCAGCTCTGTTGGAAAGAGTGTTCCTGCGGATTGGATCAGCAGATACTGACGAACAACTTCAAAGTGCTGTTTCAAAATTTCTGCCACCTGTATTGTTAAAATTATCAAGCCAGCAAGATGGAGTGCGAAAGAAGGTAACCTGTCATTGTCAAATTCTGGAAGCGTATTGATTAATTAATTTTTACCTGTCAATTTTCATTTTGTTTTCATTTTTCTTCTCCAATGTTAATTGACTTACCTCAATAAAGAATTGCGTTTTTCCAAATGTACTTAAATTTTTGGTTTTCAAGTACCTAAATAAGCAGGTAGCATATGTTACTGGGAAATTCAGAGTAGAATCTGATTGCTGCGACTGTGTATGTGACTTTTGTTTTGGATTGGGTATTTATTCTGCGATGGAAGAGCTTAAAATTGCTATTGTTGTTTCAGGTTATGGAACTCTTGGTACATATTAATAAAAGAATTAAGAGCAGGCCTCTTGTTCAACTGCCTGTGGATGCTCTTCTTTTGCAATATCAGGATCCGTCAGCAAGCTCTTTTGTTACAGTATGATTTTTTCATATATGTTAAGATTTTGGTTTTCAAATCCAAATATATTTTAGAGAATTGTTGACAATGATAAACTGAACTCCTGAATCCCTCTTTCCAGAACTTTACTATCATCTACATAAAGTTGGGTTATCCTAGACTGCCCATTACTAAACAAGCCGAATTAGTACCTTGCATTTTAAATGCTTTAGAAGGAAAACCTCAGAGTCATCAAGATAGGCAAGTTCATTTATTACATTAGCAGTTTTATATATCATGCCTTAATCTTTATAGTATTATTTATTATTAACCAGTGTTTTTTCTGTTTGAAGTTCTTTTAATTGCTTTGTTTTTCAGTGATAGCATTCTTTTTATGTAATTACAGCTTGTTATTGATTTTGATGCCTGTCTTGGGCCATGTGTCAGTGCCTTCGGATCCAAAGAAGCGCAGTGCATTATTTGGCCTCAATGACCGACCTCACATATCCAAAATGCTTGCTGATTTCATGCTAGACCTTTTGTTGTTGCCATACGGGTAAGCTCTCTTTATTAAATTGTAATGTTTGCTTTTTTTGCTTTTGTTAAATGTTCTCAGAAGGTGTGTATTAACAGCAAACAATAAGAACCTATGTATGGGCTAAAATAATTTTATGTGTCTTAGGGCAACTGCTCAACAAGACCAGCAACAACAGAGTTCTCAACAACAAGGAGCCTCTAGTAGTAATAGTGGTGGTGGCAGTGGCGGTGGTGGTAGTGGTAGTGGCGGTGGCAGCAGTGGCAGTGGTAGTGGCAATAATTCCTTTCCAGTGCCATTAGGCATGAGTGAGTACAGCTTTAAACGTGTCACTGGAGAAAATCCAATGAAACCGGAAGAACTGGAACAAGTATGTATTTTTGCTGTTGGTGTCACGTTATAAAATCTTGAGTCAAAATGTGATATAGTTTTTGAAACCTATTTATTTTCTGACTTAGGCTAAACTAGGAGTGGTCAAGTTCCTGTCTGGAGGTGTTATGCCAGATGCTGATATCCTTATCCACCTGATAGTTGCAGCAGCTGATACAAGGTTTAATGTTGCTAACGCTGCTGACATGGAACTCAAGAAAATTGTTGGGTACGTAAAAGCCATGCATTTTTCTGCTCTACATATTTCTGATTTCCCTTTATGCCTTGCACTCTTATAATTAATTAGAACTTATTTAGAAAAAAATTGTCCTTCCAATTCATATTTTTAAGCACTTTTTATGTGACATTCCTACCTATTATAATTCTTTTTTAGAGTGAAAATGTTTATTAATGGGAGCTTGCATGAAATTTGTATTATATGTAGAATAAAATCCTTACTTAGAATTTGTCTCGAATCTTTTCATTTCTATTACTCCCTATTCAAAAAGTATTGTTCAGGTTGTGCGATTTTTATGATATTATATGTGTATGCCTGTGTGATCATGTAGGTCCTTGGACTGGGGTAGCCCTACTTTAATGGCCCCTTTGTATCAACTTTTTCTGGGCACTCAATTATTGGCAACAAAGGCACGCCCCAGTGTTACTAAACCTGAGCTGAGGAGACAACCTGTTGGTACCAGAATCCGTCTGAAGATCCTTCCATATTTATGTCGAGCACGTGGTCCAGCTTTGATGTTTCCTGCTTGCATTCAGGTTTGTTTAATTATCAAAAAAATTGTTTATTTTGTTGTTAACTTAAAAAGCACTCTCTATATTAGTATTATTCTAACATTAGTTCATATACTTTTATTTCTGTGTTACTATTTTCTACAACTATACAAACATCATTTGGTTCAAAATGTATTTACTGCAAACGTGAAAAACCAAGAGTCTGATAAAGAATAATATGAAATTGAAGTAATAATATCATTTGCGTTAGTACCTTTAAAAACAGTTGATAATTTACTTGATTAATAGTCATTACTTATTCATAATTTCCAGTAACTCCCAAACACTTTTTCTCTCTAGGTGTTTTTTGATTCACTGTATGGAGCAAACACTAATCCACGATTGAAAAACATGGCATTGCAGTTTTCTTTGTTGATTATCCTTGGGTAAGTTATTTTATTGCAAATACATTTTGTGGCTACCTTTGTTTCCTTCTTTAAAAAAAAGTTACTTTAATAAAAATATATTTAAAATAGATGATTTTGCTCTGATGATTCAGTTGAAAGGAACATGTATTTCAGATCTAATCTGCAACGATTGGCTCCTGTGGCTGGAGTGTTACTTTCTGGATTGTTGAAGCTGATCTCAGAGGAAGATGGTTCACTTAAAACATTAGCTTACAGTGCTGCTGGCAAACTGGGTCACAGAGTTCCTTCGCTAGTTAACAAAGATTTGGCTCTCTTACAGACGTTTTTTGAAGCCCTCTCTCAGGTTTTTACTATTTAAACTTTTTTTTTAATTTCTTAAAACTTTTGTGTCACCTTTTATATTTGATTTTCAATTCTTCAAATATCCGTGTAATTTGTGTGGTATTTATCACAGGAAGAACCAGACACACGAATGTCAGTTCGAGAAGCTCTTCTCAGCATGGTGGATGCATTCAAATTGGGATTACAGAATTCAGCAGATGCTTCTAGTCGTGCTGTTTTGATGGATGCTCTACTTGCTAGCCAAGTAGAATCTGTGGAACCAATGGCTCGCTTTGTAGCAGTTCGATATGCTGCTACAGTTTTCCCAGCTGATCATTCTCCCTCTCGATATTTATTGCTTCTAGCTAGTGGTGACAGGTTAGCATTACTCATGAAAATTATATTGATGAGTATAGCAAAAAGTGTTATTTCATCTTTATTTATTTTTTAAAAATTAATTATGTTTTCCAGTAAAGATGAAGTGTCCACTGAAGCACTGAAAGCTCTGTATAATCCTAAGACCAATCAAGAGCCAGATCAACCTCAAAGATCGAAGGAGGTTTCAAATGAAAGTAAAATGGTACAGTTGGTGTTGCCATCGTTTGAAGAAATGGTGAATTTTATTTTTGACAAGGCTCAAGCTAGGATGCAAAATATCAACACACGGCATGTGCAGGGGACTCACACTTTGCCTTTCAGCCCTAATACATTCACAGAGGTGAGGACCAATGAAATGCTAGAATATTGTTTCTTGTAAATGCTATTCTGTCTCTGGTAAGGACTTTTTAATTTTTTAGATAAATGAGAAAAAAAAAATTATAATTTGTAGGAGAAAAGTTCAATATAAGAAGAAAAAAAAATTGAGGGCATGGGATATTATAGAATTTGGTTGTAAGACTTCATTCACATGTATCTCTCATTTTGCTCTGTTTTAAATAGTTTTGAAGAGGATTGGCTACTCTTCCCTTACTTCCCTTAACTTATAGCTACTTACTTAACTCATCAATGTCAAAAGCATTAATTCAATTACTTTTAATTATTTTATGTAGCAATGAATTGTAGCTTAAGGTCTGTCAAGCTGCAAATCCATGAAAGTTTAAAAGGGTCTAAAAATAATTGCTTTTTTAAAGGCTGTATTAAAATTATCCTTTTTTCTCTTTGTTTTTATTCCATTTGAAATGCCAAAAATTTAGCATAGATTGATAACACCTGAGTTGGTGACCCCCACCAGTTTTAGGTTTTCAACATCCTCTCTTTACACCATGTGGCATTCAGAAATATGATACCTTGTCTTGCATCTTGGCAATAAAAATTGAGCTTTTATCTTCCTGAATTGAGTTAAGAGTTACGTACCATTTTCATTAATAAATAAAAAAATAGAAAACAATTATAGTGAAAATCTTTTACACTTTTCAAGAAGAGAAAGAATGGTTTAAGTCACTTTTGTGAAAGAATGTTGTAAGTCACAGAAAAGTGTAATGCTTGTGAGATATTACTTTTGCTTATATAATAAGATAATTATGTATATTAATAATACTAAACTTTAGTGAAACATTATTGGGCTTTTTAGGCCTTACGCTTCAAAATATAGTGATTTACAGTTTTCTATATTTACTATAATATAGACTGTTGCTGAAACCGTTTTGGGATGAAATAAACATCAAAAATTTTTTAAGTTGTACACAAAAAATAAAAATATTATTGAACCAAGAAATAAAGTAAAAATAGTAAAAACCAAATAAACAAGATTTTTAGATGGATGATTTCTGACTCAGAAACTAGCCAAATTGGAAATGAAGTATATATTTATACAGACGTGTTACTGGTAATGAATCTGTGCTTCATGAAACATTTCTTAAAGTATACAGCCCACAACAATCATTTTCTCCCTTCTTTCAAAAATGGAATTCAATTTGAGAGTGATAACACCTAGTTCAGGTCAATATTGAGTAATTTTGATTTTCCCTTATCTCAAACAAACAAATATTTCTTGAACATGGTGTGAACAAACAAACGTAAAAGATGTGAAAACAGCCATCCTATCCTTTGTGTTGGGGCAAAAATGTAAATGTTGGCGAATTTTAATTTTGAAAGTGTAAAATCTGCAGCAATTTTACTTTGTGAATATAGGGGAATAGAAGGGACTGGTAAATATACGGCGTACATGATAGGAAAACAAATTCTGGAAAAGTAAAAGCTATAAATGTAATTTATAATACACTTCCAGGTTGTCATGTATTTACATCTTTGCTTGGGAAAAGCAGCAGAAGTGCCGGTAGTTTCACGTGAAGCCACTGTACAACAGCATCCTTCAAAGCATACACCTCTTATTGGGCGTTACTTGAGACATCTGTGCGAGACAACTGCTGGTTATAACACTACAGAGCACTATCTTCAGTTGATCCAACAACTGGTTTCTGCAAATGCTAGTGCAGTCCCTTTGGCTTGTCTACTAGAAGCAGTGGGAAGTGCTCCAGAACTTCTTGCATCAAGATTTACTGAAAAATTGAGTTGGTTGCGAGTAAGGAAGTTCATCATGCTCTGAATATACTGTTTGTTTCATTAATTTATTGTGACTCAGTCATTTCAATGGTATTCAAATTGAAAGTTAAGAATAATTATGCTGTTTTTAAAGGGATATCTGACTTCGGCAAAAGAAAAAATGCGAGAGGTGTCTGCACAGATGTATGGTATTGTTATTGCACATGGCTTGAATGATCAACAGTTTGATTCTTCTGTGAAGGAACTTATTGCTTCCATAAAGGGCAAGGTATGAAGCTTTCTGAGAGTTAAAATAAGAAAGAAATAATAAGATTATTTGAATACTGAAGATGTTTTATATTTTTAGAACTTGGAAGCTCAACATGGTTGTATCTTAGCACTTGCTCATGCTCTTGAACGAAGAGTTACCCTTCTCAAGAATGAGGAGAAGACAGACAAATTGTTGTCTTGGCCTGCTTATAAAGAAGGAGTTCACACTATTGGTACAAAAAGTTTATTAAAAATTCTTAATCTCACCTGATGTCTTAAAAAAGTGTTAAATTTATGTGGTGATTGAAATCTTGGGATCTCTTTAAAAGGGAAAAGAAAAGAAGTTTCCTATAAATGAAATTTTAAACATTTTAATTACTTGTCAAATGTTTTGGGATTTTCCTTCATCTTCTGAAATGAATTGATATGATCAGTGCATGCCACAGAGATAAAGTTTAAATTAACATTGTGGAATTTTAAGCCTAATGATGTTTTGTGCATGCATGCTATGTAGGGATTTCAAAAAGCTTCAGCAGGATAGGCTAAAATTACACCAGTCCACATGAGAATAGAGCTCAGGGAGCAGATTTTTGTATGAATTTGAATTTCTTTCTTTCAAATCTGAACTCTGCATTTGAAGGTGAAATAATTTGCCAATATATCTGTGATGGTATCAGTATGTGGATTATCATGTCTCAAAATTCATTGACCTGCACTTCAGAGCTCGTAATGCAGCTATGCTAAGTATTGAGTTGTGTGAGTGGTGCACAGATGCTACTCACGGTTTTCATTCCACGTGTATATTAGCTTTTGCTACCATGTCTGAACATTAATCTGCTAAAGTTATTGAATTCCATTCTTCTCAGTATATTATTGATTTCCTTATTTTCCGTACATTACTCTCAACGTAATGTGTAGTCACATAGTTTGAATATTGAAATGTTCTCTGCTTAACATTAGTCAATTAGTGTGAGATAAGAGGTCAATCTGTGAATATTTTAGGTAAGGAAATTTCAATGTCCAAGTTTTAATAAGATTGATAACTGGAGTGTGTTCAACAACAACAACATTTAACATATTGAGAAGTGGTGTTTTGAAATGCTAATTGGAAGAATGTTTAGTTGGAATGGAAAATCCAAATTTCCTACTGCCACTAACAGACATTTGAACTTCAATATAATTTTATTATTACCTTTCTACCAAATGAAAGGAAAGCAAACTTCTAGAAAATTGCCACATAATGCCTGCTTTTTTCATTCTCAACAGATAGTTATCGCAAATAAAATCTCTGTACTGTTTAATTTACCTCCAACATTCTACTCCACCGATTATTATGACATGATGAACTAATATGTCAGCATGTACAATTCGTTCTGATGTAACCAATGATAGATTTTGTGAATGCTTACATCTCTTGTTATGCTCTGTACTTGGAGTGTTGCATCTCCAGTGAATTTCTTCTCTTTCTATGAGACATCACTGGGTTCTGAGTGACCCCAATTAATAGAAAAAGGGGAGTGGGAGTCTATTGAGGAAGTAATCCACTCAAGAATTACTGTTAATTATTAGTAATTTAAATACTGTATGAATTGCTTGAAATCAATTCAATAAATAGAAAAAGAATTATAACAAGAGTTGAAGCATCAGTTGTGGGTATTTCTGACCACAAACTATTGTTGTCCAGCATTATTTTTGCTGATATGAGGAGACTTCTAGGCATGTTGCACAGTCAGATGAGCTTCACCTGTCTTTGCTTACTGTCATATTTGAGATATAAATTGTGTTCATTGCTGTGAATTTAGGGTGCATCACCTTGTACAAAGATCCTGCTTTCAGGAAATTGGAGGAATTGCTTACTGGGTGATGGAAAGTATTTGTGAAGGATTGCGAAGCTTTGTGGCAGCATTAATTTGAAGAAAAACGTATTTCTGATGCTTACACAGTGATACAGTTGTAGTGTCGGGTGCTCTTAAGGCAGATATATCTTGACAGATTTGAAAAGTTATCAATTTACAATTGAAATTCCTCCAATCATTTTCAACATCTTTGCTTGCTATAACTGAATCGTATGAGTTTGATTCAGAAGATTATGTGAGAAATCCCGAACGATTTTTGGTGATATAAGATTTTAATAAATAAAAATATTTTGGTAATAAAAATATTTTGTATAAAATAATTTATTATTTCTTTTAAATGTTTTATTGTATTTGAGGAATGTAATTTTTATTTTTTTATAATATATTATTAGAATTTCTAGATTATTTAATTGAGAAATATTTTTAGAATTTGTTTGCATTTTTATAGTTTTGGAAATAGCAGGGTGAATTTCTTTTACTCAATAAAATATTTATGGTGAAAAATGCTAACAATAAAATAAGAACCAACAATGATACAAAAAAATTTGCTTTCTGTGTGTGTATGTGTGTGTGTATTTATTGTTTTAGGCTGCTGTATGTGTATGTATTTTGGATATAAACAATTCATGATATAAAGAATGTTATTGTTGAATTCTTGTAATGTCAAGATAAATTTATCAGGAGAGATGGCTCAGGGTATCAGCCAATGACACTGCAGTTCCTCTAACCGGGAGGTCCTAGGTTTGAGTCCCGGCGGTGGCAGAGTTTTTGACACTGGCTTGTCAGCTAGGTCGAATTCAGTCGCTGCCTGGAAGAGAATTCTAGTAGCTGGCTGCTCTCATCAGTAGTTTTTCGTGGTTTCTCCCATCAACACCAGGCAAATGCCAGAGCAGCATCCTAACAATGAGCCACGGACCACGTGCGATCTTTCCTACTTCTTACTTACCCTATCCTCACCCCTTTACACATACTTACACTATCATGCACTCCACTGCTACTCATGCTGGAAGACTAGTTGGGAAATTAGAGCCTATCTCGATGGGGTCGTGCCTCGTGGGAGATACCTTGTTGGGCATTACACTTCATGTGGGCTGTCCGGGTGACACTGTATCAAAGGCTGCGGTGCTGATGTTTGGACCAATATATTATAGTCTTCTTCAGGGCTGTAGTGCGCCATATCACCCACTACAGTCCTGAGGAAGACCACGATATGTTTGGTCGAAATGTCGGCACCTCAGTCTTCGAGGCACCACCACCTGGACAGCCCGGATCATGATTCGTCGCGAAAGCCTACGACATCATTTAACAATGCATTAAGAGGACTAATGATCCTATTAGTTACTAATGATCCTAGTAGACGCACCTGGAATCACAATCAATCAATCAGTTCAGACAAATTCCATTATCAATGTAAATACACATGTACTCTTGTCATTACAACAGTAACGTATTTTATATGATGTGTGTGCACACACGCACACACACACACATTGTGCTGATCCAAGTTTGAATTTGATTTAGTGTCCATGTTGAACCATCAACACGTCCTGATTCTTGGTGCTGCTTGTGTGAGTGTTGGTATACTAGCTCGCTGCTATGCACTTCCTCTTCCTAATGGATCTTGTGAGAAACCAATGGGGAAACAAGATGTTGTGAAAAGACTCCAGGAAGTAATGAGCAATGCAAAATTAACCACAAAAGTATGTTCATATTATAGTAATTATTGTAAATGATGCATGCTTCAGTGTTCGAAAACAAAAAACAAAAAAAAAATTGCTTTATGAAATTTTTCTAATAGGTGAAGGAACGTGCAGCATTGGCTTGTGGCTTTTTGTGTGTTGGTGAACAATTCCCTCACAGCAGGATTATTATGCAGGGATTTCTAGATATGGGGAAAGAGGTATACTTTTAATGAATTATTTCTTTGATCTCTTTCTTCCGATTTATTCCTATTGCTGATTTAACATGATCATGTTCCTTTCAACAGAGTCGTGATGTGGAAATGCATTTTACTATTGGAGAAGCCCTAGTATGCTGTGTAAAAGGACAAGCTTCTCCTGATGCACGTGATGTTTGGAATGTTTTGGAATCGGAATATGCTCCTCCAGAATCTGTAGTAAATGCAAGTAATGTTGATTTGGAATGGTTGCTAGATCAGCTTCTGAAAAAGTTGGCTCCTGATCCTCATCCCAATTTGAGACAGGTATGTGGTTTGTTTCTGTTCTCTAGCCTGAACAGAGTATTGTTGTTCAATGAAATTTGTTTTTAATTATATATCTCATTCATAGGTTTGTTTCCTTTTGTTTCTAGGCATCGTGTATCTGGCTCCTTGCGGTGTTGAAACACTGTCCTAATCAGCAACCTGTAATAGATCGTTTAGAAGCTATGCAAAGAGTATTTTTAGATTACCTTTCTGAAAACAATGGTACTATCAAAATAAGGGTTTTTATTATTATTATTATTATTATTATTATTATTATTATTATTATTATTATTATTATTTTTAATTATCATGTATAACAACATACAATTTATTACAGATATTGTTCAGGACGTTGCTTCAAAGGGCTTAGGCCTTGTATATGAAAGTAGCAGTGGAGAATCTCGGACTCAGTTGGTGAACACACTATTGGATCAACTCATGAGTGGTCGTCGCTCAGTGGTCCAAGTTACAGGAGAGACAAAACTGTTTGAAGACGGACAATTGGGCACAGCTCCGACTGGGTTAGTTGTTTCACAGTATATTTCTGAAGGAAGTTATGTTATTATATTATTTTTATCTACATTTTTTGGTAGGACTTATAAAATCATTATGTATTACATATCATTTCTTTAAGAGTATTAGAAGCTTTTTTATGTTTACAAAGTAAATTATTAAAATCTTAAGCTATATTATTATAAAATCTGAGCTACGAAAATGACTGAGTGATCAAATTCATATCACTCTCATGGATTTTTGAATTTTTTAAATATCAATGATAGAAAAAAAGGTTCATTTGATTTCATTTTTATATTCTTTGTGCAGAGGCAACTTGTCTACATACAAGGAACTTTGCTCATTGGCATCAGATCTCAACCAGCCTGATCTTATCTACAAATTCATGAATTTAGCCAATAACAATGCTATTTGGAACTCAAAAAAAGTAAGTTTTTTTTGTGTCTATTTTGACGTACTGTTTTGGAAAGAAAATAATTAACATCAATTTATAAATTCATTGCTTCATTTTGCAAAGGCTGTAGGAGAATAAGATAGTAAAAAATGCTCCCAAATGTGAGGAACCAACTGTGCATGGAATATGTTTAGTTACAAGAAAAACTTTTTTCTTTCAACCCTTCCAATCTTCTCTTCTGCCAAGTCAAAGTGGCAATTGCCCAATATACACACAGATAATAGTACATTAAACATAAGTATAAAATTATAGCATTACATTTTTAAATGGAAAATAAAGGTAAACAAGAACATAATACAAAGTAACAATACATAAAAGCAAAATAGTAATAATAAGAGTAATAATAATAATAATAATAATAATAATAATAATAATAATAATAATAGTAATAATAGTAATAATAATAATATAAAAATAATAATAGTAATAGCAATAGTAGAAATATTACACAAAGTACCCATGTTTTCACTACTTGTGGGATAATCGAGCAATGGACCAGTAGTGAAAAAAATGATCTTTCCACCAAGGGAAAATATCATAAAGGTGCAGCATATATGGTGTAAGATCAATTGGTTACCAAAGAAGGGATCATCTTCTTTCCCCAGCACATAAAGTTGAGATTAATGAAGCAATTTGTGAGAGAACTAAACAAGGATGGTGATTACGTCAAATAGATTAGGATGCTCTTCCGTGGACTGAGTATTGAAAAATTAAAAGCTGGCATATTTGATGGATCCAGAATTCAGAAATTGATAAATGATTCAAATTTTGCTAGTTCCGTGACTGGTACTGAGTCTTCTCCCTGACACATCTTTGTCATTATTGTCAAAAACTTTTTGGGTAATCATAAAGCAACAAATTACGCAGAATTGGTGGAACACTTGCTTTTAAACTTTCAAAATATGGGCGAAACTATAAGCATTAAGGTACTCTCTCTCCATAGCCATCTAGACAAATTTCCAGAAAATCTTGACAATGAGTGAGGAACACATTGAGCTGTTCCATCAAGAAATAAAGGTGATGGAAAATAGATGTCAGGGCAGATGTAATTGACACTGGATGGCAGACTACTACTGAAACCTTCAATGTGATTATTCTGATTTTGCCACATAAAGGGAAATCACACAATGTTTTTCAAGCAATTAATTGTGATTGGTTTTGGGCTGTAAATATTATAAATATATTGGATATATTTTTATTTCCTATTTTAAGTGTTTGATTTTGTATAAATAGGTATATCTAGTTTCATTTAATTCAAGTTTTCTGCAATTTACAAATAACCTGTACTCATAAAATAAAATAAATTTTTTTTCGATGCGATTTCTATTATCTCAAAAACTACAGCCGATCTACCAAAACCAATGTCATATTTGCAATCTGTGCAACAAACATATTTACATAAAACAGAATTAACTTTTTTGGGCGAGAAAATGTGTGTTGACCAGCGTTGTAGGATAGTAAATTCTCGTTCTAGATCGAAATTTTCATTGAAAAATTGGGAGCTGTTTTTCAAAAAATGTTTCAACTTTACTGAAAAAGTGAAATTTGATGCACTTTTCGCAGAAAACTTTTTTGTTTTTGAGTAGTCCATTGACAGTCATTTGAAGCACTTCTCTCACAAATGCAATAATGTATACAAATCATTGAAACCATTTTTATATTAATGGGGTGAGAAATATTTCAAAAAAATTACATTGCGTAATTTTTGGAAAAACAAAAAAATGCAGCAAAATGGCTTTTGTTATTTATTTCAATACATTTAGCTTCCCTACCAAAAGTTTAAAGAAAAATTGCAGCCTCTTTTTGCATTATTTTTTAATATTGCACATATTTCACTCAATATTGTGTGAATACTTCTAAAATTTTCAGAAAAATGTACATTAATGAAAGAAATAAAGATGGAGAACGAAGTTCATTTGTAGCAAAAAACTGTATCTTTAATATTTGAGCTCTAGGGAGACATCCAAAATAATTCGAATTCTGGAATTTTCGATATTTTAGAGTTACAGTGAAAATTGTATCTTTGCTACCTTTATAAGAGTACGCTCAATTATAATTAGAATTTTAAAAAAAATGGAGCAATTTTTGAGAGAATTTTGAAAATGTCCCAAGGGCTTAATGTAAAGTACTCCCAAAGTTTAAAGAATGTTTTTCAAAATTTCTAAAATTGCAGAGCTTTGAGTCGAGCCAGGTCGACTAACAAATATACATTTTAGAAAAAGAACTGCAAATAGTTTGGGCATTGGTGTTGTTTATGGACAGATGGACTTTTTGAAGAAAAAACACTTCATGTATCAGGGGACCAAAAAACGTGTATTTCGATTGAAATCTCAAAATCGATTTTCCGCGGCGCTCTATACTATATATATTACTCCATATATCCATACGTATACAAGAAAGTAATGAAAGAAAGTATGCAGTTGTAGTACCTCTAATTTAAAAGTTGTTTTAGTGTGATTTTAAAACAAAAATGTAAGAACTATATGCAAGTAGTGTCTCAGCCAAAAATACTTCCTTGGAGTTGTTTGAAAATGTTTGGAGGCATTTTACCATCGTATTCCGCAGTAGTCTTTGCTAAGAATTGTCAATTGTATTACTTCCAATAATGTGATTTTGTTTGTAAAAGTAATGTATTTCTTACACAACCCATGAAATAATATATTGTATCTAGTATTTTATTTATGTGACTGCAAACTAGTGTAAAGGGAATAGTTTAGAATTGTGAAACTTTTGTAATGATGTTTTGATTTTAGGGTGCAGCCTTTGGATTCTCAAGTATTGCAATTGCTTCTGGAGAACAATTAGCAGCATATCTTCCAAAGATTGTTCCTCGGCTGTATCGATATCAGTATGATCCAACACCTCGCATTCAAGCCTCAATGGCTAGCATTTGGAAAGCATTGGTACCAGAACCTCAGAAAGCTGTAGGTCTCTTCTCTCATGATGTATTAAAAAGGAAGCTGTTTACTACTTTGGCAAATACTTCAAATCTAAATTATGTAATTTTCGTCAACAGGTTGACCTGTACCATTCAGAAATATTGGAAGATCTTGTTACTAATTTAACAAATTCTCAGTGGCGTGTACGGACTTCTTGCTGTTTGGCTCTTGCTGACTTTTTGCGTGCTGGCAATAAGACCTTACTTGACTGTTTACCAAAGCTACCTCAGTTATGGACTCAGTTGTTCCGGGTAATGGATGATGTGCATGAGGGAACTCGTCAAGCAGCAACCAACACTGTTCGGATTTTGAGCAAAGTGAGTAATGTGGATTTTGGGATATTAATTTTAGTGTGTGGGAGAATCAAAATTTTATTTAGGAACTGAGTAAAGATTTTTCCTCATTGCTAATATGTAACAAGTTATAGTTGAGAAGTACTGGAATTCAAAAACTTTCTGGGTCATCAAGGCTTTCTGATTCATGTTGAATCAAAAACCATGTGTTTTTTCGTTATTGGTGTATAATGTGGAAATTTGAAAACCATCATATGATTCAATTTAAAACATACTTGTTATTCCAAGTTGTTAGATCTAACTTTGAATGGTAGTTGAATTTGAAATTAATAGCACACTATTTGCAGTAAATATTTCAGTAATTCTCAGTCTCTGCATGCTCTCCGCATCTTCACAATGATTTCCATTCATTTTCCCCTTGCTGTTGAAATTAATCAATAGTTAAGAACTGACATTTTTATAACTAATATAACTTTTTTGTCTTTTAGCTGACAGTGCGCAGCTGTGATACTAATCAAGGAAAAGGAAGTGAGGAGTTGATGAGTGTAATACTTCCAATTCTTTTGCAGAATGGAATATCAAGTACTGTTTCTGAAATAAGAATTGCAAGGTACGGTATTTCATATTATTGTATTTTGGCTTTTTCGTTTTCTCTGTGTAAATTATGTTGTGAGCATGTTAAGGAACACCTTTGAATATACATTCTTAATATTATCCTAGCATAGAAATTGGTCTGGTTGTTTGTACTCATTAAGCAATGTCTGTTGTGTTTATTAATGTATGTGTGTGTAATCATTTAATAATCAAATATGCAAGTGCGCAAAATTTGCAATCATTTAGGTGGATGCGCTTTAGATATCTTTCCTCGAAAGTTCGTGGGTGTGAATCCTTCCTGGAGTAGGGAGACGTTTCTTGCTGTGTTGAGATGTAGTGATTCTCAAACAGCATACCTTTCAGCCCACTTCCACTCCTAAACTATTTACCTTGGAGAAGAATTGGTCTGTGGAGTATGGTTTATAAATAGGAGTATATGGAAATCATTGCTGAGATGGGTCTGTGGGTCTCCTTCCTGACTGAGGGAGGGGGAGTCCAATCCTGGAAAATAGTACATCTGTGTACATCAAGCGTAATTGCAACAATATCATAAGTGCAGAACACTTCCAGTAAAGGAGAATTGCTGAGAGCATGACCAAAGGACAACCTAATAAACTACAGTAGTAAAAAAAAATCACTTAACAGTTCAATTAGCATATGCATCCCTTTATCAACTGAAATGAAGAGATTGATGCGTTAATGGTTTTTAGTAATAGTAGCTGCAAATTCCTTTTTGTTTTTTCCTTTATATTTGCTTATAATTATTTACATTATTGTCAATGTGGATGGTCTTTTTCATTGAATGTAATTCTCAAGGGCTCAGGAGAGAAACAAAGGAATATGCTCAAAAGTCAACAAAAACATACGGCTGACTCAAGAAATATTAATATATGTTCTCCTTAAAAAGTTGTTAGAGTGTAAATATCTGTAATTTTTCTCCATTTTGTGCAGCAGAAAACAAAATAATACAAACAAATAAACAAACAAACATACTGACTGGAAAAAGAGCTTAAGTATTAGGAATGTATTATCAGTGTCATTTGTATCTGAGAATTTTCTTATATTGGGAGCGTTTGCTTCAGGATCTTTATTTTGTCTAAGGAAATGTTATTTTTAATCTACAAAATTCACCATTTTAATCAAATCGATGACTAATGTGTGATGTGTTTCTATATAATTTTTTTCATCACCCAATAAACAATTTTTCTTTTCAACATAGAAATAAGTGAAAATTAATAGGGAATTAATTTACTAATTTATTTAAACATTTGGGGGCTTTAGCCTAAAAGTACAAACTCTTGCACATATACATTTTTATTCAATTTGTTTTAAAAAATGATTCTTGCTATTCTTTTAGTGACACATTGGAGCAATTTAAAATGAAGGACTGAACAAATTCATTACCAAATTTTGATAGTCTTGCAACTGATATATGAGCTATAAGATGTCCTGTGAGATTTACAAGGAGAGGTAGCTCAGGGCATCAACTGATGTCACTGCAGGGGTCTAGTTCAAGTCCCGACAGTGGCACTATTTTCAAACCAACTAGATAGCTGGCTCAAATTCAGTTGCTGTCTGAAGGACAATTCTAGTGACTGGCAGCTCTAATTGGTAGTTCCCCCTGCTAAGATCTTACTACCAAAACTACCACACAGCTAGAGAGCAAAAAGTGCACTACACCTTTGGAATTAATGACCTTAGGCAGTTGATGCCCTGGAATCACGAATCAATTTATCAAACGAAACTGCTTATGAGCAGAAGATAAGAATTGCAGTTTTATTGCTGTTTGCTATGCAATGCAAAACTCTCCAGTAACTTTTTGCATGCATACGTGTACAGTAATTCAAACAATCAATATTTAGTCCTCTGACTTGCCTCTGCATTGTGCAGGAGCTTAGTGTAACAAAGGTTTCAAGATTTAATGTTAAAATCAATCTTCAGGTAACTTGTGTATAATTTTATAACTAATACATCCATAAATTATTCCTGCCATATTTATTTAAGGTGTTATTTTGCCAAAAAGCTTTTAAAGACTCTGAATATGATTTTTTACTGAGTGGATTATCTACACATAAGTTAAATATGGCAGGAAGTAATTCAATTGTATATCTTGTGCATTCATTATCCTCTAAAGCTCAGAAAAGTCATGTATGTGTGTCTGTCATCATGGAAAATCATTGGTGCATGGCTTAATAAACCAAAATGTTGGGAATAAAAAAAATCTTCTCTGACCAAGCTCAATTAGGAAAACTCACTATTAAATTATCAAGGAATAGTATACAAATCTCAGTGTACAGAAGCCATAGAATCTCAAGAAAAAGATTCGCCTTGCCTATAACAGTATGATTGATTCATCTCTTGCGACAAATTAAAGCTTGCCTTGAAACAGCACTGAAAGTACAGGGAAACCATATGGTTCTAGATGGTATATAACATAGAACTTGAAAATATTCTGGTGCACTCTATGAATTTGTATATATCACCTGTATAATGGGTGAGAAGCTACCCAATAGCTCGAAAAACATGAAAGGTAATATCTATTTTTAAAAAAAGGTTAAGGAAACGAGTTGTGAGAAAATTAGCTGAAGTATTTAGCTGTATGAATGCTGTTCTAAAAGGTATTGGAAAATATAATCAATGCTTGACTGAAAAATTCATTACAGGGCCAAATTACTGAAAGCAACGTCATGTATTAGGAAAGGACACTCATTGTAATGCCAAATATTTAAATATGAGAAGAATTCTTAAGAAGCGACGAGAAGTCAAGAATGAACCGCACGTTAAGCCTTTATACTGTTTGAGAAAGTTTTTTGACCAGTGTGACTGACAGAAACTAGGAATATGATGAAATAAATGCGCTATCTTGAAGAGGCACGAAAAATTATTATAAATAACTGGACAAAGAAGACTGAAGAAATCATTAATAAAACAAGAACTGTATGCAAAACAAAGATATCCAAAAAGAACTGGATATATATAATCGTAAATTAATAAGATAGGAAGAATACAGAGTAATTATGGAAAGCATTATGTGAAAGAATGGATGAAGAAAGAATCTGATGACTAGTGATGAAGCATGATCTGAAAGGATGCACGATATGCCTAGTTGAGCCAGAAGAGATGCTCTGAAGTGTAAGTGAGATGGAAACAAGCACTAATGCTAATCCTTGAATGCGAAGAAGAGACCTTGCGCTCTCAAGGCTGAGCTGTACAATTGTTATTTATCTTGAAAGTAGCTAAAAAGAGACCAAAGCGTGCAGTTGTCTATCATGGTGCTGTAACGTAATATTTAATCACTAAACAAATGCATTTTGGATTTTAGCTACATGTAATAATACAATGTTTTACCTCTCATCTCCTTTTAAACATTAGCTTTTTTTAACAATGCGCTATATGATTAATGGTTTTTAGTTGACTTCGGTTGAACCCTAATACATTGCAAATAAATAATGAACATTTTATCTGCTGAAGGAAGATTTTGTAGTTTGGATGTAATAATTACATATTTAACCCACCCGGAACACATTATTAATTGAGAGTATGTAATGAACCGTGCATAAACACACGTTGTTGGACGTCAAATGTAAGAATCGCGTTAAACCACACTTTGGATCGGCGAATGTAATGAAGCGTGCCGGAGAAACACGTTGATACGTTACATTTGGGGGGGGCTAAGCCCTGCAACGAACCTGCTTCTTCAGAGCCAGTTTTGGGAATCTCGAGGGTGGACAGCTCTGGGTCGGGGAGAACCTCAAAGTTTTCTAGTCTTTGAACGCATGGGAATAGCGATAACTGATCTGTTGTATTAACGTGGCCGGTGATTACTTCGCCTCTGCAATTGCACGGGCCGGGTTCAGGCGGAGGCAGGCTGGGGCCCGATGCGCACCAATGACGCGCCTGCCTGGGGGTAGGTGGCCGCCGGACCCGATCAAATGAAAAGTCGAGAGACGAGGCGCCGATTCGTTCGGTGGTTGAAAAGCGGATGGCGTGCAGTCGTCTGGTCACTTGTGGCTAGCTTGCCCTGCTGTTCGTCCGATTTGGATTTCCCAGAACGTTCTTAAGTTTATCGGATGATCATAGTCTTAGGACACCCTTGTGAAAGTGTGAAGCATTGATTCTATTGGTAGGCATTGTTTCTTTTCGGCCGGTTGACGGGAAGTCGTTGCAGTAGCTGCTGCGTAGATTGCCGTTACGTTACATCCTAAGGAATTATGGAGGCTTGGGAGGTATACACTCGTAATAATTCGGCTTGCCACGATAGAACGAACTATGTGTCACGTGGATGTGGGTTAGCTATTGCGCGCGTAGATTCTCAAATAGCTCTCATAAAGCGCTCTCACGGAAACTCGATATCGTCTTTTGTGAGGGTGAGATGGGCCTGCGATGGATGGCTGTCGGCATGGGGGCGTGTGCGACTATTTTTGATTCCCCTACACTTACAGTCAAGACCTTCGGTCCCCTTCTCAGGTCGCGATAGCAGCGCTCTTCCGAACGTAGCAGCTCGTAGCAAAGCTTTGGTTTAAATGGAGGTCTTCCCACGTGCGGCGGAAGCGCGTACACGCCAATGCCAGCAGAACACGGATTTAAATGTTAGTTTTGCCACTGCACCGCTGGTCGCGGCGTTTCACCTGCTGCATCCCTTGGTTCGTCGGCGGACCCTCCCAGTTTCTACGGCGTGGGGAGAAAGCTTTCGTCCCGCGCGAAAGGGCAGCTGCTGCGAGGCTAATTCACGGGGTCGGAGGCAGGGGGCGAAGGGTTGCGGCGAAATAAGCGCGAGCGGGCGCCCGTGATGAGCGTATCTTAGCACGACTAATTGCAATATAACGGAAATCAGATAAGGTAATAGTTACTTACGATAAAGTTACCTTAGATTACCTGACAATGTTATTACTGCATAAGCCAAAAGTTTAAAATCCTAGCCGGAGCGTCGCGGAGCCGAAATTTTTAATTTGGACGAGGCAGTAAATAACAGTAACATTTCGTGCTATGTTCAGCAGTTTATCGGCCACCATAAAATCTCACGATTAATGCGAAAATTAACATTACATCGATAGTAAACAAATGAATTCTGTGGCTGCGGCACGTTACTACGATATGGTAGGGTGTTGCTTGTTATATAACTTTAAACAAAATTCGTATTCCGTGATTTGAGAAAAGGTGGATGCAAATAATTCTCCTGAGCCTAAAGATACTTAAAGAATTGACGTTCGATGCGGAAGTTCGCCCGTCGACGTGCAGTGGCGACACCTTCAGATCGTCAGTAAATATGATAACCATAAGAGTTTCATGTGGTGGTATATCAGGAAAATGAGGATAATTAACCTACTACACTTTTTAATTACACTATTAATATTACAATTAACAATAATTATCCCCAAACAATTATGAGCTACTTTTATTCTAAATTGTATGAATCTGATTTGTACAAAACATCTCCAGTTTTTTAATAAACATTGGACTTGCGGTGAATCAATGGTTGTTCATTTATATCACCAAGGATGTTAAAACCCGTTGCTAAGCTTGTTAAATTTCTTAACACACTGGTAGGTACAAGTGCACTTAACAAATTTGTAGGGTTGCATGTTAACAGGGCTATAAAGACACATGTGGACAGATAAAAGTAGTGAAAGTATCCTGTTTTGTGAGTAGGAATGATTTAAGATAAAGTCAGCAGGCAAGCAAAATAAAAATACTTTTAATGTGTCATACACTATTTTTAGACAGTCTTAGCAACTTCCATTTTATTTTAATTCAAGTACACAAATCTAATTGGATGATATGTCATTAAAAACAATAACAGATGCGGTCAGATGACAGTGATTTGTTATCTTTGTTGTAATCACTGTTAAACCTAAATTTTAGGCATTGTTTCACTTTTATCACTAGTTCTAAAATTGGAATTTTTATTATGCTGTGCATGCCCTAAATATAACTGCTAGTGGCCCTCTAAAAATGTAGTTATATGTGGTTGGCAAATTAGGAAACAATTCTTATGTCAATTACTGTCACCTTTGCTCTGTTGTATTTTTCAGCTTGCAGTGTATATCTCAACTTGTGGGGGCAGCTGGCCCCTTGTTGCGGCCTCATTTGCCCTTGTTAATTCCAGCCCTCTTGGAAGCCACTAGTGAAATGGAGTTACGTGGCCTTAGTCACCTTAGTGTGCAGTATAGCGCAGAGCAACAGAAACAAGAAAAAATTGATTCTCTTAGAGCATCTGCAGCCAAAAGTCATTACACGACCGAGACGGTTAGCAAGGTAAGTAAATGAAGTATATCTTGAGAAAAATATAAATTTAAAGAAAATTAAAAAGTCACAGTTATAATTGAGGTTTTTTAGAAGTGTTATGATATTTGACATGTTTGAAACTTGGCAAATGAGACAATTGCTACTCTTGTGCTACAGCTGACACAGTATAAAGAAATTAATGTAATGCCGCGGGAAAACGGCGAATTCCTTCAGAAAAACTCTTATTGTCAGGGTCTAGTAACGAAAAAGTGGATAAATCCAGTTGCTAAAGAGAGAAAAATATTCCTCTAGCATGTTGTGCAGTCAGAATCCATGATTTGTGTTCCCTTGATACCGAAAAATCGATTGGCGGCAAAACGTCCGTTTAACTATTAACGACGCTAGCGCCTAAACAGTTTAGCCGATTTTCTCCAATATTTATATTCCCTTATGGGTCTGGCTGATGTCGCAGCCTCTTGAATTTGAAACCGGTATTTTAATTTTGAGGATACTTTACATGATGCATCCGAGACATTTCCAACATTTTATATAGTTTGACCTCGGATATCGTAAAGGACGCTGAAGAGAACGGCGCCGGTCTAATTTTCGTTGAAATTCCTGTTTTTTCGGCGTCTTCCTACAACTAAAGTATTGAAGATAGATTTTTTCCTTAATGAAATCTGTTTATTAAAGACAGATTTTGAAATATGGTCATATACAAATTTTTCGAAAGTTTCAGTACGCGTAATTTTGCGTGAAATATAGCAGGCTTTTAATTCGTTTAAAAGTTGTTTTTTTAAACAAAAAAAAGCACAACTTTTGTTTACATTTTGTGCGCGGATAGTGTAAAGGACACTTAAGGGAATGATGCAGGTCTCATGTTCGTTAAAATCCCTAATTTTTCGAAAATCGTAGAAATTCAAATTTTTTTGCCGTTTTCCTACAACTAGATAGGAAGATAATTTTTTTCTTAATAAAATACGTTAATCAAAAACAGATATTCTAATAAGGTCATGTTCAGTTTTTCGAAATGCCGACAGAAATGTTATGGGGAATTTTGGCAATTATTAATTAATTAATTTAATAAATGGGATGAATCGTTAACAAAAAGAAAAATACATAAAAGTTCATAATATCGAAATAACAAAAAATTAAAATAGTCATAACCATAAAAGGATAAAAGTGTTGTAAAAACAAAAAAGGAGATATTAGGAAGGAGTGTTTAAAAAGAAAACAATTAAAGATGTCTTTCAAATCATTTAAAGACAGAATTGAAAAAGAAGTTTAAGAAAACTACAAATATTTTTTAAGACTTGATTGAAAAAAAAAATCTATTCTATCGGCATAGTAAGTGGTGGCCCTGGGGCTCGGTGGTACGTCTTCAATAATCTGTTGAAGATGTCATAATAGCTGTGTACTCAAATACCCAAAAGTTCATATTCCGACCTCAGCGACCTCTCGTGAGCGGTGCCCGTATTTTCCGGGGGCGCCGCCGTCTGGCTGCTGCGACCCGGTGGCGGTTCTTTTAACGGGACGCCGGCGACCACGTAACCCTCCGCGCCCAAATGCTAATCGCATCGATCGGCTGGATCTCCTGGGCCGCAGATCTGCTTTGGAGGATTGTGCTGCTTCGCTGCCGTCTGACGTTTCCTCCAGGAACTGCTTGCTCCGTTGTTGTAGAGCTCCCCGCGGCTGGTGCCCGTGGACTGTTTACAACTTTTCTCCTGAACTCCTGAAAGATAACTGAGTCTGCCTTGTAGTCGTAATCATTGGAACATAAATAATTAAATCAAGTTTGAATAAAATCTAGACCAGTGGTGTAGAGAAAGTACAGTGGTGTAGTACTGCGGCAAAATTCATTTTGTGGGTCTCTTACACAGAAATTGTCATTCTTGTTTTTATTTACGGTAACAACTAACATGCTGTGTAGTCAGAATCCATTTTGTGTTGGTCCATAATATTTTAAAATGTCTGTCTGCTGTCGTCTACGCTAGCAACTAAACTGTTGTGACGGTTTTCTCTGAAAAAGATGTTCCGCAATTGATTTGGTTTAATTCGAGACCGTTTGAATTTGAAACGGATATTTTGTTGTTTGTAAGTACTTTGGGTGAAGCGTCGACATTTTAAAAAACATTTCTGTTCCAAAATTTTTCCTTACATAAAATACGCTTATACAAATGTATGCATGTAAAATGGTCCCATTTTCGTTAAGCTCTCCGAATCTTCAAAAAATGCGAAAGTTAATTTTTCACCCGGCATCTTCCTGTAACTGCAATATTGAAGATGTGTTTCTTGTTATCTTTTCCTTAATGAAATCTTTGCTTCAAAGACTTATTTTAGGTCATAAAACAATTTTTCAAAAATTAGTAGTGTTTTTAAGATTTTTCGCAATATATAGGCAATATGAGGAAAAAATAATGAATCAGCTCCAAATGTTTTCTTATATTTTCTCTAGTAGGCTGTAGGGTAGGGTAAAATACCCTCTTAACTAGTGGTGCTACAAAATGGTACAGATTTTCCCGTATTAGTTTTCCATTTTCTTTGGTCTCGGCTAACTATTCGATCTTGCCACATATTATTGCCTGCTGCTATTGCCTCCCAAAGTACATTTTTTTGGTTACCTAATAATAGAACGGATCTATTATTTCATGGATATTAAATAACAGTAAAGCCTTGTCTTAAAAGGCAATTTTCTTTGAAAATTTTGTAGTAGTTTTTAAGACAATGGCGCTTAAGCGCCACTGTAAATTCGAAATTTGAAGCTTTTTCACAGAAAATTTTCGAGTTTTTGAAAAACTTCATTTGAAGCACTATTACTCACAAATATAATAGTGTTCACAAATGTGCATATTAACGGCGTGAGAGATATTTCAATATTTTTTTGAAAAAACAAAAGAATAGAGCATTATGGCCCCTACCAAAAGTTAAAAGAACAATATTTGAGCAGTTTTTTGAGAAAATAGTGTTATGAGTGTTTCTGAAAATGCGGAATTTTGAGCTCATTTACAGAAAACTTTTTGAGTTTTAGATATATTTTATTGGAAATCATTTAAAGCATATGAACTCGTAAATGAAGTAATGTGAACAAATCGCTGGTAATGTAATTATTGACGTGAGAGGCTAGTCAAAATAATTACATTTTTGTAATTTTTGAAAAAACGAAAAAATAGAGAAATATAGCGTTTGTCATAGAGCTTATTTAGCACTATCCCTACCAAATGTTGAAAGAAAATTTGGAAATTACATGAGTTTCTTAGAAAATAGTGTTATTTTTTTAAATTTGCACAAATTTTACGCAATTGCTCGAAAACTATTTAAATTTTCAAAAAATGTACATGACCTTAATGAAAGAACAAATTATGGACAATACATTTTATTTAAAAGAAAAATCTCTATCATTAATTTTGTAGTTGTACGAAGACCCCGAAAAATTCTAACTTTTACAATTTAAAAAATTCAGAGTTAACCGTGAAAATTGTGTCCTATTGAACGTGTCCTATGACAAGTTTATAAGTGTATTTTACTTTATTCTGTCAGGAAATTGAAAGAAATAGTTTGGAGCCGGTTTTGAGAGAATTTTGAAAGTGCCCTAGGGGCTTGAAGTAAAGTACTCCCAAAAACTAATGAATGATTTTTAAACTCCCAGAGCTTTGACTCAGGCCAAATGGACAGGGCTTTCTTCAATTTGGAAAAAATCCTGCGCATGGTATAGGTGCTGTGTTGCGCACATACAACAGATAGACATGCGGATGGATGGATGTTTAAGGGGGAAAAAAATCGGTATCAGGGGACCCCAAAACGTGTATTCCCGTTGAAATCTCAAAGTCAATTTTCCGTAGTATTATATAACTTTCCCTATACTATGTATAATACTCCGCATTTAGGTACATGTACGGGAAAGTAAAAGTGGCACAGGTGCCATTTCCTGTGAACTCTGCATTATTGAAAATTGCTATAGTTAAAGTTCCAAAACTTCAGTGGTGTAGCATGACTCACGCGTTTGGGGATGCTTAACAATAACACGAACTGAAGACATCATGATCTTTAATGTTCTGTAGAATCTATGTTAGTGAAACGAATTTTAAAATACTTAAACAGCTTTGTCATGAGACTTCTTAAAAGCAAAATATGCAATGTCTCAGCTTTAATTCTCATGTGTGATTGGCAATGAGATCACTTGTAAATTTATACATTTCAGACCAATAGACCATAGTCGTTATTAATTAAGAATTAATTACCACTATTTCTACTGTCTGTTCTCATGACCAACAAGAGAATCACGAGTGGGAAAGAAAAAACATTTCACTGACAAGTGTGCTGCGCTCTTGTGCATGAACGAGCTTGTAATAAATTGTCTAAAAGGGTATATTATGGATTAGGGCATACAAAACAAAGTTTTCATTTTAATAAAATTTGAGTTTTAAGGTTATGAAAAACACAATGTTTTAAGAGTTGTGAATGATATGTAATGTGGATGATGTGCGATAGTAGTGCGTTGCTGCAGGATGCAGGTTTCATCTGAATAGTATATTATTTAATTTAATATATTTGTAACTCATTTTATGTACAAATTGTCCTTTTTTGCACTCCTCCAGCTAAACTTTAACTATGCCCAAAAGCTCACTCTCCTCCACATGTGCAATATGCTTAAAAAGGGGTACAAAGTTTTCTCTTAATATAGATTTGTATAGAGATTATTGTTGTTATAATAACTTGTTATTATATCTTTGTAAATAAAGTTAACACACTTCATAGACTGAAGGATAAAAGAGCGAGTCTTTGTGCAAAAACTGATTTACAAAGATAAATTATATTGAAATAATGTATTTTAACACATGGAATGAAAAAAAGGATGGTTTGGTTGTTCATGGTAATGGCTGTTTATGGTAATTGGTAAGAAATTGGATAGTCATTAAGAAAACGATGATACATGAAGGTGATTAAAGAAAAATAAAGCAAAGAAAAGAAAACTTATCCAATGAAGTAAAATGCAAGTGAAAACTGTTTTTCCCCCTTCTTTTTTTATATGTTTAATCTGTTTCGTACAATTTGTTCTATTTACAGTGTGTGCAGTACATGGATGCAAGTGCATTAGAGCAGTTAATACCACGATTGCTAGAACTAATGAAGGGTTCTGTGGGTCTTGCTACTAGAGTAGCTTCTGCTCATTTTATAGTGTTGCTCACACACCACCTTAAAATTGAACTTCAACCTTATACTGGTAGGTGGGCTTTTAAATTATTATTCCTTTAAATGTTTCATGGTATTTTTGGATAATTAGGAGCGTTATTTTGGGAATTCTAGTGCAGATATGGTTATGAGTGGAATGCAGTGTTCATTTATTCAGTGACATGAGTGTGGGCTCTTGCTCTAATCGTGCCAATGTTACCGCTAGAAATGTGTTACTTAGGATTGGGCAGGGATTGAAAAAGAAATCTTGACCTCTTTATTAATTAGATCGCTGGTGAAGTAGATACCTTTTAATAATTAAATATGGTAAATTAAAGGTGTTGTCTGGTAATCAAAAAATTATTTTGCTAATGATCGTTTTGATTGCATAGTGATCATCCTCAGGGCTAAAATTGGAATTATCGAAATAAAATGATATTAATATATGAATTGTATATAAAAATAGGTATAAGTTAATACAAAATATATACTAAATATAGACATTGTATGCCAGATGCGTAAGCAAACGTTGTCGTACATTCCTTGCAGCTTCTGGGCCGAAAACAAGTTCTCTGGGCCAAACACGATCAAAACGATCATTAGCAAAATAAATTTTTGATACCAGTCAACACCTTTAATTTACCATATTTAATTGACATTTCTACTTATGTTTTTAAATATTTCCAGAGTACAACTTTATACCTCTGACCAATGCCCTAAAAGATTCTGATCCAGTTTTTTACAAAATTATCCCTAAAGTTATTTGGCGAGATGGCCATATCTTCATAGTGTTCCTATGACTTATAGCTCAACTTCATATCATTAGTATGAACTCCTATTACAGGTTCCCCAAAACAGTGAGAGATTCACAGCTGTATGATGTAAATAGTTTGTTCTGACTGAATTCTATTGAAGTCTGTAAATTGTTGAGTCTGATTTCACATGCCATACCTTGCATGCCTTACACAAATATAGCAATTCAATGAAAGTAAGTTTGCCCACCTTGGGGCTATGACACTGCGCTGATAGATTAGTGTTCAGCAAATTACCAGATCTCCTAACTGTTATGAATAACTGTTATTTTTAATGTGAGAAAATTTTGTAGGTATACTTATGTTTCCATTAAAAGCTTAATCAAATCATAAGATTTATCACCAATATAATTATCATCATTTAGGCCTGTTCTTTTAATTTTACTAGTGTTCTCTTCATTTCTTCCAGACATCCCTGATTTTTCCATGTGCTTAGGGCTCTTAATCCTCTTGGCTTGTAACAGTGTTTCAGTGTTGTTCTTTGGAAATGTTGTCTTCATATGTTTTTGCATATTCTTGCCATTTCATTTGGTATTTGTTTCTGAAAACATATTTTGTTACTTCGGTACTATCTCAAAACATATTTTACTTGGAGTTTTCTTTTTGAATATCTTCATTTCTCATCTTTTCTCTCTTTGACAAGTTCAAATTGACCCAAGATATCTCATTTCAATGGCTCGATTCAGTTTTTGTCTGTTTTAATATCCATGTTTCTCATTTAATTTATTGTTCTGTTATAAGAATTTTTATTTGTTCTTGAACAGTGTGCCTGCTGCCTTTTGGAAAACCATTTTTTGTGGTTTCGTTCAGCTGCATTTTTGCTACTGCAGGCTACTATTGTCTGTATTTGCTGACCATGCCTCAGTCCTACCTCATTCTATTTCCTCATTGGGGTGGGTCAGTTCACATCCTGATAGGAGAATGCAGACAAGTTTTAACGTTTGTTCCTTTCTCCATCTCATACTGACTATTTCATGTGTGACCATTGCTCTTTTATCACCTTTTTTTGCCTCATGCTGAATATCCACCCATGTGCGTGGCAGCCATCTAGAAGGGAAAGGCAAGGTACCACTTTCTGGAAAATGTGGAAAACCGAAAAAATGTGGAAATTTCTCTGCTTTGGAAAAAGCAGGGAATTTGCGGCTAGAAGTCAGGGAAAATTTTGAGAGGATTTTTAAACAAGATGTTAGTCCTTAAAAACATTGGTTCATCATTATTTTTTTCAGATTTTATTTGGTGACAAAATATTGTTAATTTGAACTTGCAATGGCAAACTCAGACAGCTGACCTCATGCTGAATATCCACCCATGTGCGTGGGGTGTAGGGTGGTGTTAATATTTTCTTTAAGTAGTGTGAAATTACAATTCAGATCAGGAAAAAACGAAATAAAATCTCTGGAAAACCAGGAAAGGTAACAGTTATTTTTTCCAGGAAATAATGACCACCTTGAATGAGTGACTTGAGGGTTGAGGGGTCTAAAAGTACTAGCGTATATGCTGCCTTGACACTGGAACCTCAGGGTCGACCATCTAACTGTTCATAGTGCAAACCCCAGAGAGTCCTCGTGGCACCTTGTAGATATGCACTACGAGCTCCCACACTGTTTTCTCTTCTTTAAGATGGACAGTCATTATCAATAAACCCGGTCTAGCTCTCTCCACTGAACTCCAGGGTTAGCCATGGTGAGGCGTCCATCCATCATACATGCCCACTCTGGTGCACCAGGCCCCTTGTTGGGTGTTCCTTCCTTCCTCTTCAGGAAGGAAGGGGAGACATTTTTAAATGTACCATTCTTATGAATACTTTTTCCTTTGGGGTGAGATCAGACCTAAGAAACTGCATTTGTTTTCATGGCTTGTGCAGGGGAAGGAAAAATATTTGAAAGTGACAGCGCAGTCCGTTTTGAGCCATAGGAGAATTTTTCAGAAAGCTCCAAGTGGTGGTGTGATGAAGGTGAAATACCATTTTTTTAAAGCATCACTGATAAGGAAATTGACAAAATCCTAAAATCCAAGCAGATTTCCAGCCTCCAAGTGGAAATGAATACTTGCCCTGTCCTTAACCTTTGTTGGGGTGTGGTTGACCATGAGGACTTTTCATTAGAAACTGAGGAGGTACTTCTATCCTTCTTTGAGAATGTGCCGTAGGATCAAGAGGAAGAGTGTGGGAGAAATGCCAAAGTTTCAGGTATACACAAAAAAGATGAGTGACAGAAAGACAATTATACTCGAAGTATGGCAGTCACTACATTTCATCTTTGCTTGTGCAAGTTTTCTTGATGCACAAGCTCCCTAGCACTCACCAAGCAATGAATAACAAAGCCCATTGAGATACTTGGGTTTGTCTCCGAACATCACATGCCAATTTACAATGCTGCCTTCAAAGCAATTGTAGCACTTCTCATGGCATGCTTTGGCATGTTAAGTTCATACTAAGAAATTGGTATGCTCCTTTAAGCCAAGACGTAGCCAGAGCTCTCCTCCCCTCCCCCTCCATTGTGGAATATCAAGAAAACTTGCGTATATAATAGATCTGCCACAGTCTTCTAGTGCTGTGATTGTATGCACATCTGATGCATGGGTCCCCCTCTAGTTTCCTTAGGAGGAAAATTAATATTTTCTACCAAAAACAAGATACAGGAAGTTACTTGACTCTCATAGTTCACACACATCTCCTGCACGAAGATTGATGTCAATCATTTATCCATCCCGGACTCATTTCAAATGTCTGTTCTTCCAAGTCCTGACTCCTTGCACCAAATCATGAGATGAGCTTTTAGTGATCACTCAATTTCTCTAACAGTGCCCAAGAGGAAACTTCTTCCGAGATTGACAATGGAAACTTTATCTGGGAAGGCAACCCCTTTAGGGACCAATGACAGAAACATAAAAAGGAAAAGAAAAAGATGTAATTGTTACACAGAGAATAACACTTCTATAATGAGGAATTGTCTTTTCAATTCTGTTCTTCACCCTGTTGCAGCATCTGATGTAACCAGTTATTGTTAAATTGTTTGATCTAAACAAGTATTGCTTTTGCATTGTGAAACATTCATGTTGTCTCAATATGTTATATTAGTGTTATGTCACTCAAACAGTAAGCTGAGTAATATACTAAAGTGTTAATTAATTGTAATATTGTAGGTGTAGATGATTTGTCTTCACTGTAGCAACTTCTTGGTTTTTGCAACTACACATCGCTCATTTGTTCTTTTCCACAGGTAAATTACTGTCTGCTCTTTTTAATGGCTTGTTAGATCGAAATGCTGTTGTGAGGAAAAATTATGCTACGACCATTGGATATTTGTTATCAACTGCTAAGGACTCGAGTGTTGAAAAATTATTTACAAAAATTAGACAGTGGTACTTCGAAAAAGAAGGTACTTTATTTCTTCTTTTGCAATTTGACATGAAATTAAAAAATAATAATCATAATCAATAATTTCAGGTTTAGTTTGTGTATAAATTAGAAATTTTAATAGGATTAATCATGCTAAAGAAATATTATTTTCTTCAATGTTGTACTGTGTTTATATTTTGTTTCAATGTGAATTTTTCAGTTTTTTGAAAATGAATAAATTATTCAAAGAAATATTTTTTCTGCTTTGAGGTAGAAGTAACAATTTTGTGAACAATGAGGCATCAATTCAATTCAACAAACTAAAATGTTCTTTTCTTTCTTGTTTTTAATAGATGATTCTGTCAGATCTGCGTTGGCTTTCACTCTGTTGGCTATTGGTCAGCATAATCAGGAATTACTAAAGGAGCATGCTTCTGTTATTCTGCCACTGGTATTTTTGGCAATGCATGCATGTAAATTACCTGGTAAGATGAGGATTTTTTTAATGAGTACTAATTTTCTATTACTGAAGATTTTACAAAACTTCCTGTTTTAATAGAGGGTAGCAGTGTTGAAATATGGGAGGAAGTATGGCAAGAATCTACTCCTGGTACTGAAGGTGGAATTAGACAACATGCTCCGGAAATTATTATGACTCTTAAAGAGGCTTTAGAATCTCCCTCATGGACTATGAAAGCACAGGTTTTTATTGTGAATGTTCAGATATTTTGAATGTTTGTAAATAAATTATTTTTTAAAATTAATGTGCTTCTTTTGTTTTTCAGGCCGCTAATGCCATTGCAACAGTTGCAAATAAAATTGGACCATTCTTGGACAAAGAATTTTGTAATGATCTTATTTCCATATTAGTGTGTGGCTTGAGTGGAAGAACCTGGAATGGAAAAGAAAATCTGCTTAAAGCATTGTCCACATTATGTACAAGTTGCAAGTTAGTGTCTGTTGTCCATCATAAATGCATCTTTATTATTATTCAGTGTATTGTAGAAAGCTGGAACTACAAACCCCTATTAATAAGAAATTGTTGAAGTGGCAGTATTTTAGTTCAGTCGGTAAGTACATTTTACCTGAAAAAGGTCATAAACACTTTTTCTTTGGGTATGTTGTATGTTATTGGGCACTAGCTAAAACACTTATAAGTTTGCGACCTCCCAGACCCTTTGCTAAGCCCTGGTGGATTGAAAAATCAGTGTTTTTTTTCTAACTTTTTTCTGTTTTTTTTTCTTTGTAACTCAAGACTCAGTCTTGTAGAAGAATTACTCCATTTAATTTTAAAAAGGATAAAATTTCTGACAACTTTTGTAGGAAATGTACGTTTGGAAACCAATCACCAAACAGTTACTGCTTAAAAAAACAACAAAACACCATGCAGCATTCGGCGAATCCCGAGCAACCGTTTGCCGAATCCCAAGTAGTGTGGACGGGTTGCTTGCTATTCGCCGAGCGCCGAACGTTCGGTATTCACACTACCCAGCGCATGTCAGTCTTTAGGACACATCAAAGGGAATGAGCATTCACCGAACACATCAGCTGGTCGGGATCGGGCGAGCTAAATCTTGCTACTCTGCGAATGCCGAATGTGTGGAGGCACCTTTAAATAAATATAATTATTATTACATATAATACTTTATTTAACTCAGTGAATTGTCAGTGTAAACATTGACTCAAAAATGTTCCCATTCCGAAAATGCTCCTTATCCTGCATTTTGCCTTTTTTGCAGTGTTGTGGCCTCATTTTGTGGCTAATGTGAACTTCATTCAGCCTTTGTCTGATGTTTGCTTTAAAACATTTCCTACAACAGAATTTATCCCATAATTTTCATTAACACTGTAGGGAAAGCACAGTTGCGATTTCCTTATATTTTACAGACCAAATATCTGGCGTTGCCCCAGTAAATATCACTATCATCTATTGAAGAGCCTTGCCCACAGTTCAGTGAGAGTACCTCATAGCACATTACAGTGGGGTATGTTTATTTTGGAAAGCATAGTGATGTTTAAAAATATCATTCCTTTCTAACCCACTCCTGCAGGAGCGACTTAATCTCACAATATTATTTTCTACATTGTCATTTTTCAGTAATAATGTATATAAAATTTTGTTGATATTAAATGGTTCCTGAGTTGAGCTGGAACACTAATACACTTACACATAGCCATCACTTTATCATATATTGATATTTTCAACAATGGGTACATTCATGATGCAATGTTTACACCAAAGGTGAAATAAATAATAGTATTATATATATTAATAATTATTATTGGTTGATATTATAATATCACAATTGAGTATTTTTGCACACATTTTGGAGAAATGAAAGTGTTGTTCTTGTTGGTGTTTTTTTTGACAATGTGCAGCTTGCTTGATAATTGCTTTAAGAAAAATGTTTCATACAAAAGTAGGAAATTTTATCCTCTTTAAAATCAAAAGAAAATATCCCAGTTTTTTGGGCCTCTTGCAGTTAGCTGGAAGGTTGAAAACTTGGTTTTAATTAATGCCTGAGTACATACAACATACACAAAGAAGACATTTTTCAGGCCTTTAACCAGGTAACTTTCATTTTTCAGTACCTGCCGACTGGACCGAACAATTTTGTTCACTATTCATTATTTAGAATTCAATTGAGATAATAAGCTCTGTTTAATTTGAATGTGTGTGTGTGTGTGTGTGTGTGTCAGCGGAATTAATTCTAGATTGTAGAAGTTTTAAATGACATTGAATTGACAATTGCATTTTACTATTATTTTGCAAAGAAAATCATACAATTTTTTAAAGAGAAACAAAGCATATAACAGTACAAAAGCTAAATATTTTTTGGAAAAAAAGACTGTTAAAAAAACTCAACAACTTTATTATGAATCTTCTGATATAAAAAATGATTGCAATGATGTACATTCAATTTGTTTTAAAAGATCCCCTCAGTATGCAGAATGTGACAGAAGTCAATTAACCGAAAGTGCATCTTAGATTATTGTAGCTTTAATGATTTACATAAAGTACTACTAACTAAAGTGTTAAAAGTGATGACCATTTGTTGTAGACATTAAAGACATATTTTAAATACTGATTTACATATCTTCTCATACAATGAGGAGTTGTTACTGAATTAGTTTTCAAATTCAATGAAATTCCTTAAATTTTGTAGTTATTATTTATTAAATATAGTAAACTTTGTCCTTAAATTTTTGCCACATCAGAAAACCACATGGTGTAGCTGTGTGTGTGTGTGTGTGCGTGCGCGCGCGCGCGCGTGCTCGCGTGCGCGAGAACTTCTCAACGTAAGGTTGTCTTACATTTTCTCAATTTCGATTAAATTTCCACAAGTGTAAAACAAACATTCACTGTTCTGTAGATAATTTTCTTTTCATCATGTAAATATTTCACCCCAATAATTGCGTGCAAAAATGAGGCCATGTCTCTAAAAGCCACTTTTTAATAACAAACCATTCTTGCTAATATTCTTTACACTAATTTGTGCATAGGTTTCTTGATTACTATACGAATTTTTGACGACCTTCGCGAAATTCGTCTTGGAGTGAACTACGACCACGATTTAATTCACCATACCATCGATAAACACAGGTCCTTGATGGAGCTTCATCGCCAAAAATTGAATTAAGTTCATCCATGCACTGTTGCTGAGTTAATCCACGTCGAAAGTTGAAAAACAAAAATCGCACTAAAATGTTCACTATTTAATTCCATTTTGGGGCCAAGATGAATATTTTAAGTTATTGTAAACAACACAAATAGCGTTCGTATGTCAAAACGTTCTGAGTACGTATAAATTCAAAACATCCAACTTTACCATAGAGCTGTCGGTTGCCAGATTGCAACACCAGGGTTGCCAAATCCGGAAACATAAAAGGCAACCTTGTTAGGAAATACGACCATTGACAAAATGTGCAGCGGTTAACTGACTTATGACTGCATCCTGCATTTATGGTTGTTACAATTCTAAAAAAAAATATATATACTATTTGAATGGTTGAACCATAAGATAGTTAAGAAAAGAGCTGCATAGTACTACGGAATATAAGATTGTACTATTAACTTATCAACTTCAAAATCTATAAATGTATGTACTCATTAAATCATTTGGTGTTCCTTCTCTGCCATTTCGGTACCTCAGACAAAAAAAAATGCAAATTTGTACTGGGTGGCCACTTTCTGGAAAGCTGGAGAAATTCAGGGAATTTGTGGAAGTCAAAGAAAATTTTGAGATTGTTATAACACTATATATTCCTAAAAAGATAGTATAGTGTTGCTTCTTGCAAATTGTTTAGGTTTAGGTTTTTATAATTTATACTATATTTCGGCCAAATCAAAGAGCCAACAAAATAGTTTCCGACTGTGTTAAAATTTTCTTGCAAATAGTGTGAAATACTCTACAAATTTTATAACTTAAAATATGTAAGAATGTTGTGGAAAAACTAGAATAAAATCCCAATATGGGAGAATATCAATGGCCCAATCCATATTAATTCAAAAGAAAGCGGATTAAATAAGCAAATGTTTCTCATTTAAGTTACTGAAAATTATTGTTATACTTTCAATGACTCTTTTTCCTTTGAGACAGAGATCTACTGAAGAATGAAGATTGTTCCTCGTTAATTGGAGCTGTATTTAAAGAATGTCGCAAAGATCAACTTGGCTATAAGAGAAATGCTCTTGTAGCTTTAGGTGATATCCTTTCGGCTTTGGAAGTTGATCGCTTTGATGAAGTTTATTCCATTGTGCAAGATGTGTTAACTGAGGTATATTAAGTTTTTTTACAAATAGTATTTAAGTGATAAAAATTTGTTTGGAGATAGTATTTTTTTTTTTTTTTAAATTTTCATCAGAGTTCTGCTGAAAATGGTCACAGTGAAGATGATGAATCAAGTCGCCAGGAACAACTACTACAGTTAAAAGAAGTTGTTTATGAGACATTGGGTAAAGCCTGGCCATCAAATCCTGAGACACAGGGTGTGTAAATTTGAAGAACTCAATTATGTTTCTGTTAAGCATTAATTGTAAAAGTAATGTGATATATGCTTGCAGTACGATATCACGAGCAACTTCTGGAGCAGTGTGTTTCCCATTTGGAGGGAAGTACACGAGGAGTGCAAGTTGCAATGATTGCTGCTCTTCATCATTATGTATCCAAATTACATCTTTTGGAACCTTCTGCCCTAGAAGACATAAGCAACCAGGAAATTTTGTCTACAATCATTGCTCAGATCAGCAAAGCTCTAATTTATGCACTAGGTTGGTAGCATCTCAGCATTTTTTAAATGGTTTTCATTTATAAGGTAAAGTTTACAGCAGTTTGTGTCATGGTCAATATAGGGTGAATGGAAAAACAAATATGCTGAACAATAGAAGAATAAAAATTCGCGGACCTACATGAATAATAATGTAGATTGGAGTTGATATTTCAGATACAAAGAGTTGAATATTGTAACTGAAATGAGATGACCCACAGCTTATGAAGCTCTGATTTACAACATTCAGGAAAAATATTGCATCCTGGTCAACGAGAATATTTGTTTGAAAATATCTGTGGAATTACAATTAATTTTCTTTTTTGTTTGTGATTTTTAGGAGTTGCCAAGCACACAAGACTGAAGAAAGAGGCTTTAAATGTTCTGTATTTATTAGTAAAAAGATTGCAAGGTGTGTACTTTTTAAAGAAATTTTAATTATATCCACAATTTTTCAGTAGTTTGTTGCATTTTGTTTCAATAAATGTTTATTGTTAGTGTACATAATTGAATTTTTGTGTTTGAAATTTCTCTTCTTTCTTCAGAAACAAAACAGACTGCAATTTTGCAAATGGTAACCGAATCACTGTGGGATCACCTTGAGGAAGCTGGTCGAGAAAATGCACCAGAGATTAAATCAAGGGTTGTCGACATCAAAGAATTAATCAAGTCATGAGGCTACATTTATATGTAGATATGGTCATTGTTTATGCCTTAAATATTGTTATCAATGGAAAGATGCAAGTAGAAAAGTTTGTACAGTTTTGATTAATTTTGGAAGTTGACTCAATGCTTCCTTCTTTATATTAAACTCAGAGGTAGCAGGAACAACACTTACAAACTTTTCCAAGAAGTCTGACATTACTTGCTGTGTATGTTAAGATTTTCTTTATTTTAAGTATACAGTGAAATGCTGTTATAGCCATTTTCAGGGACCCTTAATTATTTGCAAAGACCTACTGCAAATATGTCTCTATGTACATCTGCAAATTCTTTTTGCTCTGATTAACATTATGGAGGAATCAAATCTTTTGATCACCTCTTTTCCTCTGACATGTAGTTACTATCCATAATAAAGAACCAACTCTGGATAACTGTTTCGTGTTGATGGAATTGGGCTGTAAAGTATTCCGAGGAATTGTTATGTACGGTCATTCAGTGCATTGTATGCTAGTCTGTTAAGGCAATATTTTATCAGCTGATGGCTTTACTCTGTAGATTACTTGTTTCAATAAAATTCTCTGATTAGTTGTAACTTGTACTATAGTTCTGTACAAACCCCACACAGTATGCATATTATAATTAAATTATAATTCTGATGTATAAGAGCAATGTCAATACTATTTTGATTTTTAAAATGGTTTTCAAGTGCATTCCTATTTAACTCTACGAAACTTTTTTAGTTATATCATCATTTCACTGTTAGCTTTATGTATTTATTTAACATTCCTACTGAAAACTTTTCTGCTACAAGCTAATAATCTCATTGAGATTTCAATTCTTCAATCAAAAATTGAATTTAAGAGGAAAGAGGAATCACGGCCAAAAGAAAAATTTAAATCGTATTGTATGTAGCACCGTAACTTTTGTTATTAAATAAGTATTCTTGCAATTAATCTTAAAACAAAACTCATTTTTCTCAATTGCTTGGAATTAACGCTCAGATGGTATGAGTGAAAATAAAAATGTAACGTAAATATCTGCTCTCTGAAACTTTTATTAAACAATGTCCACTGAATTGTCAATAAACAAAAAAATATTTCCACATTTCCAAGTTTCATTGAAAAGTCATCATAAGTTACATCCTTCGGAAAATTTAGATTTTCCAACTTTTCCCATTTAATGAAGGACCTTTAAATATAAATTTATGCAATGCTGCACAATGAAAATATTTCTGTAATACAGCTACATGCGGAAGTACAATGAGCAGCAAATAATATTCTAAGTTAGGGTTGATTTGAACCATTTCTTGCACAGACCTCCTACAAAAATGATTTATTTCACTGACCCTCCTTCAATTGTTTTACTTTCTCAAATAAAGTTACGTAATGCTGCAGAAAACTCGATTCAATATTTTAATGATGATAGACATTCCCCATTGGTGAACAAATGAAGTATTTTTTTTCTAAAATTAGTATTCCTCAGTCTCGCATCTCACCTTCACATTAGCTCCCAAGTAGTTACCAAAATCTCAAAAATGCCTCCAAATTTTATCTTTATAGTTCTTGCTAGGCTAGGCCCCTTCATCCAAATACATTAAAGACATGTTCTTGGAAACAAAATTTGTTCTTTAATGAACGTCCTATATGTTTATTAAACAAAAAATAAAACAACTTTTCCCTTATATTTAGGTAAAGATGGGCAGGTTTAGAAGAAAAAGGCTTCAAAACTCTCTATTGTTGATGGAATAAGGCTAAATGCTCTGGATAATTTGACAAATGCTGTTTAATAGTAACTTTTCGATTTTTTGAAGATTATAAATTTTGAACAGTTTCCAGTGAAAACAAGCTTGAAATTGCATTTTCAGAAATGCCCAAATGCAGTTATTAATAGCAATGTTCACAGTTCCTGCTATTGAGGGACTAAAAAGTTGGTGTGGGAAAATTTACATTTTGGGAGGAAACAAGTTTTTAATATAAATATATGAAAGTAAACTAAACAGTTGATACATTCTACCAATATATTGTACATTTTGTGTTAATTTTGAGAATATTGTTTTTTATTGAGTGTGATGTTGATAGATTTTAATGTTGAAGTAATTTTGTTCTAAGACAAATATGTAAGTTCTGTTTTCGTAACATGCTGAAGCTCTTTTACTATCATGAATGTACTTAAGTAATTCTCCTTAACCTCTTCTCAGTCTCTGCCTTTATCCCTTTGGCAGGGCTCATGCTGACGTTGAAAAATACACAAGCCTGCAAACAAATGGTGGCTGCAACGCACTCAAGCAGTCATGACAAATATTTTGTTGAAAACGGAAGCCTACATTAATTTTACACTAAATCATTTCATTTCTGGTAACAAAGTAATATAACACAGGAAGTCTCTTGTACATACCAAAATACAATGGAAAGAACGTATAAAAATCACTGCTACAAACAATTGTGCAATATTAAAGATATACAAATAAAATTAAGAAAATTACAATTTATCCCGTTCTCTTAACTTGATACTTTTAACAAAACTTAGTTTTAGGGTTTTGAGATACTGAAGCAGAATACCCTTATTTTCTTAAATGTACAACTTTAGAATGTTTTTGCCATTATTATTTACTAAGGGTCATCTTTCCCTCTATTTCCTGGCAGCAAGTCCCATTTTCTTTGCATCTAGCAGGCCATAGCACTTGAGTAGGTTTATAATTGAAAAACCAGGATTTTAAATTAGATGGAAAATACTCTTTAATCCTAAGGATGAAACGGCTATGCTATGTTTGTAATGTTTTTGTATTAAGTAAATTACACTTGATACTTACAAGGGAACTTATATTTAAAAAAAGGAATGCTGATAGCGAATACTGAAATGATAAGGATTCTTACATAGCGGTTGACCATTTATTCTTACACGAGTGCACCCTAGTGAAAATAGTGTTTCAAGAAAAGTTAATTACCTGATCTGTGTATATTTTCTTTCCTTTGGTTGCCCTGATTTTTCAGAAGTCTGTCACCCTTTTACTAGCAATTCTAAAAATTAAACCCTCAACAAAACCATTAATAGGGCACGGGGCAATATGTCACGCCAACAAACACAGCAAGCCTCCCACTATTTTGACTTCGGGCAAATTGGGCATCTTGTTACTGACCCAAGCCCTTTGCAATTATCAGATATAGTAACAAGATAAGATTAACATTTACCAAAATTGAGACATTAACTTCTACACACATTGGGGGGTTTGATGTAGCTTATCCAGTAACTTCCCCAAGCTCTTCAATTGTCAAGTATCAGGTGGATGCTTGGAAATTTCATTGAAATATATTGAAGTCTATAGTGAAGAGGGTAAGGTCTATTGTAAATACCCTTACTTGGGTATGAAAACATACTGAAGAAGCTGAATTGCATTTCATTTGATGTAGGGAGTAGAAAAAAAAAAAACTTAACTGGTGTATGAGATGTTTCCCATAATTTTAATGTGACATTTCAAGTTTGAGAAACAAAGGTAAACAAAATGGGATGACAGGATTATGCGAGTGCGAAAAATTGAAACATTGACTGCTCTCATTTGGTTATTTTCTCTCGCCCCTTTGAACGACAAACGAGAATACTGGAAATGGATATTCAATTAATATCTCTAATAGAAGCTCCTGAACTCAATACAATATGCAGACCTTTATTGTAGTCATCACTCGTGCAGTTTACAAATCGAAACGCCTCTCAATCTCCCATTCTTTTTGGGCGCAGTCATTCACAGTGCGTTGTGTGAAGAAATTGTTTATGACCGTAACATATCCCAGTTCTAAAATTCTCGTTCACATACAAGCGCTTGTGAAATAAAACAGTGCATCTTTACAGCAAAAAGAAAAGGAAATAACCTTTTTTTAAATAACTTTTCACATTTCTCTACCCGACGTCATTAGCACCTCATTCTACACCATTTAATACTCCATTCGGCATCATCACTTCTCCCCCGCACTCTCCACACTCAACTTCGCCAGCTTTTTCGTTGAACGTCACATCCGGTTGAACTAGCATCACACCGGTGGGTGCTGCCCTCCATGTGTGAATGCAGAACTGTAAAGCGGAAAGGCTGTTTGGGTTTGAGGCTACATCTTTGTAGTCCGTGGAGGTGACCATTGTTTTGTAGCAATGATATCCGCCATCATTGGGTTTGATGGATAGATTTGGGGCTTTAAGAAGTATTTGTTTTGATTAGAGAAATCGGGTTGTTTAGAATCGTAACGATTCCTAAGGTACACAGAATATGTTACAGTAACTTGCGCATCGTTTATTTGTTCATCACCTTTCAACATTCATTCTAGAATGGTTGTGTTTACATTGAAGTTTGAAGTGCACCATTGCTTTGCTGTCAGATACAGGTAGGTTATAGTGTTCAGTTAATTATTTTCATACGTCACATTGTTAAATATTTCTCGTCAGTTGTGTTTACTACTTCCGTGCATGGTTAACTTCAGTTCGTGACATTTCTAGAGGATTAAAAGTTCGTTGACTTTACGTGGATTGTGTAGAGTACTTTTAACTATTTTAGAAATAAGTCATTTATATGGTGTGAATAAGCAGAAACTCCATAAGTCCCGAAACTTCATCATATTGCTTTAGTTTTTGTGTACGTAATCGTTAGTCCGAACATAAGTAATGACGTTTTCAGAAGTCAATATGTTCTGACGTTTTAAATCAAGAATCTCCAAACTAGTTCGAGTTGTGGTCATGCATTAGTTTCTCTTTAAGTAAATCTTATTTTATATCATCAAGGAAATGTTCTGAATATGTCCCGTCTATATTATTAGGGCATGTGTGCCTCTAGCTATTACTTCGAATCGCTTGGTTTAGAATCATGGATGGATGTAAATAGCAGTGTCGTTTCCAAATTTATTTGGAAACCAATTAAAAAGAAGGGTAGATAGGTTCTATGTTGTGTATATAGTCTGTGAACATAAACTACTATTCAAATAAAAACATTGGAATTGAAGTGTAGTACCGTTGTATCGTTCTTCGTAACTTGTCAGATTTTTCACGTTCAATTTGGACTAGAAACTGACATTTATAGGATGGGAAAACAAACTTGGTTTTTTCCCCCTCAGAATTCGTGAAGTGAATTAGAATAATTACCAGTAGTCTTTCTGTATTGGTGATTTTTTCCGACTTGCATGGTTAAGACTACTCGTGACCTGATATTCCACGCATCGAGAAATGAACTTATGTCAAGTAATAACATTTGTATTGGTGTAATAAATATTATTCGTATAGATTTTGTGAATTGTTTGAAGATCGATGAATGTTAAAAATGAGTACGTATATACGTGTTTATACTGTGAATGTCACAATATTAGAATGGTATCAAAAGCGGTTTTAACATCTTCAGAATCGATCAACAATATAAACAGTGACGCTTCGTTTTCCTACATTAATTACCCGATATCTTAGGTACGTCAAGTGCAACTGATGTATTGTCAACGTCAATACGAATCAGATTTGTAACATAACGAATCTCCAAACACAGTTCTCCTTCAAAACTGCTCATTACCTGAATTCCGAAGGTTTTGGGGTTCATCTCGAAATTGATTTTCTTCTCGGACATGTCGCGATGCCTTTGTGACGTCATTTCCATCCCCTTCCTGTGACATCCCGTGCATGTTGCCATGGCGATGTTATGTCGTCCAGTGCTCTGCTAACATTACCTAATTCTCGTCTGGGATAAGCGCGGACGGTGGTTATGCATATATGTTAAAATAATTTTAGAATATGAAATGTATTTACTAAAACCACAGTATATTAATTTACGAAAATTATTACTGATCACGGTTAAAAACTTCGGCTGTCAGAGCCATTTTTGCCGACAGTCGCAATGTTGTTCTCCTTTCGGGGGCCTCTGGGTGGCCCGGGAGTGTGCTGTTGGTGCTAGTTCCCCTTCTCTGCTATATAAACTACGTTGCGTTGTATTGCAAGCGGCAGCCATTTTTATCCATCCGGATCTCATTCCAACGTTGCCGTTTTGCTCACATTCTTGTTCTAAATATATTGTTAAAGTTCGTTTGGAATTACTTTTCGGTTTATCCCGAAGAAAGTGTTCCATTTGGAACATATTCTATAGATGGAATGATCTTTCTGCTTTTGGTTGTTACTCTGTATTGATTTTTGACTATACCTTGCTCCACTTGCTTACTTATGTTTACCTTGAATCAATGTCCATTATTAAATCGTGCATGCATAACTGAGTATCATGATTATCATTGTCACTTTCTTTCGATTGGTAGTGATATGTATCAGCAATGACTCAATATATTTCATTGATAAATTGTTCCCAATTTCCAATGTTAAATTCGTGTCACACGTATATATTTGTTGTATTCACAATCTGAGAAGAGCTCAGGTTTAAGATATCTAGCCCGTCGCAAACAAAACAAAAAAAACTAAACTGTAGTCTGAACGCTCGTCGAAGACTCCTTGGGTAATGGAGAAGAGCGTCTACTGCTACTGCTTCGAATTCACGGCGTAGAACCGGCTGTGAATTAGAGGCAGTGTTGCCGTGCTTTCCCTGGACGTTCCGTCTGTTTGCGTTTGAATGTCAATGTGGCAACAACGCGACGTTTGTATATGTATTGAAGAGGCAAAGCAAGCTGCCGTCGCGGACATGGGAGGGAGTGGGACGTGGTTTTCGTGATTTCTTTGCTTGGCCGCCAAAGGTCAGTTATATGGCCTTTGATGGCGTTAGTTTGTGGCCTCCTAATTAAAGTAGCTAATAACGCCGGGCTGCCAGAAAAATGTATGCGTCAAATTTTTCGTATGTCCGGTAAACAATAACAAATATTTTAGTGACTTTCAAAACGTATTGTATCACAATTAGATTGTGATTATAACACGCGAGTTTATTGTGCATGTTTGGGCAGTAGTTTTCTCCGATAGAAATCGTAACTCATTTGACAATGGTGAATATGATTGAACCTGGTTTTAAATCTACAAGTGGATATGAGAAATCGGAGGTTAGTTTTAAGTATTGATTGGATATTATTATGAAGTATCTTGTTCATCTTTCGATTTGGAAAAATTACGTGCTTCTGTGTACTGTTGTATTCATGTATTATTATTAATTTAAAATTATTGAACTTTCCAGTGCTGTAACTGTGAGTGGTACAACGCTCTAGTGTCGCCGTTCTTCCCAAACAATTGCCGTCAAGACGTCGGTCCCTTCAGTTATCAAGTTGGGTGGTGCAGGCGGCGGTTCTGGAACGAACCGTAACTCAGGGCAGGTTCAACGCCATGTGGTTAGTGCAGGAGCTTCCTCTACACCAGAGATGGTACGAACAACTACCACAAGAATCGTGCGGGCACCTTTCACATCTGGTCACAACCTCAGCAGTACATCTGTGGGCAGCACAATCAACAGCTATGTTATGGGGACACCAACTTCAACAGCCTTTATATCATCTCCTGCGGGCGGGAGACGTAACACATCAGTTAGCACGTACATTCCAGTACAGTCTCAACAAGCAAGTGGAGAAGAATCCATGAGTTTAATCGTTCAGTTAGGTACTACTGTAGTGGCATCTACAAACTCTCAAATTGTGTCAAATACAATGACAGTTGCAAAAACTGCAGCAGGCACTGTGTTGACTAATCGAAATGTAAATTATCATGAGCAACGTTTAGTGAATAAAGTGTCTCAACAGAACAATTCTCCTGTGCTCCATAGACAATCTAATTCTACATCACTGTCTCCTGTTGCTACAGCCCATCTTCAAATACAACAGCAGCTGATGACAAAACCGTCATGTATTGTTGAAGTTCAAACTCCAAAACCAGAAAATGTGAAGAAAGAGGAGTAAGTATTACTTTTTAGAAATCTTTTTTTAAACAAAACATTATTTTTTTTACATTTATTTTCCTTTTTCTATTGTTTTTGTGCAGGGTGCAACCCACTGATGATTCAAATAGTGATGATGAGAACATTGGTGAAGAAAAAAGGCCAACATACTCGGGACAACTTGCTATGTCATATCAAGTATGTTCAAATTTAATTCACTGCATTTGTTCATGCCGATCTTAATTGTGCATGTTCATATTTGACTGCATTCTAAAATAAGTATTAAATTGACAGGTGATGGAAGTGCAATTGTTAGAATTTCTCAGTCTTCTCACACTAATAAATAACTCTCAATAAACAATCACATTAAATCAGCACATACGAAGTAAAAATGCTTTGAAATACCCACAAAGCTGAACTCTTGTGTTAACATCTTCAGTTTTATTAACATTTTTAATCCATGTTATTTTTATTACAAAAAAGTTTTACATTGCAACTACTTATAGCCTTGTCACAAAACACTGTTAGCGAAATATAGTTGGGTTAAAATCTTGAGTTTGTAAGATTTGTTTTCAGATTAATATGGATGGCATTTATAAATGTCAGAGTATAGAATTGTATTAACCATACAATTATTAATTTGTGAGAGTATTGTGTTGATGATGTAACAAATGAATGGTACTATGAAAACATTTGTTCTTTATCGAGCTTGAGAGACAGTGGATTGGAACTTATCTTTTCATTTCTTCAGATGAATTTGATGTAGCATAGGATAATCTAGACCCAAGCTGCTTTAATTAATCTTGTTTATGTTGTTTGCTTTGCTTTCAGTTTGCCTTGCAAGATCATAATTATGGTGCTCCTCCACCAGTATCGCCTCCGCCTTCTCCAGTTCCCCAACATTCTAAAGTCAGTTCTTCGGTTAATGGAATCTCGGGGGGAAATAACTCAGTGTCATCCAGTTCAGCATCTTATACATATGGTACATTTATAGAAATTATCAAAGTTTTTAAATGTATAAATTTGTACATATTGATTTGCTACTTTCTTTCTCGCAAAAGGTACTGGCCTTTCAAGTCTTCGGAGTTCCACGGTAAAAAAGAATGAAGAGGAAGAAGATGAGGAAGAGGAAGATGATGATGACGCCAATAGTGTCATTAGTAGTAATCCTGGCCGGGATGTGGAACCAGAGGGAGAGGAAACAGAAACTGCACCAGAAGGAGAGGGTGATGATGAAGATAGTGTCACTAGGTGCATCTGGTATGTGTGATTCTTTGTAAGGTTCAGAATTAACTTCTGAAAGTTCAGTCTATATTATTTTTTATTTATTATTTTCTCATGTTTCAGTGATTTTGAGCATGATGATGGGTATATGATTTGCTGTGACAAATGTTTGTAAGTAAAATCATTTTATGAGCATTGGTATCATATGTTTAACATAGTAGTTGTAAATTGCTCAAGGTTAACATTTATTACAGTGTTTGGCAGCATGTGGACTGTATGGGCATTGATCGCTCAAACATTCCAGAGGAGTATTTATGTGAACGTTGTCAGCCTAGAAGAGTTGATAAGCAACGTGCACGTACTCTTCAGATGCGTAAACGTGAAGAACTTCTTAATAATGATAGTTCAAGTGATGCTAGTTCCACAACATCAGCAGATACAGATAGCAGTTAGTGTTTTCTTTTTTAATGTTCTTTTTTGTTCACTTCTTTTTAATTATTATTTTGATTTATTATTATAATGTTGTAGTAATATTAAATAAAAAAAATACTTATTTTGCTTCTAGGTATTATTAACAATCCAATTCTTAGTGTTAGAAAACGTGCTGTAGCCCCTTCTGTCGCTAGAAGGAAAAGTGATCCTGTGAGTTCTAGTAGAAAAAACAATGTTGCCACATCAAATGCTGCTAGTACATCTCATATTGTCAAACAAAGACAGAGAAGGGATACAACGACATCATCAACAACAGCAACAGCAGCAGCAACAACAACAACAACAACAATAACAACTACAACCACAAACACAGCAACTTCTACTTTGCACAGGAGGGGTAGTACTAATCAGACTAGAAAGAGAGAAACTCCCTCTCGTGTTGTTGAGAAAAGGATACCTATGAGAAGAAAGGTTTGTAAATTATTAGACTTATGATATGTGAAATTCTGTTATAAAATTAATTTTCTTACAAAAGGAAATATTTCAGAGCAAAAGTAGATTAAGTGATGATGAAAAAGAAGATATTAATCCAGGAATGGCAATGCAGCAGTTGAGGCAATGGATCGATAATTATGAGGAAGCTGTTACAAATCACTATTCGCCAGAGTTACGTGCACGACTTACTAGTGCTAAAGCAAATGGCACTCATGCTGACCTGAAAACGAGCAGTATTCAGAATCCTGGCAGTAATACTTCTAAGTGCCGAGTGTCCCAAATTTCTGCTGGTGTACGGGTGAGTTTTCAACAGTTGAGCATGTAACTTCAGTAATTTCTCTTAAAATGTTTGCCAACTTCATGGCCTTCGTAAATGCACGTGCCTTTCTGCGAAGTTTGTGTCATTTAGTATTCACCACTGCTTCTAGCCATGTGATATCACAAAGTACATATAGATATGTTATTTGACTGTGGTACAGGCTCTATGAGCCTGGAGGAACAGCAGATTATCCAGTTCTAAAATATTGTATGAATGCAAAATCAGCTGGAAAGTACCTCTGGGGGCCGTGTAGTAGAGAGAAATTTGGGGCTCAACATGATTGCCCAGAATATCGAGGAGGTGTGCCTGGAGATCTGCCCAGGAAATCGCAGGGTCAGCAATATGTTGCTTGCCATGATCCTGCAGCACATGGAGCCTGGGACAACAATAATGACAGGCATGGTGGGGGTATAAATGGCCTGCTCAACAGAATTTTACACACGTAACTGAACCATTTGCTATATTCTGTGGACCCTATTACAGACACCACAACAAATTCTATTGAAAGCCAGTCTGTGATAAACCTGAACTTTGTCCGGATACCTGCAATTGGGACATCAGACCTGGTGGGGACGGTGCTAGATGTCTGTGGAAGTTAGGATATCCAGACTCCGGCACTAGCATCAATCCAGTGATTTTCTGTGCATTTTATTGGTACTATGTTTGGTTTTATTTCTTTCATGTTTGACACGTCTGCTTTCAATTGACAAGAGATGAATGGAATTTGTTAGAATTTCTGATGTAGTGGAATAATTGCTAAATAGCTCTTTTGTGTATAAACTTTGTAACATGCAGAATTTCTTCTTGTAAAAAAGTTGTAATTTAATTTAATGCATTGAAATTCCTCTTTGGTTTCTTTGAAAAATATTGATGTCTAGTATTGTTATTTGTTTTACTGTGGTTTAGAGAAAGGTTTACAATATATAGGGTTTGTTTGTGGAGATGTTGCTTGTAATGCATGAATTTTCTATTCTAATGTACATGTAATTAATTTCACATTCATATCCATCCAATATTTTATTTAAAAAAGTTCTTCCACAATTATTGAAGTAATTTAGTATTTTTATTTAATTATATTCTCTTAAGTGTATTAAGAAGATAGGAGGATATTCTAAAGTTCAAAAAATGCTGTGGTAAGTTATCCCCATGCTTTACACAATCTTTCATTGACACAAATATAGTTGATTACCTCTAAAAAAGGTTTTCTCAGAAGCAAAAGTGGTCAACTGATGGTTTAAAGGAACGTTGCTGTATATTTATTGATTTGCTAACTGTTATTTGCTTAATATTTGTAGAGTTATTCTAAACTTTTAATTCACTCTCTCAAAATGACAATATGCAAAATCATTTGGAAGGACTTCTCATAACCTCATGAAGCTTATGGTGATATTAGAAAATGGACTTTTTAGTAATAATGAAAATCAAGCATTATCCATTGATATTATTAGTCCCATTCACCTAGGAAGTTGTAAATAGTTCATATTAAATTGTTTCTGAAAAATATTTATATTTATTTTTTTGTACTATTTTGCAGATCCTTGTTGCTTCATCTGTATTGGCTGCAAATTGCCCTGTTATTGAGATAAGGGGGAAATACATGCTGTCAGGGCAACATAAGCCAGTGTCATTTACAGGTGTAAACACCAAAAGATCAAGACCACCTCCTCCAGGCCCTTTCCTTTTCTTCTATCGATTGCCTAAGGACGGCACTGAAGTCTGTGTTGATGCAAGGACTTATGGTAATGATGCAAGATTTGTCCGTCGATCTTGTAAACCAAATGCAGAGGTGAATTTCCGAAACTTCAATTGCTTATAATGTATTGGAATAATGAAATTGGCAAATTTTTAATTTGTTGTTGTTATTATTATTATTATTATTATTATTATTATTATTATTATTATTACAGTTAAAGCATTGCATTGAGAAGGGAGCACTACATCTGTACATTGTTACTCTCTCATCCGTGGAGAAAAATGAAGAAATCACAATTAACCATTATATTAGTCAGGAATTGATGGGTCAAAATCATATGCGTTTTAATTGTGCTTGTGGGAATCCTAAAGAATGTACTGCATTGAGCCGTAAAAATGGCATACATGAGCCTTTTGAGTAAGTTATGTATTTATATATTGTAAATTTTTGTTTAACTTCAGAAACCTTTTCTACTACCTGTTTTATTTAATGATTTACAGTCGTGAGCGTAGGAGGCGTGGCAGGAGAGCAGTCTCTTCGGAAGAGGACCTCTCTAATCAGCCTCCTGCAAATCCTCCTCCTAATCAACCTGATACATCACCTGTTACAAATACTCCACTGAGAAGGAATTCCAGTAGTACGAGGTCTCCAGTTAAAACTCAGCCTCCTCCCCTCATTGTTGAAGAATCTCGAGAAAAAATTAAAGAAGCAGAGATTATTGAGTCGGTTAATGAGAAAGTGGATAAGAAAAAAATGGTATGTATGTATTAAATTATGATTTTGTGCTCTTATCCCTTATTATAACAGAGAAGACTAAACCTCAATCCATGTCAACACAGCATGCAGAATGGTGTCAAATGTTTGGTGATAAGACTCAAGCCTAAAACACAAAACGTGCAGGAGTCTGGCAAATACATTTTTTGTTATAATAGTTGTTAACGTAACATTTTAAATTGATTTTGAATCTTGTGACATAGGGAATCAACTTGTTGTGATAAGGGATATGACTGTGATTTTGTATTGGTGTTTCTTTTGACTATCATTGAGAAATGTATTCAATAGACGCGGGAGGAGCGAAAAATGGAAGCAATTATGAAAGCCTTTGAAAGATTAGAGAAGGCTGAACAGAGACGACAAGAAAATCAGGCAAAGCAGGCTCAACGCAAAGAACATGATATACCGCGGAAAGAGATTCCAGAGGTGAAGAAGGAAGTGGAGAAGGAAATGCCTCAGCCTATTCTGGCTTCTAAGCTTCCAATAGAAAGGCCGCGGAGGAGGAGGTGAGTTTGTAAAAAGTTTTAAGATTTGTAATGCTGCTGCAGTTTTTACATTCACATTCGCTTATGTATGAGTAGTGTTATGCATTTGTACAACAGGAAAAAAGGACGTCGGTTGAATAGTACCAGTCAGCCTATGCCACCTCAATCGAAACGACGCACCAGACATAGTTCAGTGGACTCGGATGGATCATCTGGTGATGAGGCAGGCACTGGATGTAGAGATATTTCAACTCCTTCTCCACCACCACCACCACCACCACCTCCTCCTCCTCCTCCCCCTCCTCCTCCTCCTCCTCCACCGCCACCGCCACCACCCCAAACATTGCTCCCATCGTCACAGTCATTGCCATCATCATCACAGCCTCGTTCACCAGGTCGAACCAGCAGCTCTTCTAATATTGCTGAAATGTCCCCTGCTAGTAGACTACAGACGGCAGCAGGGTTATTGTTGGCCCTGTCTAATACTCAAGTGTCAAGTGTGTCTCCGACATATCAAACCCAACAGAGAGATAACGTAAGTTTTAGTTCTGTAATGTATGTAAACGCAGTTATTTTGTTATTTATATATGCAGAAAATAAACGTATGACAAAACTGACCCGTTTTCAGTCTCCTCCTCCACCGCCTCCACCCATTACTGGAAGTACACCACAGGCACATGGTGGAGTCAATCCTACGCTATTTAGTAGTGTGTGTGACAGTGGAGGTAGTACCAGCAGTAGTTCCCAGGGATCAACTCCACCTACACCACTATCTGCAGCTTGTTTGATGGTAGCAGCTGCCGTGGGACCATTGGCACCTGGCTTCAAATTTCCTAAAACAAAAAAGGTATGTTTGTGCATAAGGTGCAAGTATAATTTTCTAGTGCCAGAAAATGTTTGTTTGACTTACAAATGTTGAATTAATTACAGGTACTAATGAATGAATGGCTTAATAAGTCACCTGACCCTCCTCCCACAATACCCTCTCCAACTCTACCAACAGTTACATCTCCAGTACATCATAGTAGACCCCCAGAGACAGCAGAAGCTGTGGATTGCATTCCCATACCCACTAAGTCACTTGCTACTTTAGTTCAAGCAGCAAATCGGGTGGGAATGGGAAGTCCTACTCCTCAATCAGGTCGTCCGGGTGGGACTTCTAGTGGAGGATCTGCCAAGAAACGATGGCTTCGCCAGGCCATTAGTGAGGAATGCGATTCTCCCAACAACAATTCTTGCCCAAGTCCTAATAGTAGAGCTGGTGAGTTTTGTGTTTATTCTCTCATATTCTTTAAATTCTCTTCATAGTAATAACTGTGTTAATTTTGGCCTTGTAGGTTCTCCTCCATGTCCAGATTATGTGACTCCTTTAAAGAAAAGACGATTTGCTCGTGAATCAATGTCATCAGAACAGTCATTTACTCCTCCAACAACTCCGACAATGACTGGAGATCCTTCGCTTTCCAATGGCTCACCTGTACCTAAAGAAGTATCGCATTTTGAAATAGCAGCTAATGCCTTAGGAGTAAGTATAAAATGTGTTTCAAATGTGATGTAAATTGTAGTATGTACATTTCATTGTTCATGTACTACGTTCATTTTGTTACCTTATAGGTGGCATGTGATGATGATGAAATTGATGGCTCTCCAGAAGATGCAGGAACACCACATACCCAGGATGATGAGGAAGAGTATGAGGAAGTAGAAATGAAGGGTGAAATTGAAAATGATATTAATGATCATAGATATGAAGAAGATACTCATACTGTTACAGAAATGAATACAAATTTGCGATGCACTGGGGAGCCTGTATATGAAGAGGATGATGCCCATTCCCTGAACACTGAATGTAGAAGTCAGAATGTGACAGAAAGTGATAAATTAGTTGATACAGGTGATGATTCTGAGGATGAGCATACAAGGAGTAAAGCAAGGACACCAGTGAACGAACCTCTGGAAGCAGACGACTTAGATGCGTTGAAAGTGTCCAGTGGGGAAGAAGCATTGGATTCTTCAGGGAATGTAGAAGATACATCTGACATGGGAACAGTGTGTGTAGTTAAAGAGCAAATGGAATGTGAAAATTTGAAGGCAGCTGTTTCAGTGGGTATGTTTAAAACTCCTTTAGAATTATCTGACGAGTGTAACACAAATTTTAAGAAGCCTGCCGATGTTGATTCAGCTGAAGGTGAAACGACGTCGCGGAAAGATTCTCCTGTAAATTGCTGATGACATCATTCGTTCCTCCTGCAAAAAGAAAGGTAGTTAATGTTTATGATATTGGTGAAAAGTGTCATCTGTGAAAATGTGCTGTGTGTTATGTAGGGAAAGTGTTATTAGTGTGAAAATAATTAGATTAGTTGTGGTCTTAAGTTTCCGTAATGACTTTCCTGTTATATCTTGCATTAATGAAGATGCAATTATTAATAGTTTGGGTCTCCACTAAAATATCTCAACATAAGATATAGTTCAGGATGCGTCTTTTTAACTTTGACTAAGTAGTCTAAGTGGGTTAATAATACTATTAACCGTGAGGCCATTTTACTGACATAACTGATCATGTGGCAGGAAAAGGACTCTAAAATCAATATAGTTGCTTAAAGCTGTCTTAACAACACAAAAAAAATATAAATTATAAATAATGGTTTCTTCAATGCAATTTATCAAAAATTTGTGTATTTGAAATTGATTGAAGGATAGGAAATGTATTTGTAGAATCCATTTCATACGAGGAAGTAAAGTAAGCTAGTAAGTTAACTGTAGGCACAAGGGATTGTTGGAGCCTCTCCAAGCCAGTAATGTTTGTTTGGCCGATTGTTATACTGTTAGCATCTCTAAAACTAATATTATTCTATGAATTGTTTTTCCAAAGTGAGATTGACTGTGTTGCCAACCAAAGTCTTGGAATTGTCAGTTCAGTGAATAACATTAGAAGTTGCTGGTAATAATTTAAACATGTAGAATCCTTATGACCATAAATTTAATGAAAGCTAGTGCATTGGGGCTTGGTCAATAGAAAGTAATCGAACTATTTAGTCGTTTCCAAATGTTTAATTGTTATTGATTCTTTGTTGTATAACTATCGTTTTTGATGTTGTACAGGACAGTCCTGACAATGGAAATATATTTTCCAATGCGTTGGCAAACAACTAAATGATTCTCACCTTTCATTGACTATGTCCCATTAACCAGCCTTTGTAGTTTTTTTTAATATTGTCTTTAAAAAGGACCTGGTGACACTTAATCCAAACCATTAAGTAAAGTAAGTAAAATTAGGCAAATAAAGTACAGTAAGACCATGCTAGCTAGGGGGTAAACAGACAGCCCACAAACACCAAAATCATAGAGCAATTAATTTTATTTGCTAGAGGCAAACTTTTAATCGAGTAATCTGTATAAATAGTATTTCTTTAAATAGAAATTAACTTTTCTTAAATTCTAGAAACTTCAATGATTTTAATACAAACTCCTCAATTGACAGAATAGCTAAACAATGAGATGTACCTAAGATCCCTGCTCAAGTTTGCTGAAGTTCATGAATTGAATACAGTCATCTTTTGAAGTTTCTCAGTGACCACTACCTTCAATTTAGTTTGGCATGGTCAAGAGTCAAAATAATTGGTCTCTAAAATTTGTAAAATCTTACGATAGTCAAATTGTTTAATATTTAATTTAAATTATTGATTGATTACTATTTACTGTTGACTATAATCTTGCCTGTTAAGTTGATTTTTCTCATCTGATTATTATGGTAATAATTAATCCATACACACTTCATTGTATTCACTTAATTCCATATTTGCTTTGAAAGTTATTTTGTAAGTTTTCTATAGACACTTCCAATTTTATAATACTCTCATATAAAAAATAAAAATAGAATGGGGAGGAAAAAAAAGAAGAAGAAAAAAAAGCAATAAGTCGTCTTCTCCGTCAACTTAACTTGTTTATTTAGAGAGCTAATGACAAAGACTTTGAAAGCCGGCTCTCTAAATAAACATTACGTTGGCGGAGATGTCTTTTATTTCTTCGTGTAAGTTCATCAATAATACTACATCGGGATTTCCATTATTTATTAAAATAGTTGTTTGTTGTTTGTCTGTTTTTGCTTTCAACAAAAGTATTTGGTTGCTAATATATTTATTTCTTTTGCCCGAAAATTTTAAGATAACATTTCTTTGCAATTTTTGGCTGCATTGATAACAATAACTGCCATGCCATATACCTTCAGAAGTTGCTCATAACAGTAGCCATAAATTTTCCATTTTATTTCATTTAGATGCTTGTGGAGCTTATTGCAATGAAAGTTCTTATCTATCTTATTTAATGTGCAGGAATTTCAATTACTTCTAGTACATTAATAAAACTGAAGAGAAGAAGCCAGAAAAATTACAATGCCAGTATAATTACATTTTTGGTGACTGTATTAAAGATCCCCTGTCACTTGGGTTACTGTCAATCAGAATTTGCTGGATTTGGACAGTTACCATTAATCATGACTTAACCAGTAAAACAATTTTGCTGCTGGTTGTTATATTGCTGCGCTTCGTAGGATTGGAGGGATGTAGAGTAGTTATATTGTATTCTGTATTTCCTCAATCTTCAAAATATTTATTTTATATCAATAAATTGTTAATGAATTTTAAGGTGAAATGAAAACACCCTCAAAGTTTTTGATTTTGAAGAATGTTTTAATTTATTTGGAATATAATAATTGTTTCAAGAAATTATTTTAAAAGCTACTTTAGAAATTTTCTTAAGCAATGCTGTGGTATTTGCGGTGAACTTTTTTCTATTAAATTAATAATTTTGTCTATTAATGTATCAGTCTAAAATAATTTTATTGACAGTCCTTCTATTTGAGCCTCTAATTTACTTGCAGCTTGGTTCATTGACAGTGATTTAGTACACTATTCAAATGTTGTAAAACTATTATCCCTTCAGTTAAACTAGATTGGTAGGAAAAACTTACTTATAAATTCCGCAATATTGGAGAGGGTATCATCTACAAGAGAACTTAAGATAGTTTTTGACTTGAGAATGTCTTTGGAAGACTGAAAACAGCTAACTGTTTTTAGAGTGAATCAAGTAGTGGGACAGGTTAGGTGTTAAGGAAATAACCCAATGGGAACATCGATTGCCCTTTTTTGTTAGAATAATTGGACTTAAAAGATTTCATCATTCTATTTAACACCCACTGACATAATATTCTGTTGTTGGTACAAGAACTTATGTTTGGCAAACAATCCAATTAACAGAATGTGCAGAACTGCTAAAAGTAGTGAATTGAAACTAATTGGAAGTAATGATGTAGAGTTTTGAGGAGAGAGGATTCTTGTATACATTCAAATGATAATGCTAAATCATGCGTAGTTTACTTTTACTTTTATTATATTTTTGATGTTTGAATTGGTTTTATAAACAGTAAATTATATCAGACTGTAGGGTTTTAAGATTGAACACTTTATAGATGAAAATGTTTTTGTAAAAGTTGACAAATTATCTGTATATTGATAAAAAAATAAGTACATGAATACAAAAGTATCATCAGGCGAAAATAAGTTAATATTTTAAATTGAGGAAGCTGAGACACTAATTTCATTACTTTAAAACAATAGAAAACGCATTTGAAAGCAATTAATTCTAAGAATGTAGTTTTTCACCTAAATAGAATTTTTTGTTCAATTAGAATGTCGTTGAGAGATCTTCATAATTTTCAGTATGTTGAGATAAAGTATTAGTATCATTTGTGTGCATTTTATGAAGTTGTTTTTATTTTTACTTCCTCATATACATATTATTATTTAGCCATGTTGGATCAGTGGTAGGGCATCGGTTTCCTGACCTGAGGGACCTTTGTTTAAATGGCAGCATAGGTTGGAATTTTTATGTGTTGATTTCCATTCAGAGAGGCTCTGGGGTCAATGCAGCCTCCTTTGCCAGATCTTTCCTTGGGGTGATGGCAAAGTCCTACCTTTGCTTCCTCCTATAAGCAATATTGGCCTGTGAGTTGTGCTGGGTTACCTTACCCTTTATTTTTTTTAAATAATTATTTTTTGTAGTAGAACTACTAATACTAAGAGATATACAAAAGTGCTTACCTAATTGTTCATATTGATATCTTGGAATTCTTATCAAACTTAGACTCCAATAGAAAGGTAGCATCCAACGAATAGCTTTCGTGATTTTCACCCCATTTTTAATTCTCCCCTCCTCCCCTTTTTTCCCATTTTCTTTCTCATTTTTTATCCCCTCTTCTCCCTTTTTTTCCCTTTTACTCATTTCATGTGGTAGATATGAATTCCTTGCTTTTGAACTGTATAAAAGGCAACATATATTGTTGTACAAGATTTTCTCTATACAATGAATATGATACACATAATGAAGGATTCTTATTAATTTTGTTTATGAATGTTTTCTGCTGTGATGTAATTAGATTTTCAAATTGCAGTTGTCTATTTCGGAGTATCGGCAACGCAAGCAGAGGACAAGTAGTTGCTCAGAGCAGCCACCTCGTCCTGAAGAAGGAGATAACACTTTGACTACTTCCCCAGCACGTGTGCGTAATCGCTCAGATAGTACCAGCAGTAGCTCCTCTTCCATATCTTCAGATGATGCAAGAACAAATAAAATTCTTGCTGATTCACCTGCCTGTCTTGCCACATTGCCTCTATTTCTGCATCCTGAAGGCAATGACGAACGGAAAGGTGTGTATAAAGATCAAGAAATCTTATCATATAGAAACTCCTGCTGAATATCCTCTTTATTTTAAGAATAGTCTTTTAAGTATGGTATCCTTACTTTTACTTCATTACAAAAGGGTTCAGGAAATAATGCACCTTTACCTTCTTTTCTTGTCTATTCAAATCTTGTATCTAGAAGTCGAAATTAATCTGCCGGTTCAGAGTTTAAGAATATCGGAAAACAAGAATTTCTGTAGAATTTTAAAATAATTTGTTAAAAGTTGTTAGAAGCATATTGGGCTATCATTGAAATTTTCTTTATTTGTCAAAATGTTGACAAGTTTCATTAATGGCCCCATGAGACATTTCTTTTATGGGTTTAGAGACTTATCAGTTAAGAGACCTCGGATATGATGGACATCATATATTACAAAAAAGTTTCAAAAGAGTTTAAACATTTCAAATGATCATGCTCTGTTGTTTTGAGAATCAAATTTAGGAAGTTGTAGAATTACAACAGTTGGTAGTCTTAGCTAAAATTAGAAGTATTTGCTCAATTGGTAAATGTTGTATGAAAATTAAATTAATAATGGAATATTAAAATAGAATTCTGAGATACCTAATAACATAAGAGAAATAATAAAAAAGAATGGGTAAAGAAAGGAAGAGACACTAAGACTTAACACCTGATAGCTTTAAATTAGCTGTAGGTAAATAGAAGAATTCTTTAGCTGTCAAGCAAAAGAGAATTAAAAGAATATTGTTGGTTGGGAGGGGACATTATTTAATTTTTATTATTTCAAATTATTGGCCAAATACAAAAGATAAATTTATTGAAGAATTAACAAGGTAATATAATTATTTATTGTAGAATAATTCACAGAAGGTTTGGTCAGATAAATTATAAAAAGAATATTGTGGAAATACAAGGCCCTCCGGAGGGATGAATACACAAAAAAACAGTTTTGTTTATATTGATTTAGAACATAATTAAAATTTTAAAACATTGATACAGTAATATTGTTTACATCCCATAAGAATAGTAAACAAACCATATGTCACAAAAGAAAAATGATTCAACACATTGTTTATCATTTTGCTGAAACAGGAGTCCTATCATGCAGTGTTCCAACAAAAACTTTTGGTAATTATAAATGTGTTGCATTGAATCTGTAAATGTTTGTATTTTTATTTCTACTTCAAGGCTTGGCAGTTCTAAATGTATTAATAATTTTTTATTGGAAGGGCATGTTTTGGAGTGAGTTTCTTTGACATAGTTACAATACCTCTGGACTTACTCTCATGACACCTAGTGGTTCTTCGCAAGATACTTTTGTTTCAGCAAACAGATTAGCGATGTGTTATACCATTTGCTTTGTATAAGTAAGGTTGTTGAATTGAATTGAATTTGCCTTATTTTACGTGGCGAGACTCGGGCCATCAGGCCCGCTATTCCGTTTGACCACGCAAATTTTGCTACGCTCCATTCATCAACTAGCAGAGAAAGGAGGTATTTCTTGGGCGAGAAATAGGTGATTTGAATTTAGCTCAGAGGCGTCATTTAGGCTTGAGGATCTTTTACATGCAAGTTAATCTACGAACATGTGACAGCCGGCTTTACTTCCCCTCCGAAGGAAGGCGTACGAAGGATTTTGTCGCCCTAAAAATCCACGGCTTTGATCGGGTTTGAACTCGCGAGCTTGGGTATAACAGTCCGGTACGCTAACCGTCACACCATCGCCGCCGCTTGGATGTTGTTAAACTCTTATTATAGTGTATTATATAATATTGTGTATTACGGTATCAATATTTTAATATTGTGTTCATGTTCTGGATCTCTATATCTGATATCTATTATGGATGTTTTTTATTGTATTATACCCCCCAAGATGGCCCTTTTTTTTTTATAGCCCAAATCCAGACCAAATCCCATGACCTGAAGCCTTTGTATTAGTATTCATATAAATTCAAGTAAATCAAGTAAATTCAAGTAAATATAAATACAAGTAAAGTGCTTAATGTTTTTTTAGAAAACATTCACTTTTGATTATATCTAAAGGAAGGGAGGTATTTCTCAGTATCACTGAGCTATACCAAAGAATCTGGTTTAGGACATCATTGTCCTAATGTGTTATTTCTCACATTCTTTATATATTAACATTCAGATCCAAGTTACTCTTGAAATTTGTATTCTATATTTTTGGGTTAAACATTACATTTTCATAAAATCTGTGCTACGAGTCCTAATTTTTGTCATTGTCTGGAAAAAATATAGGACACTCGATTTTAAAGACATGTCTGGATGTTAGTTCATTGTCCTGTTTTCTGAGTGTCTCAAAAGACCTCTTAAAGCAATCTACAAAAACTATTATGGTCTTGATCATTACATGTCTAGTCTTGTGTTGGAAAAACAGTTAATTGTTAGGTTGTGTTACAGTTGTGTTACGTGCGTACTGTTATAGCCATCATTTATTCTACCGTTCCCATTTGTGATTTATGTTTGTATTTAATTTCTTCCTTTTTTCTGATCAGTAATAGAAAAATTTCCTAATTATTGATAACATACTTTTGTCAAATTGTAAGCTTTGAATTTTTTTTCACTTTCTTGCAATATTATGTACTTCCATACTAAAGTGAAAGTATTGTAATGCTGAGGCAAAAATCAGCTATTTTTGGTCACAAATTCATATTATTCACTGATAACAAATATATGACAAATTTTGTTGCTGAGTGTACTGAATTACTTTCTGTAAAATTATGTGTAGTCAGAATTCTTGTTTTGTTTTTCGTTGATATTGCAAACTTGGTTCATGGCAAGAAAAGTGTGGCTTTCTGGTCTTTACTTTTCAGACGATATTCTGACCCTCTGTTTGAAACTTTTATTTTGGTTGGGAGGAGATATAAAGCCTTCATATTATTTTAAATAAATAATTATAATAATTTTTAAAAAAATTGGTTCCAATTTTTTTGAAATATAAAACTAGTTTTTGTGTAATTTGCATGAAATATAGGAAATTTTTAAATTATTATTTTCTCAAAATTGACTCCACATATTTTCTATTTTCTCTTGAGTCCATATTCCTCATCCTATTTTGTCCCTTTCCAGTTGTGTAGATTGTTATTTATAATATTTGTAACACCTTCATTGTAAAAGATTTATACATTTTATAGAAGAAAATTTTCCATATATTGTGTGTTTAGTCAGAAATGTTTCTTTCATGTTGTACACTTCATCAGATAAGATTAGATTTTTGTCATGTGCTGAAGTTGACTTCTGATTTTTACCAAAAGTTACATTCAGAAATATAAAAGTATATCCACATTCCTCATTTAACTCCATGTATTCATGCATGTGGCATGTATTCTGTTTACAATAATTTTTATTGTCATGTGTCAGGAACGGGGGAGGATGTTAACTATGTACGATGGAATTCAGCTCCTACATTAGTGGAAAGGCAGAGAGAGAATCTCACAGAGAGACTTCGACGGGAATTTGGTCTGTTTTTAAGTGATGATGAAGAACAAGAACGTGCACGGAAACAAGGTGACAATCACAATTCTATGGAAAACTTTTCTCTTTTATTTCATTTCATTTTATTATGCATTCTGAGTTATTAAATTATAACTTAACATGCCTTCTTGTTTTTAATTTTTTGCAGGTCTTGCTCAAGAAGTGGCAAAAGACGGCAAGAAAAAAGGGCCTCCTCCTCCTCCACCACCTCCCTTGCCACCACCTGATTCGAACAGTCCACTTCTGACAGCCAATGCTACTCTTAATATTTATCCATCGCCTCAGAAAGTTCATTCTGGATCATCAGCTACAAGCTATCCTGTTCCCAATCCAAATAGTTCTGTCTCGTATAATCCAAATTATGTGCCAGCTTCTGGTGCACCCCGCCCTCCATCCCTTAATGGTCCATCATATGGCTCTGTTTACCCTGTATCAGGTCCTTTAAAAGGGCAGATCTATCAAGGATTTTCATCGAATATTTCTGGAAAGAATGTGAGTGCTGCTAAAAGTAGCAAAGTACCTCATTTTCCACCTGGATCAGCAAACTCATCAAATTTACCTACACCTCCCAAATCGTATTATTTATCCTCTAGCAGTTCCAATTGCAATGGTCCATTTCCTGTTCCTGGCCAGTACCCACCCCCCTCTACAGGAATATCTCAGCCTCAACAAGTTGTAATGGTTGCACCTCCAAGAGGAGTTCCTGCTCCAGGCCCACAACCACATTACCTTTCATCGGCTTTGCCTCAAACAGGAGGTCATCAAGCAAGTTCTACAAGCCAGCAACAGACACCTACCAACCCTTCTGGTACCTTTTACACTGTTGCCTCAGCAAAAGCATATTATCAGACTGCTTCTCGACCATGAAAGATTTGTGTGCTCAGCAAAGATGCCCGGTGATCTCTTGTTTTTTGTGTGGCAGGTGTTTTATGAAAACATATTTCTAGTAGTTTGTTGGACAATATTGTACATTGATATGTGTAGGTTTAAACGTAAAATGTTTGCTTGAAACAAGTACATTTTATAGTGTAAATATTTTTCCCCATAATTTACAGCTCTATTATTTAAGTGTAAATTTTCTTGTTATTTCTTTTTCTTCTTTCTTTCATTTGTGTATTTCTTTGTAAATATTGTACAGCTAATAATGTATTTGACAGAGTTGAGAATTCTCTAAAGTCTTATGTTAATTTTTATACTTGTAAAGTGCTGCAAAATGTAATATTGTGTGAAAGAAACACTGTTTTTGTATTGCATAGGTGATGGATTCAAAATCTTGAAATGATTGTTGTGCCATGGGAGTATGTGAAGTGAACCTGAAGGTCTTCCTGCAGGTGCATTTAGAATTCAGTACAATTGGGCAATCAAGGGAACATGTTTTATACAACTCTTAGGTGTGATCCTTTTTATCATCATTATTTTTTTTTCTTCTAATTTTATTTTATTTTATTATTTTTTTTTTTTTAATTTTTGGGAGGGGGGTCATACTTGCCTGTGCTAATTTTTCTTCCCGGTGTTCTTGTTCTTAACGTTCGTTACATAACCTTAGTGTAGTGTATGCATCTATCCAGTAGAATACTGTTAATGTTTGTATTTGTTCCGTGGAGTTACGAATATAATATTATATATATATACATATATAAAAAAGTTTATATATATATATGTAAATGTGTAGTACAGGAGGTGGTGTTTGTAGCATCGTGTTGCAGTGAAAACCGGTATTACTGTGATCCACATACCGTGTGTGTGTGTGTGTGATCAAAAATGCAGTGCTTCTTGAACATTAATTGGATTTTATTCCATTTAATAAGACAGCAAATTGTGAAATATGTACAGTATTTAATATTGTACAATTATTTTATTTATAGCTTTAAAGCAAACCAGTGTTTCTAAAAAAATAGTTTTAATATTTTTAAAATGCCTGTATATAGATATAGTCAGAGCTTCATACTTTATGCTCATAAACAATAAGATTTCACATTGATAAAATCTTATTTAGTGTGCAATGAGAATATTTACACTCTTGTTTTCTTGATAACTTTGAGCCTTGTTATAAGTTAAAGAAAATTTTTACATGTTGCAGTATTGTATTTGTTACAATCTACGCTACCTTTGGAAAAAATGTATTTTCTTTTGTTTCTTGTTCATTTAGTTTGAAAATAAAATATAGATCTGGTTAATAGATTTTCATGTCTTTTGTTATTTTTTGACAAGTGAAATGTTCAGAAGTCCTGCATTCTTTTGTTTCTTAATGGGCTTCAGTTTCCAAAGGGTTGTTCGGCGTGTATGAGAAAATCTTCCCTTGTCCTTTGTGTTGAAGACATCATTGCTACTAGCCCATGACCACAACGTTTTTGAAATTGTATGTGACACCTCTGAGTTTCTAATTATGGAATGTGTTTTTCTCTAAAATATTAAACCAAAAGGAAAGTACAAGTTAGTGCATAAAACAGTGAAAATTTAGACATTTGTGATCTAGCTAGTAGTTTCAATTTGTAGCAATGTGACATTTTCTCTGCACTCAAAAATTGGGAGATTAGTAATTTCTGATGCATTCAGTCAAGTCTATTAATTTCATTACTTATTAAAATTGAATTTTTGGCAGTTGTAATTACATAAAGTTATAATTTATACTTAATTAAAAGTTGAATAAACGATTGTTCTTGCTATTAAATATTCTTTTTTTTATTGACTACTTATTTATTAAAAAGTCATTTCTTCAATTTGGTGCTAGGACAGGTTAAAAGAGGACAAAACCTATTTTAATTCAATAATACACTATTTCTGTGTATTCTGTTGTGAAACTGGAAATCATTTGAAAATACTTTGTCCTTGATTTGTGGCAGTGTTGAGAAATGTTGCTTCAATTTATAAGTATTAATTATCTTGATTAATACAAATGTTTCTGCTTATAATGAGATTTTACAAAGAAAATATATTTGTTATCTTTTGAACATATTTTATTGATATGTTTTTAGAAGTTTTATTTTTGAAAAGCTTATTTACATTTTATACTTAAAATCTGTTTTTGGTAGCATGTTGTTTGTACGGCAAGGACAGGTGTGCTACATTCGAAGCTAGTCATTCTTAAGTGTCTATACCTATGTTTCAATCTTTCAATGTTGCTTTCTATTTGTTTTCAATGTATTTTTTTGTGTCAAAGGGTCTGAAGAATACACAATTAGGATGTAAGCATTGAAATTAAAATAATACTAGTTTAATATTTTTTTGCTAATTTTGTGAATGCATATTAGCTTTATTTGACTAATTTATTTTCTCCTGACCAATGTTTACTTGAAATGTATAAAATGTGTAGGTCCATGGGATGTGCATCAGTAGGAAATTACTTGTGTATATGTGAGAGTGCATGACTGTGTATAATTGTTATGCTACTTTAATACAACGATACAATGAGTGGCAAGATACATCATATTGTTTGGTACAATGTATATTTTAATTTAATTCAAAATTCAAGTTACTGTCTGGTATTCCACTTAAAAAAATATTCTTAAATTAATCCACTAATGTAATTAGCAAGTTGCAACAGGAAGGTGAACAAGAGAATTGTCCAAGTACTTAGGTAGTACTATTTTTCTCCTTGTCTCTATTTTAAGTTCTCTTAAAACTATGACATTAGCAACAAGAATATTTGTTTGTTAACTTCAAATATGTGCATTACTGTTTGTGTGTGTACTGAAAATGACATCAGTTAAGGAAGATTGAATTCTTTTGCTTCATATCCCTCAAAACTTGCTGATTCAGGAATAGATAATTTATTAATTTAATATTTTCTCTGTGACCGTTTCAATTGTCTATGAATTCTTTTGCTTTAAATCCCTCAAAACTTGCTGATTCAGGAATTTATGAATTAAATATTTTCTCTGACCATTTTAATTGTCTGCAATTCAAATTGTTTTGTACTCTTGTATTTGTGTTGCGATATAAAGTCATAACATAATTCTGAAAAAAAATTTCATGTCTCAGTACAAATTCTGTGATTTTTTTTTTGTTTAGCACAATCATAGCATGTGAACTTTATTGTTTAAATTTATGACAATATTATTTATGAAGACTGGGAATTAATCTGGATAGTTGCCTAAAATATCTGCCCTAGATATGCTTGCCATTTTATGTTATCTTCAGTTTGTAAATGAAAGGAGTGTAAAATTTGCTGTAACAATGTGTACAGAAGAGACTTGTGAGAAAATGTATTTCCTTTTTATTTTTCTTTATTTAAGGAAAACGCATGTCCTCTATTAACAGTTACCTAGTTTACTTTTGGTGGACGTGGTTTTGATGGTGCACATAGGAGAGTACAAAGATTCTTTTATATTGTACACAGTGTATGATGTAAATACGAATTTGTGTAGCTTAGAATTGCTCTTTGATTACTGTGCTACTTTTAAGAGATTTTTCTCTTGTTCCTTCGTATGTAACGCAGTTGATTTTTTAAGGATTAGATTCAGTGAGGCCACTTTTAAGGTCAAACACTGAATTCTATACATAAGTGTATATTTTAAATGGTGTACAGCTTGTTTCACATTGTGTAGTGAATATCACTTGTGACGGTATTTCACTTATATAGAAAAGTAAATATTATGTTTTACCTTGTACATATGTTAATTACTTTGTGAGATAAATTTCTAAAAATTGTAAAAATTATTATGCTCAAACTGGGAGCAGAAGCACTAAAGTATGCAAAAAATTCAAATAATAAAGTTAAAAAAAAAAATCTTGTGTTCTTGTTTGAACCCTTATCACCAGATTACAAGTAAACATTATGCAACTGGTTCAAGAACTAGTTAAGTTAAATATGTGCTTTGGAAAACCTATTTACTAACAAGCCTGTTTCTTGTGTACTGAGTATACAGGAAATATCTCCTCTGCTGATAGTGATGCAACAAATTAAGTACAGTATCAGGATGTGAGTGATTTGTCTTGTTTGCTGAGTTAACCAAATGAAGGTGGGGGAAAAGCAATTAATGGGTTAATTTACGTCTTTTTAAGGCAACATTCCAGGATGTTTACATCGAATCAGAACGCTGCAAGCAAGTGGTGGGATAGGGACCATCAAATAACACTTATCTCAGGACTTTTAATTTAATTCTCTCAACTTATAACAATTTGAACATCACACAGCTGTAAATGGGAAAAAATTCCGCTCTGTCAGCTGGAGGCAGTATCACGTCCCAGCTGGTCCAGTAGTGTACGCCTGCGAGCTTGGATAGAACACCTAAGAGTTTAAAGCTATTCTATAGGGGCTCCGCCGAGGTATGTCGTCCGGGAAGAAAGAAGCTGGTGTTGAAAATGAAGCTGTTAGGAACTTCCGCGAATATCTGCGCATACCATCTGTACAACCGGATATAAACTACGGTAAGTTCCAATGTCGCTTCGCGACCGTCTTACTCTGACGTGCTTTGTACGTAAGAGAACAGAGGAAGTAAGATGAAAGCCACCCATCGTTTCGCAGGATGACGTCGAAGGTATGCTACACTACTTTGCTTTGTATTATCAATATTGAACCTAGAGGCAATTAAATAATGTTTAGTGTTAACCGATATGTAGCTAATTAAGTGTATTTCATTTTGTACTGAATTGCTGAAAGTTTAAATGTTGAAGCTCAACTTCTTCAGTATGAACAGCGTGCAAGGAGCCACACCCAGTTAGTTTTCTATGCAGTCATTTTTACCGTATATTTAATTAAGCCAAGGGTAATGCTAGTACCTGTGGTATTTACTATGTGAGAGGAAAGTCGTGGCTGGGATAACCGGATTCCAGGATAATACAAATGGGGAAATAAGTAAAGGCAACTTACGGAAGGCATTCGCGTCTGCAAGTTCTCCTCGTGCAAGTAGAGAACTCTCGCCTTTTTGCCTGTAAGAAAGTTGTTTTGACACTGTATGTTGTTCAACTAATGTGCCCAATTGTTTTACAGACGAATGTGTGACGTTCCTCAAGTCGCAAGCCAAAAGTATAGGGCTGCCTGTGCGAGTATTTACCGTAGCAATAGGCAAACCAATAGTTGTTTTGACATGGCAAGGAAAAGAGCCTTCGTTACCTTCGGTTCTCTTGAATTCACACATGGATGTTGTTCCAGTTTTCCCAGTATGTGCATTTTACTTGTATCATATTAATATTTGACTTCTACTTTTAGTTGATTTAATTGTCAGTTGTGAAGTAAATTACGATCACTTTTAATTGTAAATGTTATAATATATATGATAAATATATATGACTTGTAGGAAAAATGGACACATGAACCATTTGGTGCTGAAAAAGGCGATGATGGAAGAATTTATGCACGTGGCTCCCAAGACATGAAATGTGTGGGAATTCAGTATTTGGAAGCTATAAGAAGATTAAAACACAATGGTGTTCGCCTCAGGAGGACAGTCCATATAAGTTTTGTGCCTGGTATGTTTACTAATAATTTATGTGTGATGTTTGGCTTTCACTTTATTTGAGCAAGCATTAATTGGTTACAGATGAAGAAATTGGAGGCAAAGACGGCATGAAAAAGTTTGTGCATACATCTGATTTCTTGGAGCTAAACGTGGGTTTTGCAATGGATGAAGGAATGGCTAGTCCAACGGATGAATTTGTACTATTTTATGGTGAACGCAGCATTTGGGGTAAATTATCTGTTAATGAAGTAACTTATCTTAATTAAGTAATTACTTAATGAAGTATTTTACTGTTGTAGTTATCTTGATGTTTCTCCCTTAAGGGTTGCAATTGTTAATAATTTGACGCTTAATTCTTCCTGTTGCTTTCCACATTCTGACATCTTTCTTCATGTTGTCATTCCTAGATCCTACAGTCTATGTTCCAACTTTCTGAACTTATTCTGACCCATGGACCTTTTCTTTCAATGTATTATTTTTATAAACATATTCCAATGCTTTAATAACTATAATTTTACAAATTGAACTTGATTCATTTTGCTAGTTGTAATAGAGATGCAGGTTGATAGATTAATTTGTTTCCTGATGTGCGTCCAGAGCTATGGTCGGTATTAGTGCCATGAGTGTAGATCATGTTATGTCCTGGGTGATGTCTATGTTTCTTCTGTGCTGGAGCATGAGATCCAGAGTTGACGTGCTTGATGGCCTCTGGGATTTTACATTTCTAGGTATGTCAGCAGGGCACTGCTCCAGCCGGGACAAACTCTTTTAAGTCCCAGTCTTATCTCCTAGCATGTGTGGTAGTGTGTGTGTGTGTGTGTTGGGGATGAGGACTGGACAAGGATGACGAAGGAAAGATTGTGTTTGGTCAGTAGCCCATGTGTTTTGGCAGTTCTGCCATCCATCACGTATTGATCTGAGAAACCACATAAACTACCGATCAGAGTAGTCTGCTGCTAGAATCCTCTTCCAGACTGGCTGAATTTGATCTAGTTATTAACTAGTATTGTAAATTGACTATCAATGGGACTGGAACCTTTGAACCTCTTAGTCAGAGATAATGCAGTAGCAACAATTGTTGCCCAGAGAATTTAGAAATGTTTGGGAATATTATTGCATTTCCTGGTTTAGTATTAGAATGGAAAAGTGAATGCAATGGAAGGAAGCTAGTAAAAAGAAACGGGGAGTTTGTGGGTTTACGAGAAAGTAATTCTGATAATAGAATGTAGAGACAGATTTCCAGATTTGTTGGAAAATTAAGGAATGTTTTTATGGAGATGTTATATTTTTTCTTCACTCTTTGGGTGCTTAATTGAAAGTTGAAAAGAAGCCTATTGAATGTGCTTTGAAAAAGGTAAAGATGCTAATCATTAAAATAGTCTATGGCTTGTGATAAGACAGCTAGTTATTTCTGTATTAAATTAAAAATAGTCTGAAAAGTTAGTAAATAAAAGTTGAATTATTACATTATTTGTGAAATTGTTTAGCAAAATTTATTTAGCACTGTGCTTTTTGAGAAAGAGCATATGTACCTGAAAATAAGATGATAAAGTGCTATATTCCACCAATTAAATATCTTTCTTTCTCTAGCCTTTTTAATTAATGCCATCTTGAATGGCAATGAAGAAGAAATTCCTCTCAAAATTATTTAATATAATTGCATCTTGTCATCTAAGTATGGTTAGTTTTTCTTTACCCTTTTTTAATAACCCTTTTTATGAAAATGTTGGTATGCTGCATTAAGGGAAGACATAAAGTTACAACAAAAATTGCTTTGCCTTTTGTTAGTTTTATTTTCTTAATTTTCCCTTTGAATAATTAATTATTTGTTAATAATCTTGTTTTCCCTTTTTGCATTTAATTATTTTCATAAATAATGTCACTTGAAAAAAGGTTTAATGCTCTGTATGTAAAAAAAATACAATAAATTTAAATTTTTTTTAAGAATTGTTGTAACAATTTCTCCAAATGTAATCAAACTCTTCTTAAATACTCTTCAGAATTAAAGTATTCAACACAGACGTGATGATCTAAGAGTTGAAATAGAATTCAAGATTATTTTTGAGCACTTCGTTAAAAATGTTTAGGATCTAGAATTGTTTATTGATAGGTAGGCAGAGATAGGTTTTCGAAAAGGAAATTCTTCTGAAAATAATACTATTTTTCATTTGTATTTGACATTATTAGTTTTTTTTTTGTTTTTTTTTATCTTTGCAACCCATGTTTACTTAACTGTTTTCCCAACATAACTCCTCTTCCTTGTGTTTCATTTACTGTATTGTATTGTATTTGAAAAAGAGAAATGTAACATTGTGATAATTTTGCATAGAGGTTTTGCAAAATTACACATTGTGGAATAGTTTTCTTGCACTAAGATCCTTTCAAAAACCTGTACCCAGCCATGCTTGTGGAATAAATCTGTAGCTACTTCTTCCTAAATAATTTATAGATTTTCCCATAAAATCACATTTATTGTTTCCATTTTACTTTATGGTTCTTTAAATTGTAATAAATCCTTTTAGTTTAGGAGGGTTACTCAAAATATATTCATGTCCATAGAAAAGAGTGCATTCCAATACAGGTTGAAATTTTTGAAGCTTTGTTGTTGGTATGAACATTATCCTCTGTATCTTCACTCCTCTGAACTTTACTTTTTCAAATAATATGTTTAAAATCTCAAAAAAACACTAATGTATCTTAATTATTATTATACAGTAAATCTTAGAACTTTTTGTGGTACAAATTTTCCTGAGTTGTTACTTTACTTTGCTGTAAAGCTCAGAGAAAAAAATTTAACACAAAAAGTTTGAAGATTTGCTCATACTTGTCAAGATTTTATTATTGGGCAGTATATGTGTGTACATAAGCGAATTACAAATTATTTTTTTAATTTGCAAATCCTCCTCCTTCACCTCCCATCCTTAATTTATTCTCTACATATCATGTTGTGAATAATCTTTTTAAGGTTTTGTGGGGCAAACTAAAAAAGCACGCTTCAATAATTCACATCTTACTCCCACATTTTTCAGGTTTGCACGTGCACTGTCCCGGTTCTCCTGGACATGGATCCTTACTGTTACCTGATACTGCTGGAGAAAAAGTGAGACATATCATTGATCGTTTCATGGATTTCAGACAAAGAGAGAAGCAAAAATTAAATGATAATCCAAATATGGAATTGGGAGATGTCACTACAATCAATTTAACTCAATTAAAGGTAAACTTTTATTACTTGTTCCCTTAGTTTCAATTTTTTACAACTGTAAGAAATTCTTGTCTGCTTCAGCATTGTTGATGGATCATATCATTTAATTGTAGTTCTCCCTCCTTACCTTTCTGACAGTTATGAGAAGAAGAATACCAAAGTAATTTTTATTGTTTGATAAATTGCATGTTGTGTTGAACCCAGGCTTATGTAATCTGCTTTAATATATAATCAGCCCTACATCCACACGTGTTAAATAATTTTTTAACTGATGTGAAATTCAAAAGATGTGGATGATTTGACATTAATTCTTTTAATTTTCTACATCAGTTACAAGATTATTTAAAAATTGATTGTGAATCTGAAGTACCAAACACATTGGATTCTGAAAAATGATATTTAATTGTTACTGATTTTTGAATTGTTTGAATTCTTATTCAGAGAAGTTATTTTATTGAAGTTATATTAGTTTAAAATTACTTGAGAGGGAGGAAATACCTTAGAAAATTATTTGAGAGTTTACATTTGTGGGATATGATGAATGAATAATGTGTGTATTTTACATTTAACTTCAACAAAATTGAAAAAGTTCCCTGAAAATGTTTGGTGTGTATGCTGTGTATATGTTCGGCATGTGTGTGTCAGCAGATGTGTTAAAAATTGACTGTGACCATATCAAAGGTATGTAGGGAGGGTGACTTGTGCACAATTGTGAATATGTTGCTTTTTCAAAGTGAATTTTGATCTGCTACCGTATATGAATGTATGTAGGTGCATTTAGCATGATTTGTTTTGTAGGTTGATTATTCTGTTGGTGTTAGTCTGCTTGACTGTTTTTTAAAGATTGATAGTGTAAGACTATTTTTAATCTTATATAGATTTGGTAATTGATGTTGAATGAAGTTTCTGATTTCTTTAGTACTCTGTTGCCATGTAATACAACTTGTTGAACTTCTTTTGTAATTGTATGCTACTCGTTAGTAATAGTGATATTGCAAAACGAAACATTTTTAAAGTTGATGAGATAAATTGTGTGCATTATCTCAAATTGATTGCATTACCTGCTGCAAATGATGTTGACACGGTAGCACAAATTCTAATCAAGTTGGTGAGCTATGTAGATCTTCTGCTTCTTCTGCCTGATAAAAAATATTAAGAGATGTCAGTTTTATATTGATTTATAAATGAATATTTCAGTTACTTCAAAATCTCTCATAAGTCTTAATATCTTTTCATTTCATTGTTACTGATGTGTTATTTTACATACCATTAACTTAAGAGGGTTCTGTAAAGGAAGTTCTCTCACTGTATTCCTTTTAATACTTAAGTACTCTGTGCATTTGTTTGCAACAGTTATTTTTTTTGTTTATACAACTCTGTATTTTCAGAAAATTTTTAGATCTCTTAATGCACTTTTTCTAACATAATTTCTTATCTCACATTCCTTGTTATGTTGTAAAGAACTCAAAAAAGTATGTGTGCTGGTTTTAGAATTCATCATTTTTCTTAAAACCAATATTGATAATCATATCCATTATCAATAACGTAAAGTTACTTAAATGGATTTTTAATGTGTTTCGAGTGTTTACCTTATCCAGTCATCTTACCTTTTACTCTTATGAATTATATTTTATTTTTGTTTAAACAATCTTTTTTTAAATTTTTTATTATTATGCCTCCTGTTCTCATTATTAACAATGTTTTCTTTATGTAATTCTTGTATTCCTTTTTACACATTTTAATTAATAAATGAATTCTTTAGGAATACTGAATTTTTACTGAACAGTTGCTAAAGAGTAATATAAATTTTGAAATATTAAAAGCTTTAGATATTTTTTTTATATGCCTCAAAAATTACTTTTCTATTGATGTCTGAAAAATTAGAGCCAATACGATACTAGTTTTGAAAGAGGAATTAGGTAGATAGATTTGAAGGAGGTAATGCAAACTGTTTATGAAAGAATTACGTTTACCGTTATATTTCGGATTTTGGTGGGTAGTTAATTTTCAAAATCCTATTACATACCCCAGATATGTTAAGCAGGAGGTAATTTTAGTGTGGTAAAGCCAGGTTTCTATTCAATCACTTACATTCTTCAAAATGATTGCTAGTCATTGAAAAAAATTTAGTGGTCTTCAGAATACTTAGTGCAATTATAATAGTTGTGAGCTTGAGGTAAATACGTATAAATAATTTGGTGTTGCGAAGCATATTGGAAAGTGTGTTCCCTTGTACCCCAAGAATAAAACTTAAGGCATTGGCTAAGAGGAAATAAAATGTAATTGCTTTGGGAATTATGTAGTAAAAGATGTGTAATCAATTGATTGAAGAGAAGCATGTGCACGCTTTTACTTTAGAAGGTATGTGAACAACTACAATACGTGCAGTATTGCAGATATTAATTTGAATTTTAGTTTCTACAAACTGATTCACTGGAAAGTAAAATATTATCAAATGTAACCGAGACGTTTACATTTTTGTATTTGCTATTTGTACACTGGAAAGCGTGATTTTGTAACGTTGCGTTTTACTTGTAGTTAAACAAGATAGGAAATTTTCTCTTGTTGTTCCAAAAATTCATGACAGTGTTCTCTGCATGAATTTATGATTTTTTGTAGTAGTAGTAGTAGTAGTAGTAGTAGTAGTAGTAGTACTAATAATATGAATAATAATAATAACAATTTATTTAAGAAAATGTAATTTCTCAAAATAACTGTGGTCTCATTTCATTCCATGCCTCAGCAGAGGTGACAAATGGTAAGTACTTTTCAGCTTGTGAGAGATGTTGCTTTTCATGAGTTTTTTAAAATATTTTTTTTAGTGCTTGTGGTTTGTTTGTTCAATGGGTTACTTATTGTTGCTAATGTTGTTGTGGTATTTTGTGTGCATTTGGTAGGTGCTCAGCATGATGGTTTTGAAGGAATGAAATGAACCAAATGGTTTAAAATGCATTTATAGAATTTAGTGTTAGAACATCTCAGACCTACATGATGATTTTGGCATTTGCTGAGATATGATCATGCAGCAGTATTACAAGAAATGTACTCACGTTTGTTAGGTTATCTCCTGCGTCATTATAACAAAAAAGGGTGCATCTTCATTGATTGGGAAAACTTTGGGATTTATTATTAAATTCTGTTCAGTATTGATATGTTAGTTAAAATTTTTGAAATATTTCTTGTGTCTTTTGGAAATTTTTATTTGATACAGTTCCTGTTTTTAGGGTGGTGTTCAGTCAAATGTGGTTCCTCCGGAGTTGGTGGTGGTTTTTGATGTACGAATATCGCCATCATTGGATCATGAAGAATTTGAGTCAATGGTTAATACATGGTGCAAGGAAGCTGGACCCGGAACATGGATTGAATACGAGCAGAAATGTCCTCGGGTTGATGTTACTGCATTGGACAAAAGTAACCCATGGTGGCAAGCATTCAAAGATACTTGTGATAAATTGTGAGCAGTTACCTTTTCTAGATCATTTATTTTGTATTTATAACTGTAAAGGTGTCTGAAAAAAAACAAAAATTGCTGATCTGTAACTCTAAACGTAATTGTTTCAGGCAAATAAAAGTGAAACCACTCATTTTTCCTGCAGCTACTGACAGTCGTTACATTAGAGAGGTTAAAAACATTATTTTAGAATAAATATTTGCCTTTTTACGTTTCATAAGTACAAATGTTAATCTCAAATCTAATTCATATCTTAACTTTCAGGTTGGAATTCCAGCTCTGGGTTTTTCACCTATGAATCACACACCAGTTTTGTTACATGATCACGACGAATTTCTTTCTGAAGAAATATTTCTGAAAGGTATAGAGATTTATGAGAAAATAATTGCAGCTGTATGCAACGTGCCATCACAAAAGAAGTAGTCTAATATCCAAGAAAGAAGTTATAGTAAGGCATTCATTTTGTGTAGACTGCCTGGGCTTATAAAAATTAGAATATTGAGCTGTGCCAACTCGTGATATGTGTGCCCAGAATGGATCTTGAACATGTGATAAGAATAATGCATTGCATTTTGTCTGTTTGGGGTCAATGATGTTTTCTTTCTATCTTTATTCAGAATTTATAACATTAATAGACATCAGGTGTTAAGGCACTAAAAACTTAGGTTATCGGTGCCTCAAAAGGCATTAAGAACTAAAATACTAAAGCACTAATGTATTTCATTGTATGTATCTAAAATTAGCAAGAATGTAACATAAGGAAAAGTTTATGAATTTATATTTTACAAACTTGAGAAACGCAATTATAATAATTATTTAGATTGAACTTTCTTTCAAATTGCTATATTTTAATTTGAAATCATTTATTTAATAATTCTGGAATTTGTTTTTGTATTACCATAAGGTAAAGTCGATCAGATAAAAAATCCAGTCGTTCATGCTAGGATTAACATTTGAATTATTGCTGCTTTGATGTTTTTGGAATATCAAATTCTGCCTTTCTGGGTAGTGTGTCAAACATTTTGTGACAATCCACTATAGTTATAGCACATTTCAAATTTTTCTTAAATGTATCTGTATATGTTGTCACATAGTCCCTATGGGGACAATTATCTGTTTACGCTAATTTTATTATTCAAGAATAGTCAACATTGCTACAATACCAAAAATATGTATAAACACGAATTTTGATTAGTTTCAAGGGTAGAACTGCATAATAAGCAGGTCATAAAATGGTGGCGAACTTTTTTTACAAGATTTATATTCACTTTGGAATAGTTGAATAGAAAGTTACATTCTCTACAAGAAATTTGAGAGTATATGTGCACATCAATATAGACCACATAAACAAAAACCACAAATAAATGTTTGGTTTTACAGTACCATTTTTGAGAAAATATGTTTTATGAAGCACGCATATACATTACGAAGATATATTGCGGGAAAATTAATTTTTATTTCTGTCTACGGCATTTTACTGGCAGTTACAATGTTTTCGATTTTTACAGCTCCATCTGTTGTGAAAGGACAATCCATTGCCAGTATGATGTGACCTTCAGGGATTAAATTTTGGTTTCTTTACTTCATTAAACTACTGATCTGAGTTATAACAGGCACTGTGAGGTACTTTGCGAGGCGCATTATAAATATTAATACATATTAACCAGGCAAGTGTGATACCTACCATTGAAGTGTAGTGTATATGAATGTAACGTTTCAATCTTTGAATTAACAGTGCCTTGCATACCATCCTGGTAGAGAATCTGACATTTTTTTGTGTCAGTGTTAGAAGTCAGATTTAGTGGCTGGTTTCCTGAGAACAATGTGTTTTGGTTGTGTTGTGAAACTGAACACAGCACATTCTCAAAACCTATTGCTTGATTTTTTTAATTAATTTACATGTTTATTGTATTTCATTTTATTTTTTAGTTTGTGCAAAGAAGTAAGCTTAGTGAGTTTTGAGGCTCCAAAGGTATAGAATGTGACATGAAAATCTAAATATTATCTTGTCTACATAAGCAAATGGAGGTTCGTTAGCAGTGGAATACTATTGAATTCATAAAAATGAAATGATACAAGTGCTTATTTTTAACTACAAATAGGAGGAGATACAAATAAATTTTAAGAAAAAGAATTTAAAAATTTTCTTGAAAGACATATCAGAATTGGCAAAAAAGACAAAATAAAACTTCAATAAAATGTTTCATTTTTCATAATTCATGTAAGTAAGCCAAAAGCCTTTCATTGGTTCATTAGAGTAAGAGGTAATTTCCTGAACATCTGATGTCTAATCATTAATAAATATTTTTTGGTGTTACACTAATAATAAAAAAAAATTCTTATCAAAGATCACAAAAATATTTTGTGCTGAATGACGTAATGGTTACTTTGAAAGATGAATGAAAATTGGTTAAAAACATATTGTCTTGATACAATTTTTATTCTGTAAGTATACATATGAGTTATGTTTCCTTATTACTTTTTGGTGTGTAAAAGGGGTATTGTATTCATCATCTTAATTGACAGATCGTTTAGGGAAAATCAAAGGAAGAACATTAAATCAACCATTGCTAGACAATTTTATTATCTAATAATAATGTTCATTGATTCAATTTTCTGTGATGATAGAGCAGTGTTTATGGGGTGTTGGGTAGACTATGAAGTGATGGCACTTACCACTTCCTTACATCTTTATTTTGAATGTTGTAGGCCTAACCAAAAAAATATTCCTTTTTTTATTGTGTGCTTAATGATGCTCAAAACATATCAATATACCATCTTATTATTTGTTGACCAAATATGTGATATTACATTGTTTTAGCTATACTTGTTGTGAAAGTGGCTGTTGAATTCATATTTTTATAAAGATTTTCTTATATTATACGATAAATTCTTCTAATGAAGATGTGATACCAACTTTTATATCTTCACTGATCTTTATTATTCACCCTAATTACTTTTGAGATTTTTATGAATTGTTACTGAATTAGGCAGCTTGGTGAAAGTGTTTTGGAATGTGAACATTGCATTTAATATTTTACTGTGAGTATTATGAACTTCTTTGTCATGATTGACTAGTGTTTTGTGAATTAAAATGGCATCTGTTAATTTTTAACTGTTTTAATGAAAGGTGTACAGTGTGTATGCATACCTTATACTACTGAGGTAATATTCATTTAGAAAATTCTGTAATAAAGTTAAAGATAATTTGTTAATTTTATCAGTTATGTGAATGCTTAACTTTTGTTATGAATATTAACTGCATCATTGCCCTGGGAATTTTATATCAATGATTGTTTTAGAACAAAATGATTTGGAATTGTTGTTATTTTCATCAATTGAAAGTTTAGATGTAGTCTCATCCTATATTTTTCAGTGGTTTGTAAAATTGTTTTTTTACTCCTTTGCACCAAACTTCTGTGCTACAATAAATAAATTTGTAATATATTATAAAAGAAAAATAATTGAATTAACTATGAAATACAAATTTTTCTTTGAGTTCACTTTTGTTTTTGTTTTTTTAATTTAATGATTTTATTTTTTCATATTTTGTAATTATGAGTTTATTTATTATAATACTAATAATGAAGCCAAAAAGGTGTTGCAATTGTGAAACTACATCTGAGCTTTCTGTTGTTTTTTCTCTGATAATTATTGTGTTTATTGTGTGCATTCCATTTTGCAATTGTGTTAAATATGATGGTATACATTCACACATAAATGTGTATTGAAAAGATGTAAAAGTCTTCATTTACATTTTTAATGTGTGTTTTGAAGATTAATGAACTTTGTGATATTGCAATGCAATTTTTGTTGAATAGTATGTAGGTTTCAGATTGTTCTTATGTTAATATTATTAATGAGAAATTGTTGAGTTACAAATCAGAAGAAATGTTTATATTTTACATCCTGTTATTAATTTAATTTTGGCCTAGTAGGTGCTATCACTGGAGTTTTGAGGTAGTGAATATCTGCAAGAAGGTACATATTTTAGGGGGAAGATTGTCAGAGCAGTGTGCCTTAAACAATTTCTGAAATGTGTGTAATGTATTGCATATGTTAAACCATAATTTGTTTTGGTGCTACTGTGAAATGAGAATGAATGTTTTAAGCTATTGTTTGATAGTCAATTTTTAATGCATCATGACTGATGTAAATTGTTGTGTGAAAGGTATTATGTCTATTTTAAGGATTCGTGACAAAATAATACTGTCTCACATATTTCTCTACAGTTACACTTTGTAATTCTTTTACAATAATGTATTACACAATTAGATATATTTCGTACTTTTGTTGTGTATGAAAAACCAAAAATTAATGTGAAATAACTTATTGCATAATGTAACTTGCTATTTTTATCCATCATAAACCCATTTGTGTTAATAACGCATATATTTCAATTGGTGAGCATCAAGAATGTATTTTAGTTTTCCTCTCTTTAATTTCTGTAGCATTGATATTTTCCTTTAAATTTAGAAAGTACAACACCCCATTGTGACCAAAAAGAGTTTGTTTTGGACTCTCATGACCACGTGTATGTTCACGTGCTAGTGTTTGTATGGCGTTTCCCGCTTCGGAAGTTTTGTTTTGTGTGACTGCACACCACCTCCCCCACTGGCCTGTGTCAATGGACTGCTCCAATGAGCATTTTGGTTAGAGATCGTTTTATGTTTTAAATGGTGTTTTTTTCGCAAGATTTGAGCGTTAATGTATATTTCACTCTGCTACCGAATAATACTTGAGTGTATATTGGTAGCTGCTTGCATTGGCAATTTCTTCTTGCCCTGGTCATAAATTTACCGCCGGAATTAGGCAGCCATGTTAGTTACTGTAGCTCACTGGGTGTGTTCTTTCGTTATGTAGGTCCCTTGTCGGGGATTTTTATATCACGCGAAATTCATGCTCAAATACCCGAAGAAATTTTACCTGTTTAATATGTATGCGAATTTTATAAGTAATGTGTTATTGAAGTATGCTTGCTTGTAAACCATTTGCTAGTTTGAACACTGCTCGCGAAGTCTCGCTGCGTTCGACCAATGAGCAGCGACCGGGAAAATACTTTCAAGCATTTGCGCCAATGAGAGCACTCGAATTTAAAATTTCTGTCCGTCTTTGTCCGTGGCCAACAGACGTTCTACGATACTCCATGAGAGTCTTGAATGTTGTGTGTAGTTTTGAGTGTAAGAAAATTACTAATATTCATGGTGGTACGTGAGAGTATCGGACAAGAGCATCATTTTCCACGACTGATTACATATCTGGTAAGTAGATATTAATTTAGGTATAGCTATGAAGTGCAGTTTATGTTAAAATGTGACGTAAATTTGAGTTAATACTGTTGACATTGCCAATGGAGCCCGTAAATGTTTGGCCCGCTCTTTTAGTTTAAAATTGTACTATGTACTGCTAGTCAGTTACCGGTATTGCCATGTAATTGTTGAATAAACGCTGTCTATCGGATTAAATTTTAGACAATGAATGTATCCGCCATTTACTTTTATGTACTACTCGACCCGCGTAAATATCTAAGGTGTGAGAATTGGGAGAGTTCATTTCTAGTATAGGCGGGAACACACTTCAAGGTTGTCGTAACTATGGCAACGACATGTTTGTGGATTTTTTTTAAGAAATAAAAAAAATATCTAATGAAATTGCAGCCGCGCAAAGCTGAATTATTTTTAGATAAGCCTTTGGTCGGTTAGTTAATGAGTGTTGAAAGAAGTTTCTCTCTGTTCATTGGTTTTTATGTACCTGGATTTTTGTTGCGTAGAACCTAGAATTATGTCTTTGTCAGAACGCCGCCAATTAAGCTTTAAAATCCTTAGCAACTGGCAATTAGTAATTATTTGGAGTAATCCTAATTTAAGTATTCCGAACTTATGACAATTAAAATATTCTATTTCAATTTTGTTTTATCTTTCTAGTTCATTTTCTGATAAAAGTTGGCCGAATTTTCTAACTCGATATTGCACTTACGTAATGTCCTCATGTTCATGTTTGTATACAATGGCAGTGACAAGTTTGAATTGTCCATAACACTCGGGGTGGTTGATATATACATTATTTACGAGTTTCACCTATAGACGTTTATAATGGCTTATACGACTGCGGATGTGTTTGTTAAAAGGTAGGCGGGGAGGGGGGCTGAGAATGAAAGATGAAATCGATAATCGGACTACTGCGGGTTCCAGTCATTGCCTACGTTCCTCGCTCATCTACCACTTAAGATTTATTCTGAAATGAACACTAATAATTATGTAATTTAAGAGTCAGTATTTTTCATTAGGTTTACGGCCATTTCCGTTACCATTAGTTTACAAGTAAAAATTTGCATTGTAGAGCAGACATACTTTTCTTAGTTACGTAATAACCGGCGAGCGCTGTTGTCAAACCGGAACATTATGTATCACATTGTGTTTGTATTTGTTTTGTAGGTATATTCCGAGGATTTTTTCCCCACAAAAACGTAAATTAAACACATCCCTCAGCGATCCAATCCTATTGTGTCAATTAAGATTTACCCATATATTGTTAATATTTTAGTTTATCTACGTTAGTCAGGGCGTGAAAAATGGCGCCTGTTTCAAAAGCGTATAAATTACGAACAACGCAAACCACTCGTCAGAACTCCCTCTTCAGTTCATTTTTATGATAATAAAATATTGAAAATGATAATCTGTAAGGTTGTAAGACGTGGGCGTAATTGCGATGTTCTAATTAAAAGTCAGATCACGTATTCCAATATTTTGGATTCACCAATTATTCTCAATGGTAACGAATTTAATAATGACTACTCGTAACTAATTCGAAAGGGTTAAGTCAGTAATTAACACCATTTTCTGACGAATAGGTTCATCAAGTGCAGTATTGGAAACAAATTGAAGTTGATATACATTATGTGAACTCAGTGGGAACTGAAATAAGTTTCTATTCACTATTTTCTACTAAGAATGATACATTTCCCAGCAATGCACTATTTGGCATTACGTGCATCAAAACAAACACGTAAATACCAATTTTGCTATAAAAATGACGATAATATAAACCAAATGTAATTGTAATGTTGCAATTTAAGATCGAATCTTTTGCTTTTAATCTATTGGATTTACAATTCATTCACAAATGCAATGTAATCAATAATTCTGTAAACGGAAATTGGAAAAAAGAATCAATAATCGATTCAATAAAGAGCACCATTTTGTGGAGAAAAAGGTTATAAAGTGCTGTACTGGAAATTAAGTGTATTTGTTCTTTGTGAACATGGCAAGAATTGAAATAGGTTACCATTCTCAATTTTCTTGATTGGCCACTGTCTGTTATCTTCCCAAAAGGAGAGGTCTAGAAAAAAAATCGTCAGAAAAGCAATGATGTTAAGATGCAATCATAGTTTGTGGTGATACAATATTTTTTTCAATTTCATAGAATCAATGTGCAAACTGTCAATAATGCTATAAAAACAGATGCAAATACCGATATGTTACAGTAAAGACAATATAATTTAGTCAACAAATAAATGTTTTCCAATGTGCTGTTAATTTCCTATTAATACCTCAAATAATTGCCTAAATTGTTGATTTGAAGGTTGTGGGCCCCTTCCTTTTTGTAAGCTTAAAGAAAAGAAAAAATGAAAATTTTGGTTGCCTTCGTCTGGAGCCTCTATTTCTCAGTATATCTCAGAAAATAAGTCAACAAGATCAAACCACTCAATTCTTCAAAGTGGCATAGAAGCATATGTTAGAATATTTGTTTCTGCCTCTAAAAGAGTGTGTGTCTGCATTAATCATGCAGTTCATGGCTATTGAATTTTAATTTTTAATTGGGGAAAGAGTGATTTTGCAATTTCTTTCCTTCATTACAACACATAGAGGGACTCTTGGTTTCAGAATAATCAAATTTTCTTCCTATACATCTTGACCAAAACAAAACAGAAAAGCAATACACAACATTTCCCAGAAAACTGAGAATGTGCCAAAAAAAAACAACAAACGATTATCAGTATAGCTGTTTTATATTACGAGTTAACAAAGTCATTGCTGTGGTTTGCTTTTAAATGTTAATATCATGTGAATTAGAATAAGAAGATCATGTTTTCTATTTGAAGATGTAATACAGGAGATTTTATGGTTACTGCTTCTATAAGTGATAGAAATATGGTTGATATTTTCTTCTTCTCACTGAAATCTATTGAAAAATCATATTCTGATTAGTAAATAATATTTCATTTTGATTTGTGTGTCTTATTTGTTTTTTCTCATATTTCAGAAGGTGAATAAACATGGATGTGTACATGAATTCAGGAGAGAGTTTGAGTCTTCAAGAAATGCTGGATATAGATTACAAAACTGGTTTAGATGGAATTTTCCCATCCATGGATTTTGGTCTATCTTTGACAGGGGACTTATCACCTTTAGATTTAGAGGATGCATTTGGAGATCCAGGTACTCCAAGAAATATGCCTGAAGATGAGGAAGATCTGGTTGACATGACAGCTTGGTTTACAAATAATGGACTTTCGACAAATAATAATTCAAATTCGAGCTACACTTTAGATTTGGTGAATGGTGATATAGCAACAATGATGGTTAATACTAATAGTGTTATGCCTGTGACTGTAGTGACAGTACCATCATCATCTACAAATAGTAATAATAATACATACATTACATCATCTGGAGTTCATTCTTCTGATGAGGATTTAACATTTTCCTCTCCATCCCCAAGTGCAAATAGTGTGGTTGATAATAGTTCCTCAGGGGGTGGTATTACTTTTGTTAGAACATTATCAGCCTCGAGTGGGATCTCCACAGCAAGTACTGTATCGTCTCCAACTCAAGCAAGGTCACCTGTAGTAAAAACACAGCCTCAGGCAAGTGTAGCTTCAGGAGTTAGAATTGCTGCTGCCACATCAACATCACATACTTTGCGAGCAGATGCCACATCAAGTGGATTGCCATCAATTTTGGCTACCGCCCCTAGAACTGTACCAATTGTGACTAGCAGTACAAAAATAACTCAACAGCAAAGGCCAATAACACGTGGACAGGTTACTACAGAAAGTCCAGTGAGAACTAGAACAATTCATGTTCAGCAAGCACAACCATCTCACTTCAAAAGGCAGCATATATACAACAGCAATAAACATTATTCAGATTTTGATATGGATGATAAAGCATATCCCAAGCCGGCATACTCTTACTCGTGTCTTATTGCTATGGCTTTGAAAAACAGTAAAACTGGCAGCCTGCCAGTGTCAGAAATATATAATTTCATGTGGTGAGTACTTTCTTTGTCATTTATTATATAGAAAATTAAGCTTATGTCACTCATTTGCTGCATCAGTTGCGTATAGCATGAATAGCTTTGTATATCAGAAAACATTTAAAGTTTCTGGTTTACATATAAAACTCGCTGATATAACAGCTCTCTTGAGCCAAATATTGCAAAATGTTTCTAGAGTTTCCTCTTTCTAGTCGTAAATTATTCTAGGGGGATTTGCCTACACTTTTTTTGGTTAAAATAACATAATGTTAAATATATGAATTCCTGTACTTTTCACACTAATTCTTGCCTCACATGCATACATATTAATTTGATTAGAATAATTTTCGTAATGAGTAATTTCAAAATAGAGATAACTCTTCCATATTGTATTAATGTGAATTTATTTCTAATTGATTTATCATCAATATATTGGTGTAAATGTAATAATTACATTAGTGCTGAATGTTGTAACTTATGTTAAATAACAAATTAAGGGAAGACGTAGAGCAAAAATCTGAATTTTTGACATTTTTAGGATTTTAAGTTTCTAAATACATTGATAACTGATACATTGATACATTGAGTTTTCTGAATACATTGATACATTGAGTTTTCTGAATACATTGATAACTGCATCATTGTGAAATGCATGCTTGTAACATTAATTTTTTTCCTTTCTTCATCTGTACATGTCGAAATCGCAATTGTTCTGATTTTAAGTCTCTTGTTTGAGTTATATGGGTTATGTGGACAAATTCATCCGGAAGGCTCTACTTTTCACCAACTGAAGAGTGAAATTAATTGGAAAGTTCATTCTGTAATGTTATTTGTCTGCAAACCATTATCTTGTATGATTATTTCCTTGGCCAATGTATTTTGTTTATTTGTTACCAAAATGAGATGACTGGTTTCATAGAAGTAATAACTTCCGATTTCTCTGACATTTTGATTTTTCTGAATCTGAATTCTGAAAAATGACATTTTTGAACACATTTGTGTTTATCTGTGAAACTTCTCTAGTGATAATTTTTTGTATGATGTCCATGAAGTAATAATAAATGTTTGTGACTAAAATGTTTACAGTAAATTTCGGAATGAAAGTACAGCAAAAAGTTTGTAAAGAAAATATTTTTTTTTTACTTCATTTATGCTATAAATTACAAAAACTCCCCAAAATATGTAAGTCTATATTACTTAAAAAAATTTCACGAAGCTGCTTCTAAAATTTTACATCTCTACGTTGAATAGTTTCCGAGATTATGGGTCCCATATGTAGCCAAATTAACACGGGAGAGATGGTGCTTTATGTCTCCCCTTAATTGTTTTCTTTTGTGGTAACAAACTTTGCCAGTGTGTATTACAAATTGTGCAAACTGTATCTATTCATCATTGTATGAATATTTTCATTTTCCAGTGAACATTTTCCATATTTCAAGACTGCCCCAAATGGTTGGAAAAACTCTGTTCGGCATAATTTAAGTCTAAATAAATGTTTTGAGAAGATAGAGAAACCATCTGGCAATGGAAGCCATCAACGCAAAGGTTGCTTGTGGGCTATGAATCCTGCAAAAATTGCAAAAATGGATGAAGAGGTTCAGAAGTGGTCCAAAAAGGATCCTATGGCTATTAAGAAAGCAATGCTTAATCCAGGCAAGTTCTGAAAATTAAGATCATTCTTTGCTTTCTTATTAACAACGAAATGTTGGAAATGTGTTATTTTTGTAATATATTTCAGAACTTTGTATTCAGCTTTGATAAAGTCAGGAAGTCGGAAGGGAATTTCCCACTGAATATAATATGTTCTTTGAATCATTGGACAAAGTCTGTTAAAGGATTATAAATAATTCAAAATACAGTTGTAATGTAGATTGTTTTAAATCTGAGGGTGATTTTTTGACTGTCACTGTGCTGTACCTCCTTTTTGATAGGTCATTATAATACAAGACAGAGGGGAATTAAATATATAAATGGAAATCGTGTTATTTTTAAAAAATCTCTGAATTCTAAATTAAATCCCAGAGAAGGAAAGGAATGCATGATAATTGGACCATTTTGTGCATAGAAGTTTCTATTGTTCTCTATGAGTCTTTTTCATAAACTGTTTTTTCCACTTTAATGAAGGTGAAATTCTTTACAAATTAAAGTTTGGCAGATTGTAAAATTTAATTGGTTAAATTTTTAATGCAGAAAATTTGGAAATGTTGGAACGGGGAGAAATGAAACGTGAATATGTTGGTCTGTTGAATAATGGCATGGTGCACAGTCCTTCTGGAACTGATGAAAGTGATGATATGGAGGTGCCAGACATTGGCGATGTGAGCGAGAATGTTGAAATAATCTGCAGTGATCCTGCAACTCCTCTCTCACCAACATCAGTTCATCTTCCGGAATTTATTGACATAGCTACTGTCGCAGATGAATTAGAAGATGCAAGTCTCAATGACTTCGATATTGAGGTAAGAATTTAAATAAACAAATTATACTAAAAAAAAGGAATGCATAACATCTGTGTGTGTATGTATGTATTTATTGCGTATGTATATTATACGTAATAAATAACATAAATCAGTATTGATTATTTTATTGATGGTGTAATTCGAGTTCAAATATTTTATATCCATGATATCCATTAGCTGATTTGTGAAGGGTATTATGTGCTGATGGGTGGGCAAGAACAGTTTTCAGTTTCTCTCATATAACAAACATTTATTAAATATTAACAATTAAATAAAATATAGTAAATTACTAAAAGTAAAAGGTTTGGTATTTCTATCTGTCAGAATTTTGGTATATCGCATTTAATCAAATGTATCATATAGTTTTATAATGAAGGTTTAGTTCATTTTTATAGGTATAATGTTTGTGTTATTATTGATACTGAGCTTGAGTATTGAACTTCCTTGAAAATAATTTGTAATGTTCTTAAAAGGTGACTGATGAAATGTATGAAGATTTAGAAGTTGAGGATGAGCAGCTAAATTTAGGTGTTACCTTGACACCTTCCTCGCAGAGTGCAGATCTGTTGACATCTACTACTTTGACTTTACCTGTTATCACTTCTTCACAAGTCCAGACAATTGAGTACATTCCGCCAGTAAAACGTGGCTGCGTTGCTGGTAATACAACAAGTATTCAGGGCAATTATTTGTACAAACCAGTAGTGTCTGCAAATAGCTCAAGTTCAAGCTCTGTATCTCGGCGCAAGGCACCCATTTTACTTCGGGCATCTTCAGGAGCTTCCTCACTTATCAAGATCAAAGATCCTTGAAGAGGGTTAATTTTTGAAGACTATTTGAATTATTCCCTCCGCAGTGACTGCCTTTTCTTTCATTGGAAGAGAAACATTTGAGAGGAATATTCCAAGTTGCCTCTTGGTTGCTTATTGAATGATTGATTGGTAAAATATTTGTGATTGTATGTTTGTGGATTTGTATTTTTATATATATATATGTGTGTGTGTGTGAGAGAGAGAGAGACATTGGTGTTTTCTGAAGCCAGGTAAATTTTCGAGACTTCTACTAGGAATCGTGAATTGTGTAAATACCTTATTACAGTTAAGAGTAGAACCGGTTATGTTTCAAGAAAACTGAATCAGAAATGTGTGTGTCTTGAGAGACAGTCAATACTTAACAAATGACCAAAGGAAATGTTTCTCAAGTCATCTTTTTGTTTCCCAATTTGAATCAAAGCAATATTGATTTTTTATGGCTTATTTTCCTTTCAAATATTTTTACATTTGTACAATTTATAACAATGAAAAATATGGTTATGCTTGATTATGCCTTATAAATAGAGCTTGTTTAGGTAATGAATTGAATGTATTAATCTAGGTTTGTTTGGTCCCATAGAACTGAGAAGATTCTGTGCAATGAAAGTAAATGATTTTAAGAAAAAATTGTGGTGAACTATTCAGTATTAGTACCTTGATTCTTCATTCATGTTTATTTGTTACCGAACATTTAACTGTCATTTTCTATGATGAATACTTTTTTTAACACATTTTAATTTTTTTTATGGATTGGTCTACAATTAAAATAGACGAAATCAGAATTTTTGACTTGCTTCATTCCATCAGCTGTTACATTACTGACGTTTAGTTGCAGTCCAATTGTCTTGCAGTAAAAAAGTACAGAATACATTTCTGTCTCGCTGGCAAATTCCTGATACGTTTATGTCCCTCTTATAATGTATTTCATGATGTTGAATAGGTGAAGTAGCAACGAGGTACCTGATATAAATTTTCAATTTTGGTCCTGTAAGCATTTTTTACTATATGGAAAAAAAGAGAAGTTAATAGTCAGAAGAATGAGGAAATAAAACATTGTCTAAGAAAACTTTAAACATTCTTATGGCATATCTAAATATCTACCTTTAAAGTCATCTTCAATTAAGTTGTGAATAGTTCTGAAGTTTGTTGTTGATTTAATTTTATGCTCTTTTTTTTTTCCCATGAAGGTGCAGTACAGTTCTGCTGTTTTGCAAACATACTTTTATCTCCCTATTCATAATTATTTTATGCATTATCTAATATTAATGAAAAAATTTGATTGAACCACTGTATGTTCCATGAGAAGATTATCTGAGTGGTAGGATGACATTCCACCAATTAAACAAATTAAGTCTGAAGAATATAGAGAAGTATTGTAAATGTATCTGATTGCAAAATTAAGATTTCGGAAATTTGAAGTGTGGTTTTTGGATGAGAAGTGGTCAGTTCATAGGAATTGTCACTGTATCAGTCTTAACATTTTTTTATTTACTTATCATTGGAGTACTGAACATTCATGTTCTGTGTGCTTGTTTAGAGGAGATTCACTATACTTTACATTATTTGCATCCAGTATAAATAGGTAGCAATAGGTTCCAAGGCCAAATTAAGTTTCTCTGGATTGTGTATGAATCAATACAATGTTGTGTCTTTTGTGTACCAATGTCTGGATTGCATAATGTTCATTCCAGATGAAATGTTTTCTTTGAATGTCCAAGTACTCAATCAATTTTATTGAATTCTTGGACCCTTCACTGCAAAACATACTAACATACTACGTGCATCTTGAAATCACAGAAATGCACTTCTTTCTTATCCATGTTAATTTAGCACAAATTTCATATAATCATATATCACAATTCAGTAAACAACCAATGAAGTATAAATTTGTTGATTGAGTAAATTTCCAATAATCTTATACATTATTACATCAGTGGGATCATTAATGAATGTAACCCTTTGCCTGTCCTCAATATAAAATTTGGTATTTGAGTTTCCTAAACTTTCGTATTAACTTAAGAGATAGCTTAAAAACATCGAAACTCAATTTCAGATGTGTTTTTTCTTCAATTATTCTTTTGTCTGTGTACCTATGTTTTTTGTTGCACTTGAGATTTATGTTTTATTGCCTTGGTATAAGCAAAGAAGTGTAGAATAATTTAAAAATAAGACTGACTTGTTGGATATCTAAAGACACAGAATTCTACTGATTCTAATACACACTTTTATTGAAAATGCAGAGGAGCTGTGTGGGTTTTGATTTTTCATTTATTTCTTTTTCTAACATTGACTATTGAGGTTCTCTTCAAAGAGTATTGCTCAGATGACAAGAAAAATTGGGGGATTCTTGTGATGGATGATTTTTAGGGTTCGTATTGGTATTCTGCCAATACTTTGTTTTTGAATGTATTTATTGAATGTGCGAACATATTGTTTTATCTCCATTTCCATAATGTGAATCTTATAACGTGATATCTTGTGAGACCGTATGGTTTATCTCGTTATCCAGTTATTCATTTTAAGTCAAATAAAGAAACTCTGTTTGTGTTCAGCATACAGCTATCAGTGAATTTATTTTGCAAAATAATTTTGGACAAACATAATAAGGGAAAGGGCTGTCATAAGTTTCATCTGTTGATTTGCAAATACCCTCAATGCTACAGAAACTATAATAGTTAATTTAGTATGGAAGTGAAATTAGTCATGTTTACTATGCGAGTGAAAACTCAGAAATCATCAAATCTAAAACAAAAAACCTATCATAATAGACCTCTGGTTGCTTAACTAAAAAATGCTTAAAGCTAGTCGTTTGGTTAGGTTTTTATTTTATTATTTTTTGGGGGTGGGTGAGTCCAAAAAGTAAATTTTGTTATTTTCACTGATGATGTCATTTTGGGTTTCTTGTGTACTTTATGTCCTAAACTGTTTCAGTTTTTGTAGCACAGAGATCATTTTTAAATCAACAGGTGAAAATAATTTGTGGTATTGTTTTTTTGTCTTATTGAAAATGAGAAAAAAGTCTTAGACCATGTTTCCTTAATGGGAACTTGTCAGACAGTGTCAGTTTGAGTGTCCTATATGAGACAAAGAACTAGACAAAAGTTGCCATGAATGTGTGTTATTCTTTGAGGTATTTAATGGTAGTCAATGTGTTAAAGAAAATAATTTGTTGAACATGATTTTGTGAGGATCATTAATCTTCAGTCCATGTAGGAATGTTTGTATTCAGAAATATTATGTTGATGAATTTTATCTCTATTTTCAATTTAATTTAATTTACTACTGTACTGCACTTTCTTTATCCTCAGCAAATTTCTTGATTTAGAATGACAGAATTCTTTCAGAAATGTTTCTGACTTAGTTCTTTGATTTGGGGCTTATCTTTTTCTGCAAAGTTTTAGATCCTATACAAATTTTGTACACTTGTTTATCAATGTCCTCCAAGTTAAAAGTAACTCCTGAGAAACCATATGTTTAAGTCTTTGTAACTTATTTTTAAATTTTTGCTTTAATTATTTCACTGAAATCTTTTGGTACATTGTAGCAAGTGCCTTAGAGAATGATTGGGACCAAGCAGAATTTCATTAAGTAACTGCTGAATTTGATTTCTGTAGCAGTTTGCAGTGTATTGTAATATTATTATCATTGTTGTATAATTTGAGCGTATTATTGTTGTTGCCTTACCAATACGTACAGATTTTATCAATTTGCTAATATGATGTAAAATTTTGATTATTTTTCTTTAATTAATTTTAATGCGAGACTTCCTCATACAGTAGGTAACTATAAAACTTGTTCATATGTGAAGAATAGACATCATCTTCAAGTTTTCTATTATTTGAGATTTAAATAGATAGTAAAATGATTTTTGGAGTAATTATTCCTAAATCTTTTGGGAAGTTGCTACCTGGTATTTTATGTCAATGAGAGAAAATAATTTATTACTCACTTGACATCTAAGTTCAAATATTTTGTAAATTGTAATGTTATGCTCTGTAATATTTTAAAATATTTTTTTAAAATTTCTTTACTAAATTGGATTTTGCTGGATGCCCTTGATACAAGAAAGCACCAAAACTGTTGATGAAAGACTGCATAGGCAGTCAAAATTGTATGTATTGAATAAAAGTGTAAAATTGAATATTGATATTTTATAAACATCATGTAAGAATTTTAAAATGCTTTGGCTCAAAGCCTGATTTTAATTTCCATAAATCAGCATTTAGTTGTTAAAAAATTGGGTGATGTGTTTTTATATGCTTAATTGAAGGAAGTGAGGTGCCATGTCCTTCTAATTAAGCTTTTTCTCTTTAGAAAGAATCTCTGAAGAATTACTTGAGTGTTTTTCTGAGGGTTGTTTCATAGTCATGAGTGCATTCATCGTAAATGTGATATATGACAAACTTCCATTTGGGGAGACTTCTATTCATGAAATGTTAAAATAGATTGCACTCTTGAGTAAGAAAAAGTTAGTACAAAAGAAATTGTGAAGCACAAGTTTTTGGAAGCAAACATCTACTTCTTTGACTGAGCTGTGATGTGCTGATAGTACAACAAATTTCATGTGTATCAATTATCTTATATTTGTGACACATTGCATGGGAAGGGACCGAGTCAATATTGAAAATTTTACATATGAGCTTGAGAAAGGGTCTGGGGTATAAAAAAGGCAACTTTGCACTTTCTTAAAAAAATGAAGTTATAAATTAATTTGATATTGCCATAAGGGATAGGATCATTTAAAATTAATATTGCCAGTAAAAACTTTTTTTCTCAAAACTGATTTTTGTTTGATATCTCCTGAAGTATTGCATCTTTCAGTGTGAATCTGTATCTTTTGTCCATTTTAGAACTATAATAATCTCAAAACAGATAATAATGCCTTGGCTCCCTTTCCATGCAACAAATCACATCTGATTTATATTCTGTTATAATGAAGTTTATTGAAAACTTCTCCCAGAAATTTGAAGTTTATCAGTATTTTTTATTGAATGAGCTAAGAATATCTGCATGAAAAAGTATAAAGATTACATTATTCTATCTGGTTTATGAAATATGGTAGTCGTACAGTAAAAGTCTTTCTCAGAAGATATTTTTAAAGACCGATTACTTTTTAGCACGTAGTGAAAAAAAATCCAATGTGCATTCGTGAGCTGTAAATATTGCAGACATGTATATTTGATTCTGGTAGATCTCAATGTTTATAAGCCTGTACTGTTAGTGAGTTTATTATTGCAAAAGTTTGTCTTTTGCTTAAAGCCTAGTCTACTGTGAAAGCATTACCTCTCAATTGAGAGACATGTACAAATTAAGTATTTTTACTATAATTATTTTAAGATAATATAATTGTCTTGGATATCAACAATGTTCCCTGTTGGAAAAAAATTGTTTTGTCTATTGTGTAGAGTAGTCTTGGCAAATGTGAAAGCCTGACCAGAATAATAGTATTTTTCATTACGAATTAAGGTCTGGAATTCGGTATTTGTCATTCAAAAGATGAGATTTTAAATAAACCAGTTAAGCCAATTATGATGTTACCATATCTTGCCAGCTACCAGCATACTTTCAATTTGCAGTAATCAGGAATAATTTAATTCCAGAAGTGGTGATTCTTTTATAATGTTCAGTATTATTTCATTTTGTTAAATTTTCTTATGACAAAGCTTTTTAGAAAAATTGAAACCTTTAGTGAGTGTGCAGAGAACTTCGGGTTTACTATCTAAGAAAATCTATTTGATTATTTGGTTATTTAAAACAAATTATAAAAATTATTTCAAATTTCTGCAGAGATGTCACACTTACTGTCTTCTGGTCATGCAATTTTTTTGTGCTGTTGTAGACATGCATGTTTTGGCATTTATCTTAAAAGATATTTTAATGTTTATTGATATGACAACACTGAACATTCCATCTTTCAGTGTTAACCAAGAATTTGTAATGATGCCTTCAAAATTTCAACAGTTTAATGAGTGTGACTAAAATAATTAAATTAATAGGCCTATACATTTATGTGTATTATTAAACATGATTGTCATTCATGAAGTGTAAATATTTATTATATTTTTGTTCTTCTCAGCCAACTCTAGCATTGAAAAAAATAAACCAAACAACATCAAATGTATTTTCTGTTGCTAACTACTAGTAACTTTACTCATTTATCTTGTATGCTTTACATCAGTATTCACTAACTTCATTTTAAATGTTTCGTAAAAATGGTTTGTGATTTGCTTTCTGTGAAAACCAGAATACAGAGGGAATGCTATTACTTAAAACGTTTAAAACATTGTGAGTGTATACTTCGGGAAATACGTCTACTGCAGCACTAAAAGCCAGTCTTGGTATCGATAACAATCACCTTTGAAAAATGCTGTATATGATTAGAGCCTTTGAATAGAGAAGTACAATTTAATTCATTAAAAATTTTCTAGAATTGATTTTGTTATATTAGACGCCCTGGTCATTTTACTTTCCGTGATGAAGAATGTTGAAAGATATTTCTGTAAATACATGAATTATTCTGTTCTCATTTGCATTTGGAATTAATATATTCGGACATTCCAATCAGACAAGGAGAAGTTGAGTTAGAATCACTACAGTAACAACTAAATTGTGTATGTTGCGATACTAATTTCAATCAATCTTACCTAATTTTCAGCAGTAATATAAGTTCTGATGGTGCTTTTTAACTGGGCAGGAAATAAATTTCCCAAATCTCATCAGATAAAACAATTATTCTTTTGTGAGTTTTCATTAAACCATTCTATTGTCAAAAATGATACATTAATAAGTTTGCTTTCACTACAAATTTAGTTTTAAAAATATTAAAGAGTGTAGGCTTTCATTTTTTAATTAAGAACTAACCTTTTTATCCTGAGTTTAGGATTTAAAAAGTTGCTTAGGAAAGCAGAGGGGTCTTACAAAAATGTGAAAGCAGACAACCTAAATGGATTTAGATGTGGTTAGACTGTGTTGTTTGGTGGCGAGAAATGTTTTGCAAATTTTTGGTCTCTTAATTTATATACTTAAAGATTTTTAATGTAAAATTTAGTAAGTGTTTTGAAATTTTTTTGCACATAAAATAATTGGTTGATACTGTAAATAGAATTCTGAATTTCAGGGATTACATTTAAAGGTACAAGACCATACCGCAATGTTGTAAAGAAATGTGTGTAAATGTTAGGTGTGATTTATGGCATTGTATTGGATTTATATGTATAATAAAAAAAAATATTTTGCCAACTTTTATATTGCAATTCCAATTATGCATTGAGAGTATGTATGTGAAACATAGTTCAAAAATCTAAATATTTTGTAGGCTGTGGTTATTGTGTTGTTAATATTAATGATTAAAAAATTGACTTGTAATATAGTAACCAGGTGTAACATGGTTAGTCTGATGTGACTAAGTTTTCCTTTGTGTACAGTGTAGGGGAAGGTATATGTTTGACACATCCTTTCTGCTACTGGACTGGGATGAGGCATGTGTTTTATTCTGTAATATATATATTTGAAAATATATATTGTGAATTCTTTAAACTTTTGACAAATGTATGAATGTAAAATGATGTATTTTATTGTGAAGTAGTGAATATAACATGGATTGAAAGAATGATAATTCTTTATAATAAATTGTTTTTATAGAAATTTTCTACCGTTTCATTGTTATAATTAATTTTAGGTATTAATTTCAGAGGGCCCCCATTTTCATTTCATGGATGTTATGTGAGCTTTGACCTACTAGTACCTTGAGTGGTTCATCCAAACTGATTTTGATAACTTTTATTGATCATTTTTGGTGATGTTTTAGGTCATCAAAATCCGCTCCCTAATTATAATAAAACCTGGGGATATTCTTCCTTGAAGATAAGAAAATCTTCCTTTTTAAATCAATTACAAGCGAATCTCATTTAAATCTATTACCAACAAATAAATTTGTCCCTTTCTCAAGATAAGGTAAAAATTACACATGTTTTCACATTTGTATGATATTGGATCAGGAAGAATGTGTGAAGAGCAGTACTGTATTAAAAAGAAAAAAAAAAAGACTCCATAATTTCTAACAGTTGGATCTTTTGATTGTTTTTAACATTCCCCTTGGAAATTCACGTGTTAAGAGACTTTCTACCAAATAATAAATAAAATATATTCTCGTACTCAAACTATACTAAATCATTAATTAAAAATATATTCACATACATAAAACATTCACAGAGAATATTTTCTGTGTGTTACTTGATCAGGTTTTTATATTATTACAGTATGCAGTGCGCTAGGCATGGGCAGACCGGGCGATCGCCCGAGGCCCCGCAAGTCAAGGGGCTGATGGTAAAAAAATAGTAAAAAAAATTGAAAAAAATTAAAACTCGAGAAAATTGTTATCGTACTTTCTTGAGTTGCGGTACAGTAGTCTGATAATTCGTAAAATTTTCAGTTACTTAAAAGGTAGGGCTATGAAATGAATCAAATGACGCCAACATTAAAATAGGTTCATACTGAAATCCATAATATTTTCAAGTATTTGACTAGTAATCTTATTGAACACTAACTAAACATACTTAAGCGTTTTAAACTCATCGCAGAAATAATATTTGATCGCTACATGAATGAGGGATGAACTCTTGTCAATTTTGAAATATCTGTGTAAAATGTTTAATTCATTACATCACATTCTAATTGTGTTTCGTTACTATTTTTATGAATATTTTTACGGTTATTCTTTCTTATTCATGAAATAATGGTTTATTGCTGCTGTATTTATATTATGTAGTTAAGTGTCAATGTACATATTAAGAGGAAAAATATAGGTTGAGCACTTTATTGTAATAAACATTGAAATGATTATCACAATTTTCCCATTTGAGTGAGATCAATTATTAAATAAGGGAACAAAAATGTCTATGTATGCAGAAATGTGCAGTCTAAAGCCGTTTGAAAGGTGTACGGTTTCGTTAATCAGAAACTCCGAAAAAATTCAAAAATAATGAAACGGTTCCTATTTTATGTTTAGAGAATGCAGTCAACAATTGACCGAACTAGTATACTTTCAATAACAAGCGAAATTCATAAAATTACGTTGCAGCGAGTCGGACAGAATATTGGGATTCCCCGGAGACTCGATCGCCGCACAGCGCTAGACAGCGCCACCCGGCTGCTTTTTTTGCCGCGTTAAATCGAGTGGCCAAAGAGTAAATGTAGTAAACCCAGTAATACAGCCAACTGCACGGTGCAATACCCGCAAGTCACCAGGTACCGGAGAGAGCGGCAGTTGGACGCTCTTTGGTTTCAAAATGATTTCATATGCACCGATATTGCTGCAATATCTTGAATATTGATTGTCAATAAAAGGAAAATGTATATTCTTAAGATATTAAGAGATATAATTCTATTATCTGGGAGTTGTACAACCGTGAAACCTGAGCAGGAGTCACTACTGCGTTTTAATGCTCACGCAACGCTAGACCCTCATACAAAAAATTAATAGAGCAATTACAGAAGTAGTGAACCCAAATTAGACTAAATTAGTGAAGTTTTAATCTCTTCGCAAATTAGGGGAGAAAATATAGAAGTGGTAAGGAAATTCGGGGAAGAAATAAATGTAGTTTTAAGAAATGTTGCGCAGAATTTTGAAAATAATTGGAACGATTTGCATTTAGCATTTGTGCTAATGCAAATATGCATCGTGCATATTAGCAAAAAGGGTAAAAACGTAGCTGAACTAAAATTTAACTAATAGTATCAAAACCTACAAGTATTTGTTACAGCGATTATAATTTTGAAATTGCAATAAGACCAGTTCATATCCCTTATGGAGGTAAGATACAAGGCCATTGGGTGTTGGGAACTTTTGAACGTGAGTATAACATTATCAACCACTACAATTTATTGGTAAGTCCAATGCCATATACTGAAAGAACATATTTGAACAAAGCTGGGAATGAAGTTTTCAGCACATGAAACTATTTTTAAAACAGTTTCTAGCGTCGGTGACGCCACATTTTACTAGAACACAGTACACGTTGCAGACAGAAAATTAGGTATGTAATGGTCCGGCAAAACACATCAGCAGAAAAACTCATTTTGTGGGGCCTCGATGCACAAATTCTGGATATCCACATTGTGTGGTCAGAATCAATGTTCGGTGGGTGCTTAATAACGAAGAAAGGATGACGACTGTCCGTCTGAGGACTGAAAGGAAACGACAGACCGTCTGTGAACAACGCTAGAGGCTACACCGTAAGCAGGATTTCCAACAAAATTGATATCCCTTGATTGATCTGACTGATGCCGCGGCCCTAAATATTATCTCTCACGTCCATAATATTTATATTAGAGGTAATTTCTTTACGTTAATGTATTTATGAGTACATATGCTCTAAAGTGAGATGTGAGATAAGTTTCCCAAAAACTCAACAGTTTTCCGTGAAAATGAGCTCAAATTTCCGCATTTTCAGAAACGCTCAAACACCATTTTCTCTAAAACGGCTCCAAATTTTTTCTTCAAACTTTTCCAACACATAATGCTAATTGCACTGTTTAAGATGACATAGAATTCATTTTGCTGTATTCATTGTTTGTTTTTTTAAATTACACAAATGTTATTTTTGTGAAAGATTTCTTACGACGGTAATATGCACATTTCCAGTGATTTGTAAACACTATTGCATTTGTGACGGAAAGTACTTGAAAGGACGTCATATGAAGTTTTTCAAAAACTCGATAGTTTTCTTTGAAAGGAGATTCAAATTTCGAATTTCCCATAGCGCTTAAACGCCATTTTCTTAAAAATAGCTCCCAATTTTTCAAAGAAAATTGTTATTTATGACGAACGTTCTTTAATAATCTTAAAATAATGTTTCCGTTCTATTATTAGAAAACCGAAAAATTAGGAAATTTTTAAAAAAAATTCCTTGGGCAGCGATAGATGACAGCTGCCATGAGTATGTGGCAAGTCCAAATAGCTGGCCGAGATCAATGGAAATAGAAAACTAATACGGGAAAGTCTGTGCCAACACCTCTAATTTCCTTTCTGATTGAATATTTTTGCGGATTGCTAATGTGGCATCGTATAGATTGAATTTTGCACTACCACTACCAAAAGTTTAAAGGAAATATTTGGAGCCGTTTTTTGAGAAAATCTTGTTTTTGTAATTTTAAAAAATTGCAGATATTGCTCGCAATATTGCGCGAAAACTACTAAAATGCTCAAAATATTTAAATGACCTTAATACCTCACAATGAAAATAAAATGTATATGAAGGAAAAATCTCTCTTCAATTTTGAAGTGTAGGAAGACGCGCGAAAAATTTCAAAATTCCAAAATTTCCGAAAATTTAATTAATCTTATGCCACCTATACGAATATCAGTGTCTTTTCCTCTATTCTTACAAGAAATTGAAAGAAAAAAATTGGAGCCCTTTTTGAGAAAACTTGGAAAATGTCCGTGGGGCTTTATGTAAAGTACCACAAAAATGAATGAATGTTTTTGAAAATCGCAGTACTCCGAATCTGGCCAATTCGACAGAGGTATTCAGTTTGGAAAAAATCGTACGCCAAGTTTAGGCGCTTGTGTTATTCACACACCAGACAGACGGATGTTTTTCTGTCAATCACGTTTTCGGTAACAAGGACCCACAAAACAGGGATTTTGGCTACATCTCGTGTTAGAAATTTTTTAAAAATTCGCAACTGAATTTATACACTTTCTCGTTATTAGGGCACAGCAATGAATTTTTTCTGCCGAAATCCGCTGTTTTTTTGCCCGGCATTCCATAACTTTCTCTATAGTATATATATATATATATATATATATATATATATATATATATATATATATATAATATTACTCCGTATATACGTATGTGTACCGGAAAGTAAAAAAGTAAGTATCGATTCCATTCTTATAGTTAGTCTCGGAATACACCACTCATACGAGCGCAATGAAGCAAATGACGTTAACATTAAAATGGGTTCTATTGAAATTAATATTTATTGTTTCATGTATTTAACAAGTGCTTTTATTAAACATTAACTAAACACAACTAATCTTTTTAGCGTTTTAAGTTCCCAGGGGGAAATTGTATTATTTGATCAGTTAATACTTTTACTTACAACTATTATTTAAGATATTTTTCTAAAAAAACTTTTCTTAGTTTAACTTAACTTTCTAAGTTAAACGTAATTATTTTTGTTATATTTGGAAATAAAATAACCTCTATAGTTTCTTGATACAACTTAAACAATTTGAACTTTTTCGGGACGGAAGAGGACAACAACATTTATCATTGTCCCGTACCCAATATTATCTAGCTCCGACTCTAGTGGCGATATACTTGAAAAAGAAGAGTTCAGGTGGTTCCGTAACAAGTGCACAAAAGTTTTTGGGTTTGGTTAAAACGTTCTCTGTGAACATATCGGTGAAGCATTTCATGAACAGTTGAGTTGGCCTCGTGCTCACGCGTCAACGCCCACGCGTTCAACACCTCAGCGACTGGCAGCGCGGGGCGCCGCGTTCGGGACACTTTGGGGAACATCAACGGCCCTGCACACACAACAAAACCGGCGACGAACAAAGAACTGCTTACTGACGTGCTGCTCAAGCATCATAATGCCAGCCGAAGTTTCTTTGGCGCTTTGAACGCTTTACTGAA